GGAACGCTTTCCCTGCAGTCGCCACGAGCCGCAAGACATTCACTACAGCGGCCCTACTCTGCCGAGGCCGCAGATATACTGTGATTGCGTCCAGGAGCCCACCAGCCTTCCAGTAAGTTTTTAAGAGCGTATATTCACCGACTAATGAAAGTATTGAAAGAAGTAGCCTAATATTTGTCAGAAGAACCAAACAGCCGAGCAACTGAAATTCCTGACCAGCCTGCTTGACCGGACCACCTCGATTCCCCCCTGAAGTTCTCAGTGTCCACCTACCATTTGTCTATCTTTAAAGTATAACATAAGAAGAAATCGTCTGCATTATTTCAATTTGCAATATTGTTTTATTGGCAACTTGCGGCGAACGCGTAACCTGTCCAACCTGAGGTGAGGTCCAACAATCGTGAGGCCGCCAGCTGACTCAGGGGCACTTGAGATCTCCTCTACTGGCTACTACATAGGGATACAGCGTCTACTTCTCACAAGAAGTTGTCTATTCTATCAGATATGCTAGTGAAAGGTCTTTAGGCCTTTCACTTCCTCATTCGGTTTCCTAGCTACTTGGAAACACCACCAGCCACCATGTGCACTGCGAGGAGCATGTCAGCGACAGGTCAACGCCTTTTGCCCACGAAAAAAGAATAATCACCATACGGTCTCAGCGTTACTTGTAGACGCTTGAGTCTAATGTATGATGCCTCTGTGCGAAGAACAAGACCTACTCAGCCTCGGCTAGTTCCCCTACCAGCACAGCCGTTCTATAGGGAGACACATTTGTGAAGGCCCAGCAGATGAGCAACAGCAGTGAAGCGGAAGTCTCAGGAATGCTCGAAGGGCGCTTAATGCAATTAGCTCAACACGGCAATGCTACAACACCAACACTGCGCCCACCGTTTGACAAAGCTTACATATCCAGACGAGCAACGCAACAGCCCAAAACAGCAAGCCTACACCGATATTACGCCCACCAGTCGACATCGCTTGAACACCCAAACGAAGTACGCCAACATGTATACACCTCAGTAGAGATACGGAGACAAACAAAGACGTATAACAGAGAAAAAATCATGTGCATGTACGAATTACAACAAAGTAAGGAAAAATGTAATGGGTGAAGATTCCTTAGCTGCGAGCCAGCCCTAGAACTGTAACCTCTTGGTACCTTCCTCTGCACCCAACAGCAAGTGACATGGGTATGTACCGCCTCAAGTAACGTAGCGACAGAAGAAAAGTAACAGCTGGTGGATTCGCCGGGTGGGAAAAGCGAACACACTGCCATCTTCAGCGGTATTGTTGGCACCGAAATGCCTGACAGGGGTCTCTAAACGAGCATTTGGTCCAATTAAAGATATCCCTGCCCCCATCTCTTCGTCCCACACAGACATAAAACGTACAATGTACAGCTCTAACCACATAGATAAAACACAGGAAAGGTGACGCGAAAATGCAAGCTTGAGAAGTGGCCACATGCAACCCCAATGATGACGAAGTAACCCAATCCAAAATTCTATCCGTTCAAAACCAGCAGCAAAGCCAAAGACGCATTGCCTGACCCTCAGATAGTAAAAGCATTCCTCGAGACACTAAAAACGCGGGCGCAAACAAACACTCCCCTACACCACAAAGACTACCACAATGCAAACCTCAGACGCGACACCCAAAATGTACCACACTGGCTCCAAAGGTCCTTACGTCACGAACGCCCCGCGGAAAACTAAAAAGAGGCCGGGAGCGAACCCGCAGCTACTGAGAGTTGCTGAGGTATCTCAGCCTCAGTGCTGGTGGACGCCTCGTTTGAGCCCCGCAGAGACATCCGTGCGCAGGGATCAATGGGTTACACTAAGGCGGGCAAACCCATTAAAATAGAACCACCGCCCAACAAGTGACACAATCTTCCTCGGGCTGTTTTGAATACTGTTCAGACACCCCAAGGCACCAGACCTGCCATAACAGCTCTGTTCGCACATGCACTGCCACAGCACACGCACAGTCGATTGCGCAATATGTTTAGGGTTTTGCCCATAGGCTCGAGAAGAAAGCATCACCAGAAGATGCCTCTACACGGATGTGAAGAGCAAACGCTGCACTAAACGTTTGTCCGCTCGGTCTTGCACACGCGCCCAGGGTGGGGGAGGCGGGCCCCACAGCCCCTCTTCCCCAAACCAAATGATTTCCAAATAATAGATTGCCTAAATCGTTTAGAAGGATTTCTTTTCAAAGCCTTCAATTTTTTTGTGTGTCTCACACCTGATAACTGTGTGGAAAGAATATGCCACTGCGCCCCGGGGTATCTACGCTGTCGCCCGAAAAAGCGAAACGTGCATCACGGATAGGCAAATAACGGGGATTTTTGAGACTGTAAACAATACAGGGGAGAATAACATGGGTATAAATGGTGGAATGAGGAACTAACGATTCGGTGTAACTGCTGAGGGTGTGCAAGGAACCAATACAGTACATAGTTTACGTCTATTCCACTTAGACTTCAGCGCCGAATTCGCAGCCGACACACCTCTGTGATTCAGAAAAAATAAACTTCTGCGATGTGTAGGAGTGGCAAATGCTAGAGCGTGGCTGTCGGTCTACGCAGGCCCGTCGTACACCAGAGACCTTCGCTGGCTGAGGTTACGAGCTACTGCACCGAACACAGCACTTCTCAAATATACTTCTTAATTTACGGAAGTTCCTACCTAGAGCAAAGTCCATAGTTCTGCCTTAACAGTGGGTGTCAATTGATGACTCCCACTTGGTGGAGCAGCGTGGGCCGAGTCTGAGTTCTGCTGGTACGCTTATGCGAAAACCAAGGTAATTCCACCCCAAAATGCACGGTGCGGATGCACGCAATTTGAAGGCTGAAAAAGTCAAAGGAAGACAGAGCTGAGACGGAGCAGCATTACCTTGGAATTTGACGATACTGTCGCAGTTGCTGCTGCGCGGAATATATTACACGTGGAGCCCAAAGTGGGCGACCTGCTCGTGGATCGCCCCCTGCCTACGATGCGGACTGTGGTCTGCTTCTCTGGTCAACAGTGCGGGCGCCGATAGCTCAGTTGGGAGAGCGTTAGACTGAAGATCTAAAGGTCCCTGGTTCGATCCCGGGTCGGCGCGTAGGCTAGAACGATGACTCCCCGATGGCAGTTTTCCGATTGGATTGAAAGACAACGCTGTTCTTCCCTGGTGTCTTCTCTTCGTTTATAGGTCCTAAAGTAGCGCACAATACCATACAATCGCCGCTGGGTCTGAAGATGCGATGAGTAGGCAGAACCGAAGGTAACTACACGCGCATCGCCGAACTTGTAGATATGCCACCCCATGACCGCTCTACGCTGTGCCTATTCTGTTGTAGCAACAGCACAGTTCCAGAAGGTACAGGGTCTGCGTTACAAAAAACGCTATGAGCTGCAGGCAGCTGCAAGCGGCGGTCTTCTGCAATTAAGCACTTCTTAATGGATGCAGCTGTCACTTCAAGTAAGAGGAGTAAGAACACCCGTGGATGCCCACTGACGCGCGTTTCACGACAGCAAAGTCCTTTGCGGGCTGTTGCGAGCACTCGAAGCACGGAGCATACCTAGAGGCCAGTTGCAATGGCAGCTCACTCTTTACAGTGAATTAGGGTTTCTCTCAGGAGACAATTCTCTGCCACGAACTGAGCGCAGCAGAGACACCAATTTGCTGACCCCTGACACGGCTTAGCGGAGCCAACACTACGTAAAATTGTTCGGCTTGGAGCTCACTGCAGTACCTAGCAGAAGTCGCGTTTCCTTTGCACCACTTACAGCGTACTTGGCCCTTCTTTAAACAATTATGTTTGCATGCATGCATACCTCTTGCACGTCTGTCCTACTTAATTTCAAATGTTGACATGACTGGATCTTGAAGGCTGGCCACCACCTCTCCACGCAACATACAAAGCTTGGCACCTAACCGTGCAATCTTTTTCGCCACTAAATCGTGCACAAGTGTGTCTCCAGCGGCAGAAGTTGCTACAGCATTGCAGCTACTTCTGTTCACGCCATAATCCAGCTCGCACCATAGGATGATGACTGGCTGCTCCAGCTGCCGCCACTTCCTGAGTAATCTCTTGCTATACTACCACCACTTCTCAGTTTGGGTTATCATTCTCCTCCACAGCTGCTGAGAACTGAAATACTGGGCAATTCATACCACAGCCCTATTACAACTCCGTACGTGCTAGTTTCAGTGTGGCAGCAGCACAGGCCGTGGTAAGAGCCCTGATGCCCGTAAGACCTTTCCTCTCTTCATATACCTCCGTAATTATAGCATTTCCCCTTAAAACCATGCGTCTGACAATGCAGAAGGTAAATGCTCGAGGATATGCTCAGCCCATGGCGGTATATGTCCACTGGTGCGGTTTAGGGCGAAAATCAAGTCTGGTCCTGTGAACACCCTGAGATATCTCGTCTTAGCAGTCTTTAAGTGCACGATTCCTTCTCTCTGACTGTCAACAGTGCACACGATAATTCAGAAAGCTTGCAGGCCATCACGCTCTTCATGGCGTCGCACCGGGCCACCAAACCACTGGGATAGCACTGTGGCGCTACCGCCCAGCCTTCTGCAAGCGAGTACATTGTCTACCAGCTTCACATTTGGTTCTAACAAACAAACAACCTGCCACCGAAAAATATATGCTCGCACGCACCACTCTACACAGTGCTTGCAATGAGGGTGCAACGGCAGCCTAAGCGCCGATACACCAAAAACAACAGCAGCATGGGGCCCGCGGTGTTTTCGCAGCAATAGAAGCACTGGCCGAATTTAAATGCGTACATTGAGGAACTTTTCTAATGTTTCTGGTAGAAGGATTGGGCAAACACCCGAGCTGTTGAGGAGCCGTCATTCAAGCGCTACCAAGTCAGGGCAACCATCGGAGTCCTTTGGATCACCGGAGACAGCGGCAAGAGCAACGGCAACGGAGGCAGAGGCAGAACCAGAAGCAGATATTTCTTCTGATTCTGAAATGCGAGGGAGCAGTACTTGCTGCCATGGAACATGCAGCGCCAGAGTCGTTCCCTCGGGAGAGGGAGACTTCAGAAGTTATAGAACATCCGCAGCAGGGGCAGCGGGAGAGGCACGAGCTGAAGCAGACAAGCTCTGCGGGCTTAGCCTCAAATGTGCTGCGCAGTCAGCGAAGTGTCAAGTTTGAGGTTGGTGGAGACTTTGGCGAGAACAACGACAGCAGCAACGGCAGGAAAAGCAACGGCATGAACAACGTGAACAGCAGAGATGATAATGACCACTTACGGGCAGTCTCACCTGGAGAATCGCAAGAGTGTGCTGGCCACGGAGAAGTGCCTGAGGCAAGCAATTCAGCCTCCAGCAGCAACAGTAGCAACAGCACCGCAGCCAGTGCTGCTGCGGACAGTGCTCCAGACATCCCCTTATTGAGCCGTGCCACAACGCGTTACCAGCACATTGGGTCTCGGGTGTACATGGAGAAAAGCAAACCCAATGAGAGAGCCCTGGGGGCTGTCCTCAAGGCATTGGAGTCCTCAGCTTTTTCAAAGAAGTCCTCAAAAGCAGAAGTAGCTGAGAGGAAATCTCCCGTTGCGGTAGGTCATCACCATTTAAGTGTTAGGGAAAGGGGCTTCGGTGACAGGGTTTCAGTCCATTTTCTGCACAAGTCTCCTGACAAAGACGTTTCAGTTATTTAGTCTTTTTGTATGCTGCTGTGGCTGCTTTTGCTCTTGCCGCTTCTTTTGGTGATACACTTTGTGGATTTTGACTCGTGTATTGCTGTTGTGTTTTTTCTGGCTCTTCTGCTGGTCACGTGTACTCGACTGTTGCGGTTCGCGCTGCTGCTTCCGATGTTTCTGCCACTGCTGCTGCTGCACAGTCAACGCAAGCTCCTTCAAGGGACTTGAGTGGATTCTACCAGAAGCTTTTGGGGGAAGACTGGGAAGAGCAGTTGCAGCAAATTGACTCGCAAGAAGTTGAAGACGTGTTCGCGCGTGAGCTGCCGAAGAGATCTGTTGCTGTTCCAAGTTGGCAGCTGGTACTGATACTATGTATTTTTTTGAAAGTATTGCCCTTTCAGATGTTGTTTTAGTTGCTGCTGTCGCTGGCATTGGACACTGCTGCTGTATTTACTGGTGCTGGAGTCTGTTGACGCTGTTGTTGGCGTTGTTGATGCCGCTGCTCTCGATGACGTTTCTGCTTGTACTACTCCGAGTGCCAGTGCACAAGTGCACGCTGCTGCACTTTTGCTCCACGGGCAGGGAGTGCATGGCGCGTCTGGTGTTGCTATTTTGCATTCCAGGTGACAGTGCCAGCCATCGTGACAACGGCGATATCTCGGGCTTCATCCCGACGACCGAAAATTATCATGGGAAGTTTCGACAGAGAATCAGGAGAAGGGAACACCACCGTAACCAGGACATCAGGTCAGTACATCTCACGATCGATGCTGCATAGTCTGGTCCCTGTGTTGCTGGTACTGGCATTGTTGATGCGCTGTGGCTAATGGTTGTGCCGCTGTTGCATTTTCTCCACGATCGCTGCTGCATATTCTGATGCTTGTGTTGCTGGTACCGGCATTGCTGGCACGCTGCGGCTGCTGGTGTTGCCGTCAGTGCATTCGCTGCGATTGCCACTCATGTTATTATTACAATTTTCCGGTTTGTAGCTGCTACAGTTGCTGCTGCTGTGGCTTCGTTCTTGCCGTGTAGTCTTTTAAGTCGATATACACCTAGCATCACGGGGAAAGACTTCATTGCAGCAAGGTAGCCAGGTGATAGCTAGCTAGTTAGCAGCAGGGGCTAACCCTCGCGGCTTGTGTGTCTCTGCTATCAGACTACATTGCCACAAAGCGATCCACCTAGTCAGACTATTGGCTAACTGGCAATTTCTTTGATAGCCTGAGCATATAGCGCGACGCTTATCGAGCTGTGTGGATGCTTAGTTAGGCAGGTAGCTTCAACGTTGGCTTGCCGATTTGCAGGCAGTTGCTAGGTGGCGTTAACCAGCTTTGTGTGTTTTTCTACAGCGACCAGGTTGCGGATGACCTTCAAGTGGCCGATGACGAGCCGCTGATCTCAGCGGATGAGATAGCGTAAGCGTTGTTGTGTTCGGTGGATTCTGAACTTGAAGCAACAGACTGTAGTTCGAACAGCTGCAAATTAGTCGTTAATCTCGAAGGTAAAGCCCTAAATCCTAAACCTTGACAGTTTATCATTGAGGGGGAAAACTTGCTCATGGTCTACGTCTTTGCCGGTAAACGTCGAGTCCAGGATCAGCCGTTGAATCATGCGCTGGCACCACAGCGTGTCTTGGGAAGTTTTCTTCGGACGTAGCTGATGTAGGATTTTTCGCGTGCATGTTGCTTTTTATGGGGTTCGTTTGAGGTTTTCGTAATGTTTCCGGAGATTCCTCTTCAGGGCGCGCACTGTAGAAGTTTTGTGTGTGTGTGGTTCATGCCAGAGAGATAAGAGACAGTGCTTGGCGGCCTGCGGGTGAGGCCGTTCCTCCGTTGAGCAGCTTGAGTTTGGGATACCATCAGGCGTGGGACGTAGGCAAGCGAGGGTGCCTTGCAGCCAAGCTGGATGTCATTTGGACTCCGGCGATCGTCGCCAACAGGCTTCGCTTCTTTGTCATGGACGGAACAGATCCAGGTCGGGACACCGCTATTTGACCAGCAACAGCAACTGCAGCTGCTGCAGTTGTAGGCGTGCTTCCACTCACACTACTGGTAGCAGCATACGACTGGAAACATGCTATTAGAACACGTTGGATATTTTGTAGATTAGGGTGTACAGCAGTGTCATGCGTAAACAGCGTATTGTTTAGCTAATGGACGTTCCTGCACGCAGATATGCAGAGTTTACGGTGCTGAAGTGTTTCAGTATGAGTGTGGATAAGACGTGCACGATGCATGCTGTTTTTTGACCCTCCATGCTGGCCCACACTTAATCTACAGCTGCAGGCAGCTGTCAAGCGACACGAGTCGTGAAGTGCGGATACTTCTCACCGTGTCTCAAGTGCGTGTATCTGAACATACAGTGGAGCAGAAATAATATCTTTCAGCTGTCTTCCTCAGTTGCGCTGTTGCTCAGATTCGTTTCTCACTTATTACAGCAAGTCAGACCTGCAGGCGGCTCGGGGGCTGGCGTCAGAGAAATTGGGGTCTATCAGCGCCTGGGACTTGCGAGACGGCCACTGGACCTATTCCAAGGCCAAAGTTTTTATTAAGAGGTCCGACAAGAAGAACAGAGATTGCGTTTTGGAGAACTTCGCGGCAGATTTCTACGATGCCATGCTTATCTGCCTCTGGTCAGCTGAGACAACCGAATCCCAGCTGCAGCTGCTTTGGGTAGAACTGGTGTTGTCGGTTTTGCTGCTGTTGTGTTTTGTGGTGTTCTTCATACTATTGTGATTTTTGGCAGTGCTGCAGCTGGTGGCGTTTCTGGCCCTGCTGGGGTTGCTGCTGCTGTTTTGGCTGCTGGTGTTTCTTCTGGTGGTGCTGATTGTTGGCGTAATTGATGCATTCAGTAGAATTGTAGAGCTTCGTGAAGCGGACAGACAGGAGGAGAAAAGGTGCACGCGGAGGTTTAATTTGCAGAGCCGACAGTGTTGGAGTCAGTATAGAGTTAATGGCATAGGCATAGGTTCTAGGGTTTAGGAATTGCATCTGCCAATTACTGGGGAATAAATCATTGACTCTTCTGGCTGTGATTACGGTGGTGGCTAGGCGGCTGAGGAGGGCAAGATAGTGTAGGGGTTGTCGCTGTCTTTGCATTTCTCTGCTTTTGTATCTTATCCTGCCAGTGCTTTTACGGCTCCTTCTTGGGCTTCCTCCTATAAGCAGTGCAGTTGCAGGATGGTTCCTTGTGGTCATGCGACTTGTTTCTTTGTCTTGTTGTGTCGACGTTTTTAACCTGTCCTGCCTTTACCATGTTTCCTATGGGTTTGCGCCCCAGTTTCGAGTGTTGGCCGTTGTGATTCTGTACATTTTTACTTGAGCCTCTCCGCGTTCCACATGGCTCCCGGTTTCTTTTGCGAAAAGCTAGTCGGTGCTGGGAATCATGCTCTGCGTGTCTGTTTGTCTCTTAGGGAGATGGAGACACAAGCGAAGATAGAGCAACTGAAGTACCAGCGGAGACAGGAGCGCTCGCGAAACCGTTTGTCTGCCCTTAGTCCCCTTCCAGCAGTAGCCGGCCGTTCCGGAGGCCGTTTATCGGCCTCAGTTGTTTCGTACAAGCCAGGGAGCCATGTGCCGGCCTCGCGTCAAAAAGAGGCAGCGATGCCCGTTGAGCTTGGTTCCAAGAGCGTCAAGGGACACCGAAGGCCCCGCAAGTCTATCGTCATGAACCTTACGCGAGAAATACGCAACATTAGCCAGAGAGTGGGTCCCCTACAATGGGTGCAGGAGAGGCTCAAGAGACAAAGAGGTCGAATTAAGCCCGCAAACACCGTTCCTGCTGCTGCCTCTAGTGGACTCATTGGTGACACACACGAAACAGTCCACTCTGCAGCGCCTTCTGCAGCAGCAGCCACAATAGCAGCAACGGAGTCGAGAACAGCATAAGCTGCAGTACGGTGAGTGGCAACAGGAACGGAGACAGCAGTCACAGAGGAAATGCGCAAGCGGTCTGCTCCCCGCAGAATATTGTCGAGGGCCCGTGAAGTGGCCTTGGGACTCAGCGACACTGAGGCAGGGGAATCATCTCAGTTGCCATCCTGACGGGTTGGTATTTCCACAAGCAACATTTGGTAGATGAAAAGGGGAAGCAGAAGTAGCGACTGCTGCTCAACCCATGAGCCGCGGCTAGTTAGGTTTTCCCGTGCTGGTCCCGCTGCCTCTTCAGTCATGGCCCATAGTGCGGCTGTTTTTAAGGTTACTACTGGTCAGGGTGAGCAACGTGCCAGTCTTTCTTTTTTCAAACCGTCGGATGCTGTGCAACGGAAGACGGGCCTACAGGACTACCATTCATAGTTCTGCTTGCATTGTGCATTCGTGAACTATGGATGCATGTAAGATAAACCAGCTGTCTAAAGATTGATTTGTACCACTTGTCGACAGAGATACAAAGCAGTTGAAGCGCTGTCTCCCAGGCAGGCCGTTGAGCCTTTTGGCGAAACTCACTGCTTTTGAAGGAATGTCTTGGTGGTCACTCCTGTATATATGCTAGCTGCTGCTGGTATGTGCTGACTTTTTGCCTAATGCTTACTGCGGGCGCCATATATTCTGCTGCTGTTGCTTTTGCCTCCTTCAGCACAGGATGTCCAAAGGGGCTGCAGCGGCCTCTGGTATATAGACAACCTTGAGAGTTTGCTAAGCGTGCCCTACGTAACAACACGGCCAACGCAGAAGCAAAAGAGGCGCCTTGATCTAGTGTGATTAAACGCGAACGTACGCGCTGACCCGGGATCGAACCAGGGACCTTTAGATCTTCAGTCTAACGCTCTCCCAACTGAGCTATCAGCGCGGTCCACGTAATTTTGGCCTGTGCACTTTTGGCGCCCCATTTTGGTTAGCTCCTGCTGTTGCTGTTGCTGCGACGGGCGGTGGCGTGCGGTGGCCCGGGACTCTCGCGAAGGAGAGAACGCAGCTAACAGTGTTCTCTTGCATCCCAAGTTCGCTCCTTGCAGTGACACCTTTCCTAGTCGCTGCATGCTCTCCTTGAGTTCAAGAGTTCAAGCCACATAGGGTTGCACATTCTCATACATGATTTCACGAAGCGCAAAAGTCGGATAGATGGATGCCCAAATGAAGGAGGGAACTCTTTACTGGTTTTGCACCCGATACATCGCACAGGCAGGCACTAGTAGCGGTTCGCTGCAGGCCCCAAAGAACTTCCAAAAAGACATGTAGAGACGCCGTTGCTGACTTCACGTTTTTCCTATGGACAGTAAGAGTACAGTAAGAGTGTGAGGCTCAGGTTTTGGGACTCTAGCTCCTACACGCACCCCTGTCCTCCGCATTGCCAGTGCTACTTTCCATGCCCGTCTTAGCTAGTTAGCAAGGCAGCAAGCACTCAGCAGCTATGCTGATTCTACCTTAATACATCAGGTTTGCTAAGCCAAGAAGACCATAGGAGCTTAGTCATGTGCACAATGCTTGCCCCAACACTGCAGGGCGTGGTGTGACTTGAGATTCGCTCACTGATGCACGCGCATGACTAGTAGACTAGCCCGCTGCAAAGCAGGCACAGCGACAGTAAGCTCTCAGCAAGCCAGAGAAGGCAGGAAAGGATACATACCTAGCTGTAACATCAAGGATGAATGCTAGTATGCAGAGTAAAATTTGGTCAGAACCTTTGCAAGCACAGTGCCGCTCCAACCACCAACCATATGCAGATCAGCTGCTGCACTGGCTACTGCCACAGCACGCCACCTCTGGGCCTACTCGTTTGGTGGACTTGCGTACACAGGCCCAGAAACAGGCATCGGGGCTGTGGAAGACAACGCAGTGCAGGCCTGCAATCAGTTATTTGACCTTCTGAAAGTTTGTTGCTTCAAGTGCCCCGTGAAGGGGGCGGGCGCTGCAGAGAGCTGGGTGCAGTGTTGTTTTTGTTCCATCATTTCTTCCCTCTAACCTGGCCCGACTGAGTATTCAACCGAAGGGTGGCCGGATCCAGTGGTGCGTGAGGCAGGCTATAAGATTAGTTATGAAACACTGACGTTTCTACCCCGGCGAGACACAGAAATAGAACATGAGCAATAGAAAACAAACACTAGTCTACCAGTCAATCTCTGAGAACAATCAGAGGATGTCAACTGTAATAAAGCCGATGACCGCCACGTCACTGCTGCTGCTCTGTCTCAGCCGCAGCACTTGAAGACAAAAGACAAACGAGGGATCGAGGTGGCCCTGAACGTGTCCCCAGTAGTGAACCTGGGTCGTCAACCAATAGCTGAGGTCTCCGAATGCACAGGTACTACACGACACTGCACTTCATGGGAAACTGAAAATCTCGTTGATGCCAAGAAGGCGACAGGTACTGCTGCTGCCACAAGCAGTGCTTCTTTAAGCGGGGCTCCCATTCACCCTTCTGTTGTTGCAGTGGCCGACACTGTTGTAAAGGCCGCCAGTGTTTATGTCTCAGCGGTCGTTGCTGGTGCGTCTGGTGGCGCTGTGGCTGCAGCTTTTGTTGCGGGTTGTGCTGCAGTTCATGCAGCAGAAGCGCTGTCGCAGCTGCAGTGTTTGTGTGCGACGTCAGCAGGAACATGAAGAGGACTCTGTTTTTGGGCCTTCTGTGCGCAGCGCATCCGCCAAAACGAGTCTGACTAGGCAACTAAGAAGCAAAGTGGAAACAGGAAAAAGAAGAACGACAGCGTCACACTTCGCTCGATAGCAAAGAGACAAATAAACGACAAAAACTAAAGGCACAACGGGACCCCGCACCAGCAATTTATGCGGCAAGCGTGAAGAGCCGACAGGAATACTCACAAAGAAGGCACCACAGTGAGACGAAAAAGCAACGGACAAGCAGATTGACAAAGCACAGCGATTTTCCCTACAGAAGCAGCAAGCCGATGAGACTAACCATCAGCCAGCTGGGTGCCTGTAGCTCTAAGACCCGCAACCATTGCATTCGCGTCAATCAGGCCTGCACAGATGTGAAAACACTTCACGCACCGCCGCTGCTGAAACTGACGGTACCGCCACTTAGCCGCTTCATTATAGCTCCTTGTGCTAATCCTGCAGCTTCTGTTCCGGCTACTACTGTTGCTGCTCCTGCATGCGCCTGCTGATACGGAAATATTGTGCAGAATGCATTGCCCAACCATCTTCAATCTTGCTGAGGATGAGCCGCGCAACGCGGACAAAGACATCTGTCACCCCTTCGCCAGTTAAGGCACTTGTCTCTAAGAAAAGAACATCTGCAGCAGCAGCAGCAACAGCATTAATAACGACACAGCGGGAGCCCACTCACAGCGCTAGAGCGAACATGATGTTGCAGGCGAAATCAAAAGCAGAAACAAACAAAGAAAACAAGGAAGCCACAATACAAGTAGGGGCCCAAGGAAGGAGACGTAGGAACGGAGCGTCGAAAAGCAGATAAGTGACAAGAAATATAGAAATACGCAAATTCCACTCTACCGTTTTCTTGAGCAAAGCGAGAGGCTTCCAGAAATGTGACGGCTCTCTTCTCCCTCACATCCATCTTGTTGCCTGACGTAGCAGCGGCGCCGCAATAGCGGTAACAGTTACAACAGTGGCACCACAAGAGGCACATGCTAAGTGGCTTTTCAGGCTGCGAAGGGGAAACAGGTGAAGGACATTAAAGTCAGGAGGCGACGAGCGATTTACAGAAATGTACGAACCAACAAGTTATACACTTCAGCACACTAAAAGCTGACAAAAGTGAAAGAATTCATTTCAAACAAAGGGGAGAAACAGCAGAAAGGAGGAAACACGAAAATTGCAAATGAAGCTTGCGCAGAGGGAAAGAGAAGGCAACAAGAGAGGCTAAACGCATGCCAATACTGATGCGGGAAGGGCAGAAATGACGTGCAAACATATGAGACAGGCCGGCCAATAAATGGCTCGGAAATCAGGCAAACCGAGCTAACACAGTTCAGAGAAGGCCAACGCACACGAAGGGAGAGAACATGGTAGGAAGCTTAACTGACCGACGATGGCGATGGAAATATCTGCGCGGGCCAACGAGCGTGCATCTGCGAGCCAGTTTATCAAATGGTTGTAGGACTCGCGACTGCAGCAGGAGCAGCAGAAGCAGCGCCGAACGTCACGATTGAAGGCACAATCAGTAGTCATATCAGTGATAAAAAAGGCAGAGACCACTGAAGTTGACACAGAAGATCGACGAGAGCGTGACGCCGAATGCTCCGGCGGCCGCAGAGGTATTTGGAAACTGAAAAACACGATTGCGCCGGCAAAATGCGAAAGCGCTAACGCGAGACACGCCCAGAAGGGAAAAGCCAAGGGTACGCAAATGCGGGATATAGTGATAAGATGTGCACCCTTAAGCATTGTCTTTTGGCTACACGCCCTACACCCCGGACTGGGAGAGACAGAAGTACACGGAAAATTTTCGAGAAGAGAATGCAGACTCGGCTGAATAATCGAATGAAAGATACGGAGACACAGAACCTGTCATAAAAATCAGCAGAGACATGGATATGCCAGGACACAAACAAGAGTCAGAGCCAAGCATAGAGGTGGACAGAAAGTACACAAACCCGCACAGATGAGCAAAATAGAAGAAGAGAGAAGCGGACATCCATAAAAAATATGCGAAAATGCATACAGAGACAGTGGGGCAAGGAGACCATCGCACCGTGGGAATGATACCAAAAACAACGGAGAAATTAAGGAAGAAGCAGAAATTAAGGAAGAAGCAAACCAAAAGCAGACAAATAACACAAGCCAGAAAATAACGACGTGAGCCAGCCGGTGCGTACTTGGATATGTCATACACTAGAAGGGCCCCAGCTGCTCCTCTGTAGTAGCTGCGGGTGACAGAGCGGTACCTCTCTTGGCCCGCTGTGTCCCATATCTGCAGTTTGATGCGACGATCGGCAATGTTGATCACTTTCGAAGCAAACTCGACGCCTATGGTGTGGCTGGCACCCTTACGAACTACAACATACACAATGCAACTGCCCTTTCCGGTGCTTCGCGTGCTGGTAGAGGGGCTAATGGTGGCAGAGGTGCTTGTGCCGCTGCTGCTTGCCCTACAAATGAGTTTCTAGATAATGATAACTGTGCAATGAAGGGGACGAATCCAGAATATAAGGAGAGAAAAGCTACGACGCATCGACAAAATATAGGGCAACACCAGCAACGGTAGGGATTTGGTTGAACGTACATTTGTTTTCTATGAACTGATGCAACAGACATGACTTGCCGGCCCCCGCGTCTCCAATTATAATAAACTTGAAAAGGTAGTCGTGCTGTTCTTTTCCCTGAAGCAGCATCAACAACAATAGCATCATGGAAGCAAGCATCGCCAGATACGGAGTCATATGGCTAAACAGAAACAAATAACAGTATAAACACCGCCGGATTGACGGACGGGAGAAACCAACGGACACAAAAGGGAAGATGCAAGCACAGATACGCATCATGCCGACGCACAACCACACAAACCGTACAGTACGATGGAAAATGGAGTTACAGAGCCACAATCGTTTACACGTACAAGCCAAGGTAGAGGTACATGCGGGCAATGATAACGGGGGAAAATAAATAGACAGCAGCAAGCCAAAAATTGATCGGGAACAATGGCGTGAGGGCGTTGTTTCTCACCGCAGGCGTTGCCATCGTCACTGCAGAAGCAGGGAAGCCAAAACTGAGGAACAACACCGGGACAGACACTGCAGTACAGTTCCTGAAGAGAGTGTCCTAGGGCCACATAAGTGGCACAAGCAGGAGCAGCAACGAACTTATATAAGGCGTGATGTCACGCGGGGCATCCAACTAGTGCAAAGACAGAATGAAGACCCTTTGTCTTGGGCAGCAGCTCAACAGCGCATTTGCAGCATTAGCTGCTGCGCCTGCTGTGGCTGCTGCTCCTAGAGCTACTGATCCTAGAGCTTCTGGTGGTCCTGATGCATTAGATTCTGCTATATGCATTGCGTACGAGATACGCCAGAGGGACGAAGTGTCAGCGGCTCTGTCTGTAGGTAATCATTGAAGCGCATGGAGCCAGACTCGCGTGACCAGCAACAACACGATAGTCGCAGCACCTGGAACATTCAGCGGTAGCGGCACCGGTCCTAGCTGGGATAAGTGTGTAAGTAAATCCAGTGCTCTCGCTGGCCCGATTAGGGAGCCATTTGAAGTCCTACTTTTCAGTGGCTGCTGCTGCCGCTGCTGCTTTGGCGGCGGCGGCACCGGGGGGACTGGGATGGTGTAAGCCCTACTGCTGTTTAGCTGTATGAACACTCCAACAATCATGTATGAGGAAAGCCCAACGCTTTGCTTCTGTTTCAATTGCCGCCAGTGCTATCACAGGGACAGATATAGCCATAAACGCCGGCTCCCAGGGCTCCTGCTGCTGCTACTGCTGCTGCTGCTGTTGTGCAGGCGGCGGCGGCTCGGGAGCAGCAGGAGCAGCAGCAGCAGCAGCAGCGGCGGCAAGAATAAACCCAGGGGGCGAATTAAGCAACAGTTTTTTATTCCCATATTCTGGGGTGATTTTCTTCTCAAGGATTTGACAAGACAAGAGGAAAGAGGTTGCTACAGTGTTGCTGGTACCGCTGCTGATGCTGCGCGGGCACGACACCTGGCCGACCCACGCGTTTCCCACGCTGACTTCAGCCGTGCGTTTCTTGCTACCTGAGGTGTATGCACACCAGAGCAAGCTGCTTATATTTTCTGTTGCTGGGTACCTCTAGACAAAGCCAGAATCCTGGGCAGCAGCGGCACATACAGCGGCAGTGGCGGAGGCGCTGGGAGCAGCAACAGCAGCCGCATCTGTGGAGTTGGCATCCCCAATAGGCTGTCTCGTACGAAAACCAACAGCAGCAGCCGCTGCAGAAACTCGCTGCAAGCTCCATAATTGAGGCGGCTCTGGTAGCCAAGAGCTGCGGCAGCAATCGCAGCTGCGCTTAGTTGGCTGCCGCTACAGGGTGAAGTAGAAGGTCCCTGCTACTGCTGCCGTTAAAAGGTTGTGCCAGTAGCGGCTGCGCGTGTTCTGTGGCCTAAGATTGCCCAGCCGCCGCAGCAACAGAAATCGCGGCAACAACAAGCGCAGTCGCGGGGGCAAATGACCCTTTCGACGTAAGAAGATACTGTAATTCGCTAGCAGCTGGTTTGAGTTGTCCCGTGAAACAGCAGCGGCAAGAGCAGCAGCAGAAAAAGCGGCCGCAGCGGCAGTAGCAGCAATGGCCCAGTCGCAGGCAGCCGATGTGTACGACCATCTCTACAAGATAATTCTGGTTGGAGATGCTACTGTGGGAAAGACCCATTTACTCTCCAGATACACCCGAGGCACTCTTCCCCAAAATCCTAAGGCCACGATAGGCGTCGAGTTCGTCACTAGAACGGTACCTCTTGCTGTAGGAGGCACAGTCAAGGCACAGGTCGGATACTCGCAACAGCAACAACAACAGCGGCAGCAGCTGCAGCATCAGCTGCAGAATCGGCTAGAGTCCACTATGAGCGACATTTGCAGCAGCAACAGCAGCATTAGCAGGCGCCGAGGCAGAAGACATTGCAGCAATGCCAGAGAGACGCCTCAATTGAAAGTGCAGGCGTTTTCCACAATTTTATCTCTAGTAGCCATCACCCACACATGTGGCGCTGCTGTTGCTGCTGCTGCAGATTTGGGACACAGCTGGCCAGGAGCGTTACCGCAGCATAACTTCAGCGCACTACCGGCGGGCTGTGGGCGCGTTGCTGGTCTACGACGTGACCCGGAAGAGGACGTTCCTAAGCGCTAGCAAGTGGCTTGAGGAGCTGCGCCAAAATGCCGAGCCTGATATCGTGGTGATGATGGTGGGCAATAAGGTCGATCTCTGCGAAAAGGATCCCTCCTTGAGAGAGGTAGACTGAAACATTCACTTAAATACACTGCGTGCTTATATGACGAGGAACAGAAACAAATTAGGTGTGTTGTTTGCTGCACTTGTTGGTGAAAAAGTGGGAGAAGCTCAGACGGAACGAGGGAGTCATGACAGGCTCACGTTTGCTTAGCGATAGGGTGGGGGCTTCACTTCTATGGGTTCATCTGCGTGTTTGTCTGCTTGTATAGCCCTGGGGAACCATATGTCTTTGTTCCTTCGCTGCTGCTCTGTCTATGCCCTTTTGTTTGGTTCATTTGCCTTCCTGTTCTAACCAGCTAGCTGGGGTATTTTCAATTGTTACCTAAGGAGCTCTGAACATAACTATTAACTCACAAGACAGGCTGGCCAAACGGTTACCTAGCCACCGTGTTGTTTATTACAAACGCTGGGAATTTTTTTGGTTGTTATTTCCCACTGGAACATTGTGTATATGGAATGCGCGTAGGTGCCATACGAGTTGGCTGCTCGTTTTGCGCAGAGCAACGGTCTGTTCTTTAGCGAGGCATCGGCTGTTACATCACTCAACGTAAAATTGATTTTCGAACACTTGCTGCAGGAAATTTACAACCAAAAGGCTGAAGGAAGAGCAGCAGAGGCCCCCGCCTCCCCTAGACCTCTCCGAGACGGTGCTGTGCAGCTGTGTAGTAACCCACACTATCAGACGCAACAGCCGCAACAAGCAGGCTGCTGCAAAGGCTAAGCAGCATTTCGCAGTACCGAAAGCGCAGGAGCAGTTTCCCCTGCTGCTGCAGCAGCCGAAACACCAGCAATAGCTGCTCCAGCAAGAGGACCAGCTGCCACGGCGAAAGCTGTTGTCTTTGCAGCCTAGAGAACTGCAACTGCAGCAGAAGCGAAAGCAGCTGCAGGACAAGCGAAAGGAAGAGCAGCAGCGAATGCTGCTGCTCTGATTTGCATGTGCGACTTGAATTAAAGGAGCGCCCTGGGGGGTGGCCCACGCGGCAGCTTCAGATACGAAATGGGCAGCAAGGGCAGCACTATCAGCAGTAACATCAGGAGCAGCCGCAGCATGACGTGCTGTAGCTCAAGGATCTAGAGCTGCTTTTGTTGCTGATGCTGCCTCTGGGAATGGCGCGGCAACTTGATAACACGCCAGTTGACTACCGGAGTGAAAGGGAGAGCAGAAAACGCAGCAACAGCACGTAGTGGACATTGCATTTAGTTGACACGCAGCACAGCACACCAGCAGCGATACTTGCAGTGGCACCAGACGTTTGCCGCAGGGCGGCAAACTGCACTTAAGATACTCGCAATCTGCATCACTTGGCACCGGGCAATAGCCGAGTGATCTTTAGTCGCACAGCGCGAACTTAGACACGAAGATGGGGGCGATGCTTTTGGAAGCACAGCGAGTGACTGAAGCAGCACTATCAGCAGCCACACTGCGAGTGGCTGCAGTAAATGGTCCTCTAGCTTTGGGAGACGAGAGTAGGAATAACTGCTGTTGCAGCATCAAACGCAAGTACAATGGCGTCGCACAGCTCTGTAAAGAGTTTCGGGAGACAGCTTGCTCTCTTTAGGTAGGGACCGAACACGCAGTCAGATACTGTCACACCTGCGAGGGTTCGCAGTCAAGCTGATAACGCCTGGATGGGAGTTGGCGCAGTGGCAGCAGCAGTTGCAACGGTTGCTGCCGGTGACTAAAAAGTATTCGCTGCTACTGCAAACTACAGGCGGACAACCATGTTAGGCAACCCGCATGAGAAGCTCATAAGCCTCAAACTCCGAAGCAATACAAAAAATGGCTCAACTGTGAAGGAAGTGCACGAATGAGCAGAGTACCGTATATGAAAGTGCCACGCAGGTGGTAGTTGCTGTGACCTACTGTCTCGTCAGCCTCCTGCCATTCGGGGTAATACGGTAAGAAATACTTAAAGGGTTTGTCTTTATCCTTCGGTGGAAAAGCAGTGCTGTGAGATAGTCAAGGAGAAGAGCCGCGTCAAGCGGACGATCAGTTCTGGAAGTCAGGTACGCAGGGAGACAACGAGCGATAGGGAGACGAGGCGGCAACGGCAATGGCAGCAGCAGCAATGTTGGAGGGCAGATGAAACAAGACAAAAGAGAATCGACTATGCATTGCTCTCCATGTCAAAAGGCGAGCCGCTTTACCCTTTTAGAGCCATCAGGGATTGAGGGACTCCGGCACACTCCGCAGGGAAGACGATAGATATGGCTAGAGTGGGGCGCCCATTGCTTGTGCTGCCTCCGTCATTGCTGTTGCTGCTCACATATTGCAGCGGCACCAGCCAAAGTTACTCCTGGGCTAGAAAATAGCCACATTCAGGCGGGCTTTATTGGAACTCATCGAAGTATGCACTTGCTGACGCAGGTACCCAGCCTGCAGCAGCAACTGCAACAACAGAAGCGGCAGCAACAACCCCACTGGTCACTGACACGCCCGTGAGCTGACGCTGCTGGGGTGTACGTGTACCCCACAGGGATTCCTAATGCACCAACAGCTACAACAGAAGTAGCAGGTGCAGCAGCAGTTACGCTACTCGTGGGACGTTCGCTGGAATACTGATTCTCAGGTGCACACACAGGTACATCAAGCACCACAAAGCGGCAACAGCAGGAATCGGAGCGGCTGCTGCAGAAGCGCGTCCGCGCCAGCTTTTTTCCGCAGACACCAGTAGCTGCAACTACTTATTTGCCAACTGCATTTCATTAAGCCTCGTAAGGACGGCAGCAACGGCGGTGGTGAGACGGTCTACCCTTCCTGGCCCTGGGGGGCAGGGGCCCCACATTAGGGGCCCCTTGTTGCCTTCGCCAGCAGGAAGTGGATAGCGCAGTCAGCGAGGCCGCAGCAGTAGTACCAGGAAGAGCATCCCCAACAGAGCCACACAGCAACACCAGCACCTTTAGGCACGGGGCCTTTGTGCCAAGTGGAAATGGCACAGCCGTTGCTGGACCTGTTCGAGTACAGTCTGTTCTATGCATAAAAAACAGGGATAGCAGCAGCAGAAACCACACCAGAAGCAGCTGCAGCTGATCCCGGAACTGCAGTAGTATCAACAACCGAATCCGGAAGGTTGCCAGCACAGACGCCGTGATGGAGGGCATTTCTGTTCTTGTTTTGCTGCTGCCTGCTCCAAAATTGATTCGTTGCTGCTGCTGCTGCTCCCTGTAGTCAAGGGCAAGCGCACTTCTCGGCGGCAGCAGCAGCAGCAGCAGCAGCAGCAAAAACAATAGCATAAACAGCAGTAAAAGGAGCCACAATGGCTGCATTCCCACCAGGTGTTTCCCTAGGGGATGGGGCACCACATAGTATCATGGCTCCCGAGACTTTGCCCCTCAAAAGCGAAAAAAGGGACAAGGAACAGCAATTCAAGCAGAATTTGCTGCTTCAGCACAATCCGCCCACTTGTGAACCCGTAGACGAAAGCAACCGTCGACCTTCGTGCATTTCAGCATCAGCAGCAATAACACCACCACCCGTAGGAGAAACCACACCCGCCAGAGCAGCAGGAGCAGTAGAGACACCAGGAGCAGCAGCAGCGACCGAGACAGAAGGCTGCTTGCTTCAATGGTTTCCGGGGTTCGACCTTCCTATTGGCCTTAAAGGCCGAGCTATCCTCAGGCGCGTCCTCAACCAAAGAAGATCTCTCGATGCCGCAAGATGTGTGAGACTACCCGCTCTTGCACTGGCTGGCAGTTTTGCTACTGCCTGTCTTCTTGTGCTTCTTTTGCAAGTGTTGTTGCAGCTGGTGGCATTGTTGCTGCTGCTGATGCTGATGCTGCTGCTGTTGCTGCCGCTACTTACATGCCTTCGGGGTGCGGAGGCATATCTGTTGCTGTGTTCTTTCATCCTTTTCTGGTGAGAACGCTGATGCTGTTACTTATTGCAGAAGCAGATCCTTTCCGAGCACGGGATCGTGTTGGGCCGCGGCGTGCCAGGCCATACAACAAATTGGGGTGGCCTGACAGTGAAGGAGCTGCTGCACGCAGCTCACCTATTGGGATGCTGGCGCCAGGTGGAGGAATTATGTTTGTCTTTCTGCTGTAGCAATGGCCTCAAAATAGAATGGGTTAAGGAATTACGTGCCAAAGGACCCCACCAGGTTACCCTTGCCAACCTCTTGTCCATGAAAAGAAATGCAGCAGCAGAAGCACGCAGAAAGAGGCAGCAGCACACAAGCACTAACGCTGCTGCTGCTACCTCTTCTTCTGGTGCCTCAGTTGCTGCAGCAGCTGCTACTCCGAATGGCAAGAGCGGACCCACACCAGAAGACATCGCTAGTGCAACAACTGTTGCGTCCACCGCAGCAACAGCAGCAGAAGGGCAAGAAAGCAAACTAACCATACCTGGTAGGAGAGGGGGCGCTCGGCAGGCAACGCCAGGCCTCAAGCTACGGAAGAGCTGCGCAAGGGCGAGAAAGGGACGGATTGACTACCAGCAGCAACAGCAGCAGCAGCATGTACAAGAAGGGGAAAGTACCAACAGCAGCACACCCACTGCAGCAGCAGCAGCTGCAGACACCAACTTTAGCTGCTCCATGTCCAGTCTTCCCCTACATCCTCAGACCGAAGATATGCCTGTAGGGGGTGCTTCAGGGGGTCATTCCCAGCAACAGCAGCAGCAGCAGCAGCATATTTTGCAAAGCCAACCAACAGCACCAGAGAATGCACTTGTGGAGGGTGCCTTCGCTCCAGAATTATGCAGAAGCCCCCGTGAGACGCCACTGAGGCCATCTCACGAACCACCAGTTTTCGACCCCTTTGAAGAAGGCACGAGACGAAGCAGCAACAGCAGGCGCAACAGCAGGAGGCAGCAGCAACAGCAGCAAAAACAGAGGCTGCTGCCGATGCATGCGCCTCCGTCTGGAGCCCCACACCACAGCGGCGAAGCTGCTGCTCCAGCTGCTGATGTGGTTCCTGCTTTCTGCACAGGGATCTCAAGCTGGTCTAGCAACTACGGAGGAGCCCTTCATAATGTGACCGAACTAAAAGGGGCACCAGAGGGACCTCCTCCGGGAATGCCCATCAGCCCGCCGTTTGGAGCTAGCACATGGTGTGTGCAGCAACAGGAGCTGCAGCAGCAAGGGCTGCAGCAGCAGGAGCTTCAACAGCAGGAGCTGCAGCAGCACGAGCTGCAGCAGCAGGAGCAACACCAACAGCAACAGCCCGAACAACAGCACGAGCAACATCAACAGGTGCTGCTGCATCACGAACAACAACAAGGGGCAAGCCATATGGTCTTTCCTGATTTTCAGTGGACCTCAGGCGCATGTGCCGGCGAGAAGAAACAGGAGATAGCAGCAACAGCCTCACAGCCACCACTAGTGCCAGCGCGAGCAGCAACAGCGGCAGAAGCCGCCGCCGCTGCTGCTGCCCAACAGCTTCAACTTGAAGACTGCTATATCGAGACTTCCTATTTGTATGCAGACGCTCACCAAGGCACTACCATAAGCGACGCAGCAGCAGCAGCAATCCCATCGGAACCTGGTACCGCTGCGCCTCTTATGTATGACTGGAGCAATCACTTTCAAAAAGCCGGCAACATGCAGCAGCAGCAGACTCATCTGGGCGCTCCGCAGCAGTGGCTATCGCCAATGCTCCCCAATTATAGTGGACCGCCCCCCCCGCCCCCTCCGAGCCCCAGGTTTTCATTGCCACAGGGAGAAATGCCTGGAGTAACTCCACTGCAACTGTGCGCTGCTCAGCCGCTGCCATCTCTTGCGTCTCCGTGCCCGCTGCAGCTCGGCAAAAGTGGAGTGCCTCACGACAGCAGCAGCGATGTGAGCTGTGCATCTTGGCGAATCAAAGGGTCCAGGAGCAGCAAAAGCACCAGCAGTAGCACCAGCTGTGGCGTTGTACCAAATTACTCAGGGAGAGTTGCATCAAACTCAAGTGTCCCTCAGCGGCGGACAGCAACTCGGGGCACCCAAGCTGTTGCGGCGTCTCGATCGCGGCACCGTGCCAAGTCAGGAGAAGCAGCAGCAGACGCAGCTGCCGCCGTAGCCACTGGCTACCAGCAACACCGAGGAGCGCAGTCGGGCGTTCCTTCGCTGCAGCAGCTCCTAGCGTCGAGCAGTAGTGATAGCTGCAGCTGCTGCAGCGCCAGTAGCGGAGATGAGGACACACCGTATCCTTCTTTGCTCCCTTCCCAGAGTGTTGGCTTTCAGTATGGGGAGAAGGAGCCCTCGCTGCAACAGCAGCCGCAGCAAATACCGTTGGGTTCTTATGTAACAACAGCTGTTGCAGGCAGAGTCCAAGAGGGCATGACGAAGACAGCCGCGTTGGGGGTCCCTCCCTCCCTCCATGTGTCGTCACCGCAGAGGCCCTGGCTTCACCCTTCAGGGGTTCCGTACGTTGAAGGGTTCATTTCTGGTGCAGACGCAGCCCTAGCAACGCCCGGAGAAACAGCAGTGGAAGGAGCAGCCGACTCACATGCGACAGCGCAGTCCCATGAGGGATGGTGGGCCGGCACTGACACTCCCCTGCTGCTCTCACCAGGCCACACACCAGTGGGGGCTCCTCCGTGGAACCCATCAGACACAACACACATTCTTTTTAGAAGTGAAACTTTACAGCAGCAGCAACAACAATCATTCTCGCTGCAACCGCAGCAACAGCGACAGCTCCCGGCACATCATGAGCAACAACCACATCAGCAGCAGCGGCAGCATACTCTGCTGCTGCAGCAAGAGGTTACCCCAGGAGCCCTTCAACCCCAGGCACAGTGTGCCCAAGAAGACGAGTGGGGATCTTCCGGCCCTACTTCCTCCTCCAATTCGTTTCCTACCGACCCTAACGCAGTTAATTTGCATGGAGTAACAGCAGCAGCTGCTGCTGCCACTGATGCTGCTGCTGCTGTTGCAGAGCCTGTCGCTGTAGCTCTGCAGCCAGACGCAGCTGACATGCACACCGCACCTCCGTTGCTCCTGCAACGAAAACAGCAACTGCACTCTTTGGAGCAGCAGCAACAGCAGCACAACATGCAGCAGCCACGGCAGAGACGCAGGGCTAAAGGGAATGGGGCGGAGCGGCAGGTGCAAAAGCGACCGCGGAACGATAGCAGCAGAAACACAAAACGCAGTGAGCAGCAGCAGCCGCAGAAGCTGCTGTTGCAGCAAGAAATGAACCCGTGCTTCCCCGTGCAGACGCAGGCACAGCAGCAGATGTTGCTGCAGCAGGCCGCAGTTTCCAACCCACAGACTGCCGGAATATGCTGCAGCAGCAGCAATTTGCTGCGGCAGCAAGTATCACCGCAGCTGCCGCCAGAGCAAGAAGATTATGCTGCATCTACAGCAGTCGGTGTTGGCGTGTCGGAGGCATATTCTGCTGTAGCAGCAGGCCAACTATTCCAGTCGCCCTGGCCTCTAGATGCCGCAGATCCAACGGCAGCAGCAGCTGCTGCTGCGTGCGGCAGTTCTGGGACTCCACAAGGTGCACTGCAGGTTGCACCTCCAGCATGAGTCTCAGACAACCGTGAGGTCGTTCGCTTGTGTCTTACGTCAGGTGGTGAGGGGCCTCCTTTGATGCACCCAAGGGAGCAGCTGCAGAGCCAGCTGCAGCAGCTACTACAGCAGTGGTGTAATGCACTGGAGCTGCTTTGCTATCCCACACAGGACAGCCGCTTGCTGGCTTCCAGATGAGTGTAAACAAAGTGAGAAATGCGTACGTAGAAGCCTTAGGAAAGCCCCCTGAGAACCCCAGGGGGCCCCCTGAGGTCCCCTTGGGGGCCCGATGAGGTCCCCATTGGTGTGGTTTTGGTGCCCTTGGGGTCCATGAGGACCCCAAAGGGACCCTTCGTTACACTGGTTTTCTTTTGCAGCCAGATATGCAAGACAATGAGAGGTCAGTGCATGCTTTGGTCTGTGCTGAGTTGTGGTGGCACAGAAATGAAGGGAAATGGCACGGTAGAAAGCGCGATGAATGTAGCACAGAAAGAGACGAGCGCAAATACGTCAGTGGTAACGGAGCCAAATGGACAATGGCGCAGACTGACGCAGAAGCAGGCAGATACTTGCACACACAAGGGTATATGTAGATAAGGGCCGGTACGCTCACAAACAGGCGGAGGAGGAACCACACATCGGCAGGTGAAACAGAAAGGGGAGGAAACAAAATGCCATGCAAGCGCGTCTGTTATTCTGCAGTGCCATGCTGCAATTCCTTCATGGTCTCTGGCAGTTTTCCTCTGCGTCTTTCTGTTCCTCCATGTGCTCTCCTGTTGTGCTAGTCTTTGTCAGTAATTATTTGTGCCTGCGTGTCCTGTTGTGTATCTGTCCTTGTTTCTTTGTGTGTAGCTGTTTCCCTCCTTGGCTGCCTGTGTGCCACTTCTTTGTGCTCGTTCCCTATGAAGAGAGCTGCCGCAAACAGCATCCTCAGCAGCGGGTGGCTGCGAAGAGGAGGAAATTAATATTAACCATGGACATTATTTTCAACCCACGCAGAAGCCTCGGGTTTGCCATTAGCCAGCCAACCGGGCCAGGACTTCCGCTGTCTTGGTCTCCTTCAACATTGGAGTTGGGGGCCTAGTTCCCGCGGAACACCACCAGCTAATACGTCAACAATTCAGAAGCATTGATCTACCTTCAGGAACACATGAACTGCAGCTCACTGTTTTTCTGGGGCGTACGAGGTCAGCTATTCAGATGACATGCTCCCTGATCCTTAGTGCGGCAGGGACTCAGGGCATTTGTACACACCACAGAGGAGGAAAAATCCACATTAACCCAAGAAAATCATAGATATCAATGAATTAAAATATAAGAGGAATCTGGAACTATGATAAATAGGCCAGACTGCGGATCATTGGAAGCAAAACCCTGCCTCGCCTCGGTGCGGCCGACTCTGCTCGAGCGTGCACAGCAGCGACAACTGCAACAAGAACAGCAGCAACAGCAGTGAGAGCACTAGAATGAGTAAGGTATAGATCCTGAGGATGTCATTGTTTTATTGATTTTCCTGTGAGGGTTTCTCTCTACTCCGTGGGTACACTGGCCCGTAAAGTTCACATGGCTGCAGGTTCCTATCTTTCCATCCAGGGCCTCTAGCAAGGATTAGAAGCCCCACTTGAAAATCTATGTGAACTCACTAAAGGAATGGATTTTCATCGTCTGGGATCAATTCAGATCATCCAGCATTGTGTTCCAACTGGCTCTTGAGGCTCCAAAACGCATCGTGAGAGGTGACCTCGCCTCGAGGTCTCCTCAATCATAGCTGCACAAGAGGGGATTTTCAGTCCTTTAGAAAGCCGGAACTTGCAATAATCTCCACGGTTTGCTGTTGGACGATCCCTGTTACACAGATGCCTGTACAGTTAAGGGCCTTTGGCTCCCCGCGGCTGCTGAGCCGTTTAACAGGGCAAGGAAATACTCGAAAGCCCCAACAGGAGCCCACTCCTTTCATGGACACAGGACAAAATAGAGATGCAGACCCCATAAAGGCTGTAGAGGAGTCAAGAGGGGGACCTGAAACACAGCTAGCCCTTCCTGGTGATCGTCCATCATCTCCTCTATTGCCTAGACAAGCAGAACACTTTGGGGTTCCCGGGGGGTCTTGGCTGCCTCCATTACAGGTCAGCTGACTATATCCGCTCTTTCAGTTCCCGCTTCCCGTGCAGCTGGTAGTCCGTTACCTGCATTGGGGCTGCTTCCGGTGCACCCGCAGCAATTCCTGATAGAGCTGAGTATGAACTTCAGGCTTCCCAGCTTGTGCTGCAAAAGACTTACACTATGTGCGTTTTACAGGCAGTGGCTGCAGCAGAGGGCCTCCCAACCCCAAAAGGGTCTCCGCCGGTGCCCCGGGGCCCACTTAGTGCCTCTGAGGCTCTTGCGGGGCCCTTAAAGGGCAGCGCTGCAAACGCCTGTGAGATTACGGAGCATACAGGCATTGATACTACTGCTGCTGCTGCTGCAGATTCGGGAAATCCACACGACAAAGGCAAACGGTCGCCTGCATCTCAGCGTCGCAGTATCTTAAGCCTTCCAATGTGGCAGAGGAGAGCTACTGAAAGAATTACCGCAGGTGTACCCAACAGCAGCCGCCGGCGTCGTCGTGTCTTCAGTGTCACGGGCAGGAAACAGCAGACAGAAGCTGCTGCAGCAAGTAGCAAGCCTGCTGACGCAAAGGAAGCCCTGGCGCCGGGAGAAGCTGCAACTTCAATAGCCCAAGCAGAAACAGGCGAAACCGCGACAGCAGAAAAAACAGATGCAGTCAAAGCAGCAGCAGAGGATGCAGAGGCGTCAGCTGCCGCTGCAGCACACCAATGCGTTGAGTGGAAGATGCAGTCAGTTACCGCCGCCGCCTCAGTGGAAAAGCAGAGTCTAGAGCAGCAGCAAGATCAGCAACAACCCGACCGTTATTCAGCCGAAAAAGATAGGAATGCCCGTGCTCTGGGGTCGGAGAGCTCACACAGGCCTCCGCAGAATGAGGCAGACAAAATTGCTGGTGTGGGGTCCCCAGATGAGGCGCAGGGCCCTGCTGCTTCGGTTGCAGCGAAAACCTCACGACGTAGTATCCTAAAGGCATTCTTCCTGCCCAGTCGGAGAGTTTCACAGTTGCAGCAACAGCAGCACAACCAGCATGAGCAGCACAACGAGGAGAAACGGCGAGAAAAGGAGCAACAGGAATCGCAGGCTTCAGGCGGTTGGGGAGGAACTGCGGCACCTCAGGCAGACGAGCATCGCCAACCTTCATTTCCTTCTCCACTTGAACACGACACTTTGAAGGAATCTGTACGGGCGCAATTGCTGCTGTCCCGCAGTAGCAACAATACTAATATGGCAGAGTTTCCGGTTAACGCAAGCACCAGAAACAATAGCACTGGCGGTAACTTCAACAAAAGCAGCAGGAGGCGTTTCAGCCACAAAGGTGCTAACCTGTGGGGTTCCCCTCTGTGTGGCGCAGGCGAAGACGGGAGATGCTCCACAAGGCCTTCAAAGCTCTTCGCCCGTTGCAGTGCCTCCTAGAAGGCAGCAGCACTTTCAGGAGCAATTTCAGCAGCAATCAGAGATGCAGAAATTTCAGGAACAGGAGAAGCAGGTGTCACAAAAACCTGTGCACCAGGACCCACAGGAGCAACAGCAAGAGCCGCATATGCAGCAGCATAGGCACCTACGTCACACCCAGAGAAAGCTGGAGCCCAATCCAAGGGGACGCAATCACACAGTCGTAGGGCCCCTCGCTGCACTGAAAAGCAGCAACATTAAAGACAGCACCAGAAGCAACAAACGCTTCCGAAGCAAGGAGGTAAGGAGCCCTAAGCAGGGAAAGGAGTGGCAGGACGATCAGCAGCAGTCGCAGCAGCAGCAGCAAAAGCAATCAAGACGTGAAAAACTACGCGCTACCATCGCCGCCCCACGATCACTAGCGCATTCTGAGCACATGCAGTCTCCGCAGCCTCCGCTATCACAACAGACACAGCAGGAGTGGCAGGACGAGCACCCGCAAACGCAGGAAGAGGAGCAACCAAGGCACGAAAAGCTGCGAGCCACCACTGTACTAACAAGACCACGAAGACATTCTCCGCATGAGCACCGTCCGGAGCAGCAGCAACCGCAGCACCATCGCCTGCAGCTCTTGCGAAGCCAAAGACCGCTTCAATATCTCTCAACTTCGCGGAAACTGCAGCAACGCATGGCCCAAGACACAGTGCCTGCGGATAGCAGCAACAGCCAAAGCTGCGAGGCGAGGGATGCAGAGGATGCATTGCAGCTGCCTGAGCAACAACGGCAACGGCAGCAATATCAGCAGCACCAGAACCAGCAACAGCAGCAAGAAGATGCTTCTCAGGCAGCCTACCCGCTGCCTCCTTTTTCGAAAGCGGAGAATGAACATGAAATGCAGGAAGGTGGGGAGCTGCAGCAGCAGCAGCAACGCGGGCTAGCCCAAGAAGCACGCGCGGTCAATGAACAGCCCGTGCAGCAGTCACCTAGACTCTCACTAATTGAACGCCAAATCGCCATTGCCAAGCGGCACCATGAAGAGCATGAAATGCGCCGGCAGCAACAGCAGCAAATGCGGCAGCAGCAGCAGCAGCAACAGCAGCAAATGGCTCGCCGTAAAAGCTCACGAAGCTACAGACGGCTGCTCGCTGTCACTTCTTCTCAAGCCCCACAACGCCCTGCGGAAGATCTCTGCGTCTCTCTGCCTCGGCGTCAGCTACTGCAGCAGCCTCAGGAAGCCCAGAAGGAGGAAGAGCAGCAAAAGATGCAGGACCAAGAAATGCTGCAGCAACAAAGAGAGGAACTGCAGCAGCAGAAAGAGACAGCAGATGTGCCGCAGCAGAAACAAACACCGTCAGAACCTCAAGAAGGGCAGCAGCAGCAGCAGGCCGCGCCCGAATTACACCGTGAAGCACTGCTGCACTGCGGAAAGCAAATGCAAAATGAGATGCAACAGAAAACGATGCCTCAAGGGCAGCAGCTGCTGCACGAAAACGACCAGGAAAAGCAACAAAAGGAGCAGGAGCCGCAGCAACAAGAGCAAAAAAGTGAACAACAGGAGCAGCAGGAGAAGCTTCACGAAGAACCGCCGTCTCTAATGGGCGCGGCTGCGACACCCCGGAGCATGCCCTTGCAGCAAAGCGCCCTTTCCTCTCCTCGTTTATCTCTTGTACAGAGACAGTCCTTACTAATTGCACAGCAGAAGCAGCAGCACCAGCAGCAGCAGCTACAGCAGCAACGACAACAACAGCAGCTGCTAAAGAGGACACAGTCATGTCGGCACGTAAAAAAGCAGGGGAGTCCAATGCCTCTTCGCTTCTTTTCGGCAGGTTCCCCCTTAGAGCTACGCCAGCAGGAACAGCAGCTGCAAGAGCAACAACCACCGCTACGGCAGGAACATAAGCTGAAGGCTTATAGCAGCCTGCCTCCACAGCCACCACCGCAGCAGCAGCAGCGGCAGCAGCCTCGACGAGCTTCAACGTTTCCTGGCTCGCCAAATAGTGACCGTCTCTCTCTGGTTGAGAGACAGGCTTCCCTGCTCCAAAAGCAGAGGGAAGAGAGACTGCAGCAGCAGCAGCGGAAGCGAGAGCAACAGTTGCTGCAGCAGCAACGGCAACTGCTGCAGCAGTTGCAGCAGCAGCACCTGCAGCAATACCCTCTAAGGAAGCCAACAAACTCATACTTAGCTTTAGCTCGAGCCTCAGCAGCGACCATAAAGAGGGCAAGAGAAGCAGGCGCTGCGGCCCTAAGGGCAGCACAAGCAGCTGCGGCGCGCCGCATCTCGGCAGAGCAAACGCAGCTACCGCAGCAGCATCTGTTAACGAGGCAGCAGCCAAGCACAGCTGTAACAATGGAGCATGCTACGACTCAAGCGCACATAACTAGCAGCAACTACAACGGCTGCTCCAATGTTTATGACCCCTCCGCAGGAGCAGCTCCAGCACGGGGGGTTGCCGCTTCTGTTGCTCCAGCTGAATCTGAAAAAATGAGCCAGAACGTCCTCGACAGTGACTTTATGGTCCCTCTGTCAACGGTGTTACCAACAGGAACAGAAGCAATTGCAGCCTCTTCACAGGCACCAGAATCAAGGGGAGCAGCAGCAGGGCATGCAGCGGAAACGCTGGCAGGGGCAGAAGCTGCAAAATACGAAGAATCAACATCGCTCCTGAGTGCCCTGTCTACACCAGAAGAGACTGACTGGCTCTTCACGCCTCGTGGCGACAGCCCTCTTCCGCTACCTGTAGTGCAAGAGCACCAGATGCAGCAGCAACTGCAGCAGCAACTGCAACAGCAGCAACGTCTCCAGCAACAGCTGCAGCAGCAGCTGCAACAACAGCTGCAGCAGCAGCTGCTTCAGCATCAACACTTGCAACAGCAGCAGTTGCTGCTGCAGCAGCGGCTCATCCATCAAAAACAACTGCAGCAGCAGCAGCTACAAAAGAGGCTCATGCGCCAGCAAGAGAGCAGTGTCACGGAAAATGACGAACACCGAGGCGGGTTGCAGCACCAATCGCACCAGCAACAAATGACGCCCAGACAGCAGCCGCTGATTCAGATAAACGCAGCAGATGGCCAAACTGGTGCACCGAAATCACCTGCCTCTGCATTGGAGGGCTTGATCGGGGCAGCAACAAGGGCTGCGACAGTATCTGCATCAGCGGCAGCAGCAGCAGCAGCTGCTGCTGCTGCTCCATCGCCCACAAGTACGCGCCAGAAAGAAGCCGCCGATGGTGCAGCAGAAGCCTTCAGTAAGTTATCATCGCTAAGCTGCCGCAGCGCCAGCAGCGCATTGTGCTCTTCCTGCTGTTACATTTTTCGGATTCTGTCAGTTATTTCTTTCTTCTATAATAAGGCTACTGCTGTTGCTGTCATTGCCGTTGGTGTGGCTGCTGCAGGCAAGCTGATAACAGAGAGCACAGCACTCTCACAGCCGCAAATCAAGACATCAGGGCCCTACCCAAAACGTGAGTGTCGGTGCTCCACAGCGATCCAGAGCAGCAGTGCTGTCATTGCAGCAGGCGCCCCAGAAGCAGCCGGGAAGGGCTGCCTGCTACGGCAGCGACAGTGAGGCCATATTCGTTACCATCAGCGCTTTCTTCATTTATTGCCTCCTCTGCTGTACGCTGCTTGACTTCAGGGGCACATCCAGCTCCTACAGCTGCAGCAGCAGCCGCAGCAGCTGCCGCCGCTGCAGCAGCAGAAATGCTTCAGCCATGCATGGTGCGTTCCAGCAGTGCCAAGTATATCACAAGTAGACCTTGGCGGTCCCTCTTTTTGCTTGACAGCTTGATGCGTTCATTTCTTTTATTTAAAAGTCACGCAGGCGTGTGCGCCGTGTCTGCTGCAGAATGGAGGACAGCAGCAGCTGCTGCAACGTCAGCTGCAGCCTCTAAACTACAAGAGCAACAACACCACCTTTGGCACCGGTTTCGTCCCCGCAAGTTCTGCTGCTGTTCCTGTCTTAACGCCAGTGCCAGTGCCGTCTCCAACAGCAGCAGCAGCTGCAGCAAGCGCCTCTGCCGCAGCCGCAGCCGCTGCAGCCGCAGCAGCAGCAGCAGCAGGCCTGGAGGCTAGCAATGCCTCAGGTGCGAGTGACGTGGCCGCACTTGAGATTGAAGATTCCACAGGGGCTGTCAAGGCCGTGCCTCTCAGGGAGGGTCAGTCTGCGGCAGCAGCACTTCACGAATTTTGCCTGCAGGAAGGCATACCAAAAGAGGGAGAGCAGCAACTAAAGCACGCCTTGCAAGTAGAGCAGCAAAGACACAAGCAACTGCAGCAGCAGCACATGCCGTGCAAGCAGCAGCAACAACAACAACAGCGACAAGCGCAACAGATGCAGCAGCAGAAACGAGCCGCTGCTTCTGAGTTTATGGAAACAGACCCTGAAACGGAAGGGACCCCCTGGGATCCCTCATTGCCGGCATCTCTATTTGAAGATGATGAAATCGCGTTACTGCGGCAGCCACCTCTGCAGCAGCCGCTAAAGCTTCAGCAGCCTAGCCAGTCCTTTTTGCCGCCCAACCCAAAGCAGCATTCTCAATTGCTGCTGCAGGGACAGCAAATGCAGCCACTGCTGCCTCAGGTAATGGAGAAGCAAATAGCCTGGCAAGAACCCCCTCTGCAACAGATGCAAACGCAGCAGAAGCCGCTGCGGCAAGAGCATTTTCAGCTGCTGCCACAGCAACTCTTGCAGATGCAGCAGCTTATACAGCAGCCGCTGGAGCAGGATTTGCAGCAGCAGCTTCTCCATCCCCCACAGCAGCTGGGTGAAAGGGTTCCGCAACAAGTTTCTGCCCCTTGCGCTGGGTTATCTCTCTCTAGACAACTATCTGCTGCCCCGCACATGCTCGCGCAGCCGCTTAGAAAGCAGATACAACAGCCGCTTCAGCAACCACTCCGTCAGATACTGAGACCGCCTCTACAACGGGGATTACGGCAGCAGCCGCAGCAGGAACAACAGCAGCAACTGCAGAAAGATCTGTGGTACACTCCGGCACAGCAGCCAGAAGGTGCATATCTCCTGTCAAGTAAACCACTGAGACAACCCCGGCCAGCAACAGTGGGCGGCGTAACAACTCCACAGGTGCAGCTTCTGCTGCAACAGCTACAACTAGAGCCGCAAAGTAGTAGTTACCATAGGCAAGAAGCCGCCCCAAACTCCCCTCCTTTTCAGCTGCCGAGATGCCGCAGCCACACTGCATGGCAACAGCAACAGCAGCAGCAGTTGCTGCTCCTAACGCAAGATAAACAACACGAACCGCAGCAATTTCTGTCGATCCCGAAGCAGCAGGTGCAACAGCAAACGCACCTGCAGGTGCAGCAGCAAGTGCAGCAGCAAGTGCAGCAGCAAGTGCAGCAACAGGTGCAGCAGCAAGTGCAGCAACAGGTGCAGCAGCAAGTGCAGCAGCAAGTGCAGCAGGAAGTGCAGCAGCAAGTGCAGCAGCAAGTGCAGCAACAGGTGCAGCAACAGGTGCAGCAGCAAGTGCAGCAGCAAGTGCAGCAGCAAGTGCAGCAGCAAGTGCAACAGCAGGTGCAGCAGCAAGTGCAGCAGCAAATTCAACACCACCAGCTCCAGCAAGAGCCTCTGGAGCCGCATTGCTGTGGCTCCCATGCGTTGAATAGTCCCGTAGCCTTCACCTCTGCGCAGCCTTCGTGCATTTACAGCGACTGCAGCAGTCCCCCATTCCATTCACCAGGATCTGTTAACCTTCAGGGGGCTTTCCCAGAGCAGCAGCAGCAGCAGCAGCAGCAGGTGCTGTTACATCCCGGCGCTTCCATGCCGCAGCAACAGCAACTGGGGGACGGGAGCTGCTGCATCAGCGCTTGTTCAGGAAAGCAGAGCGCGTGGAAAGGCAGAAACAGGCAAGGACAGCAGAGGCAGCAGCGGCCGCAACAACGGCAAGATAGTGCCGGAAGGAAACAACAGCGGCTATATGAGCTGCAGCAGGAACAGCGAGCTGCCAGGTTGCAGCAGCAGGTGCAACAACTGCATCGGCAGGTGAGGCGGCTGCTGCGAAAGCACAAAGGGGAGCAGCAGTTGCTGTTACAACAGCTTGAAGGGGGAAGGGAACAGGAACAGCAGCTTGAGGGGCTCCGACTGCAGCAGCAAACTCTGCTACAACAGCTGCTGCAGCAGGATGCAAATGTTTTGAAGGCTCTGGAGATGCTACAGCAACTACAACAGCTTCAGGCTACAGTAGCAGCGGCAGCTGTTGGAGCAGCAGACAATCCTACCTCAATGCAGCAGAATGTCTTGTTGACTCCACGCACAGAGCAGTTACAGTGGGAGCAAAGGCAGCAAAGGCAGAAGCAGTTGCTGCTGCAGCAGCAAATACTGGAGCAGAGGACAGCTCAATTGTGGCAGGAGCAGCTATTGCTGCAGCAAAGAAGGGAGGAATTTGAGCGTGAGTTGCTGCAGCTGAAGCATTCAGTAGAACAGCAGCAGTGGGCGCAGCAGCATCAAGAGGGCACAGGGCTACAACGCACCATTAGGCGCTTCCTGCAGCGCTTTGGTGTAGGCGCAGACCCAGCAAGTACAACAGCAACAGTTACAGCAAGAGCGACAGCAGCGCAGGCGCAGGCTCTCCAGGCGAGGGCACTTAACTGGAAGGGCCTTGTGGAGCAACAGCAGAGATGCCATCTCCTGGGGCAGCAGCAGCAACAGGACTTGTGGCGGCAGCAACAACAGCAGCGCCTGCTACACCTCGCTGATGTCCTCTCGGCGTCTGCAGGTAAAGACTTGCGACAGCTTCACCAGGCCGCACGCAGCAGCAGCATCAGTAGCAACCGTCTGCGCGGGAGGGATTGGCAGAGCTGTTGCAGCTCATATAGCAGCAGCATATCCTCAAGAAGCAGCAGCTGCAGCAGCAGCGCCGACTTGCGGGAACCAGCACTAACACCGAGGGTTTGCTGGGGAACTCCAGCAGTGGCTCACAGCTAAAGCTGGGGCAGCAGCTACAGTAGCATTTGTTGCCGCTGCTACTGCGGAGTAAGCGGCTGGCAAGTACTTGCTACATCGAAATCACTATATTCTTGCAGCCTGCTGCTGGCCGCAGCTGTAGCAGCAGCAGCACCTCCTGCCGCAGTGCGTTTTTCCTTTCTTTTGCTGAGGGCAGCCGAAAACGGCCTCCAGCTGAATACCTTACTTATGGATCAACGCTTTCAGCCAGGTTCCAACGTTGCTTGCTTGCTACTTAAATTCTGTGCGCTCTCACGGCTGCAGCAGCAGAACCAGAAAGTATGCAACATGCAGAATATTTCGCATGAGGTGAACGACAGCTTCATGAGTCCCAACCCATCTTCTTGAAAATTCCCCTCGAACACAAGAGCAGCATCGCACCATCACCCGAAAACAGTACACAATGTCTCATTCCCTACAAAGTCACTTTGCTGTACTTCGGTCATCACAAGGCCACGCAGTAGCAGAAACCAGAAGGCCATGCTGGCTGTGTGCGGAATGCTCCATAGCTAGCTCTGGACTTGACTAAAGGACCTCTCAAAGAAATCTACGAAACTTTAATGCTGCAGCAGATGCCAGTGCTGTTGCCCACAGCGCGAAGAACAACTGCATTTGCTGCTGTTGATGCATAAAAGCCCAGGCAGCATCACTTGCTGTGGCAAAAATCCCCGTTTTCTGTAGAATCCGGCTGGAGACAGCAAGCATAATGGCACCAATGTCTACTGAATGGTGTTACAAGCGGCGGATCTAGTTCCGCTAGGGGCCTCCAGGGATCTTGTTCGGATTTGGGAGCCATGAAATCTGCTGCAGGAACACATTTCCACGACAGCACCAGTCTTGTTGCACCGACACTGTGGCCACTGTCACAGTAGTAGCAGTTCCCTGGTAGGTGTAATCAGCACCAGACGGCCCCAGGCCCATCATTCTGGGTTCTAGTCTCCCCTTTTGGATGAGGTTGCCCTTCTGTAGAAAAAATCTGCTAACCTCGGTCAGCCAGATGCCCCCGACTGGATGTGTAACACTTGTATGTCAGGACTTCATACATGACACCGTCAGACTACCCCTCAGTCGTTTCCGTATGCTGCGTATGACCTCCTCATCTGGAATACTACCGACTATACGTAGTTGTGCCAAATCGTGTGTCACTCCCCACCGCATAGCTGTATATTCTGAGAGGAGAACGCTTGCCTCCCCACTGTATCGTGTGGCTACACCACACCTCTCCCTATGTTCCGCAGAGAATCGTAAGTGGTGTGGCTACACCACAGCTCTTCCGATGCTCTGCGGAGCGGCCCTTATCTGTGCAGTCCAAAATTTCATGCCGCTGGGCTCCTTACACTTTGTCGCTTACTAAGGGAGGCATGTACGGGCACATTTAGCTGCGCCGAGGAGGTTCCTCGCGTCTAGCGATCACGGGAACCCTAGCAACCCTCTCCTCTGCTCCAGGCCGAGCTGAGGCCGACAAAAACCCATGGGCCTTAGGTGTTGCTGAGGAGTGTGTCGGTATTGGCAACGTCAATAGTATCCAAGCCAGATGCACCATCTTCAAGAGCACGGACGCACGCGCAGCTGCTAGGCGAAGGAGACTCTTGGGCAGCGAGACAGGGGAAGCTTCGGCTTTTCTTTACTAGAGGCAACTCTAAATTAAAGAGTTCTACTTGATGCAGCAGAAGACAGGCGTGTAACAGCAGCAACAGCAGCACAACAGCGGCAGCAGCAGCACTACAGACATCAACCGCAGCAACAGCAGCAGCAACATCACCTTAGCAGACTTATCCCAAGGAGCAACTTTACACTGACTCAAATTGTGAAAGACGCAACTGAATCTAGCAAATGTGTTCGAACATGAGCTGCCGCCGTCAAGTGTTCTGTCCTCTCTTTAGCACGATGAGCTTAGCGATGCTGCCAAGCCAGCGTGGGCCTCGGGGGGCCCCAGCTACATGAGCAGCTGCGGCATCACTAGGAGGCTTTGTGTCGATCTGTGGCATTGTGGCTGCAGATCCTGCCTTCTGAAACCGTTCCAGTTCTGGTGAAGAGATAATTGAACGTGTTCTTAAGCCAGGAGCAGCAGCAACCACAGGTGCAGCAACGGCTGTTGCAAGAACACTTGCACGAGGCTTGTGAAGTGGAGCAGCAGCGGGGCGTCCTGGTCCCGACGCAGCTTTTAACTTCGATACGTAGTTGGCACTCAAGAATTAAGCGACAAGCCATAAGCCCTAGTGTACGAACTGTACATTAGGGGGTCAACGCTGCTGCCGCGGGCTGGGCCTTCCTGTGGGGAAGGCTTAGACCGTTGCTGCGGTGAACCAGCAGCAACTTCACCGCCAGCAGCATCTAAATACGACTTTTTCTGCAGCGCAGTAGCGGTGGCTGCAGCAGCTGCGTCCGCAGCAGCAGGAAGGCTGTGGACCTGAAGGAGCCCGTCGCTGGTCAAAGTTGTGGGCAGCGATGGCAGCAGCAGAGGCCGATGCAGCAACAGGAGCAGCAACAGTCGCTGCGCTGCTGCAAGCGGGGCAGCAACACTCTCAGAAGGCCGGGGGGCTGACGATAGGCCAAAAGGTGGAGCAGCCGTTGCTGCTTCTCCGACAACTGCAGCGTCTGCGGCAGTCTCAGCCGCAGCAACGGCACGAGCCCGCCGAAGGTGTAGAAAGCGGAGCTGCAACAGACGTAGTGCACCAACATCTGCTGCAGCAGCTACAGGAACTGCAACAGGAGCAGCAGCGGCAGCTGCAGCAGCAGCTGCAGCAGCATCAAGTGCAGCAGCACCAGCTGCAGCAGCAAGAACAGCAGGAAACAAATCAAGGACTACGGCATCAGCTTCTTCAGCAAGTACTGCAGCCACATAGTGACGACCTGGACCAACAAATTCTTCTGCAGCAGCGAATTCTGCGGGAGCAGCAGCAGCAGCTATTGCAACTGCGGTCTAGCGGCCTTGGAAACAATATGGGTGCACCCCTGTTGAAGCAAGATCCACTTGTGCTCCAGCTGCAGCAGCAGCCGTTACAGCAGCAGCGGCTAACGCCGACCCCGCAGCAGCTTGCAGTGCAGTGCAGCAACTTGCAGCAGCAAGTGCTGCTGCTGCAGCAGGCTCTACAAAGCAGTAGTAAGGAGACCTTGGCGGGGCTTAAAGGGACGTTGCAACAGCAGCAGCAGCGTTTACAACTTTTGCTTCTCCAGCGACTACAACAGCTGCAGCCTCAGCGGCAGCAGATGCCAACGTTTCCTGTGGGCGAGATAACTAGTGGCATCGCTGCCCCCGTGCAACAACAGCAAACGCTGGGGCTGAGTGTAGCTCAGCGTGAGCCTTGGGTGTTTGCTTCTGACTCGCAGCAGCAGCAACAGCCGCCGAAAAGAGAGCGCCGGGGAGCTCTTAGGGGGTCCCAGTTGCAGCTGCCTGCTGCTGAGCTGCGCGGTCGAAATGGCAAACGACACATGAAACACCAAGGGGGAGAAAAGTGGGATGCAGCAGCGGCAGCGGCAGCAGCAGCGGAGGCAGCAGCAGAGGCAGCGGCGGCGGCGGCAGCAGTGAGCACTGTAGAAGCAGCCCCAGGAAAACGCCGAAGGATCCCCTCCGCGAAGGCACTGGCAGCAGCAGCTGATGCTGCTGCTGTCGCCGCTGCAGCAACAGCAGCAGCACGAGCTGCCGATAGTTCCTACCGTCCGCATCCTAAGTGGGAATGGGTCTCCCAGCAGCAGGAACGTCAGCTACAGCAAACGCAACAGCAGCAGCGACCACGACAGCAACGCCAGCGACATGTGGCGCCACCTGAGCAGTTCCCGACGATCCCAACATCTCGCCAAGCCCAGCTAGCTGCGCAACACGAGGAGAAGCTGCGGCTGCACCAGCAGCAGCTACTGCTGCAGGAAGAGCAAGAGCAGCAGCAGGTACAGCGGGCACAAACCAAGCGGGAAACTTTTCAACAGAAGCTTCCGCAGCAGTCGCAGCACCAGCAAAAGCACCACGTGTATGCCCACCCTTTGTGGCGTCGCCTGCAGCAACTCTGTGAGCTTCCCGCTTTACGGGTGTTGCTTCACACTGTCGCAGACCAACAGCAGCAGCAGATCTTTGCTGCAGGAGCAGGACTGGCAAGGGCGGATTGCCTGATAGACACATTGGCTGAGGCTTACCATAAGTCGCTGCGGCTGTTGGCGCAGCATGGGGTATTGCTGCTTTGCGAAACAGGCAGCAGCAGCAGAAAGACTGCAGCTGCTGCTGCAGCGGCAGCTGCTACAAGCAGCAGCAGCAGCGTAATTTACACCCGGCATGTCCCTGCAGCTTGTAGTGCCATTCGTACTGAGGCAAACTCTCGGGACCCGTGCCCTGCAGCAGAAGCAGCAGCAGCAGTCACAGCGACAGCAGCAGGGAATGGTTGCGAAGATGTAAAAAGAGGGGGGAGGGAGGCCAGCGGCTTACTGCTGCAGCACGGGCTGCTGTTACTGGCAGCCGACCGCCAGGTGGACTCTCCTGAGCAGCTGCTAGAGCAGCCGTTAGATAGTAAGTAGCAGCAGTTGGCAGCAGCAGCAGTAGCACCTTGTTTCTCCACGTAGCATGCCCCTCAGTTTCTTTCCAGCACCATCTGTTATTTTCCGGTGCTAGTGTTGCTGCTGCTGCAGGCGAAGTATTGCAGTTCCCTTGTGGGGCTCATCTGCAGCTTTTGCCTTGCTGCAACGGGGGGGATAGTGAGAGCTGCTGCAGCGGCAGCAGCACCAACGACAGCAGCAGCAACAGCAACAGAGACAACAGCGCGGATGAGATGGTCGGCGTCATATCGCTTGCGTGGTGCGCTCCAGGGGCCGTACGCGAATTGTTACAGGCAGTGCTGTGCGCTGCAGCGTGCATGCTTCTGGCTGCGAGCAGCAACAGCTCTAGCAGCAGTAGCTGCTGCGGGACAGACGACCTTCGTGGGGTGTACTGCTGCACGGGAGACGCAGCTCAGCAGCAGCAGCAGCAGCTGATTTCCGCAGTTTTAAAATCCCTCGGAGCAGTAGTAAGCCTCTCCACCGCCACCAGCACGAGCATCAGGATTTTAGCAACGGCACTAATTCCTCTGTAGAATTTAGTGCAACCCTGGGCCTGGTGTTAGCTGCTTCGGTTTAGCGGGGTCTATCTTTCGCCTTCATGCTCTGTTTTGCAGCCAAGCGGCCCTCCCCCATGTGCCGCAACGAACTGGAAGGGAGATGGCAGCAGCAAGTGGCTCTACCTCGAGGGCTCAGTTTTGGCAGATAGGCAGCGGTTGCTTCAGCAGCAGCTGCATGTATCTCCTGGCATAGTGCACAAGACTTTAGATACGTGCTCTCTACTCAGGGATGGCATCCAGGCGTACAGAAATGTGGTGGGTTGCTGCTGTGTCCGTTGTAGTGATTGCCAACATTGGTATCGCAGGTACTGCCCTTGAGTCCTGCTACCTGATTGCTTTCGGTCGGTGTTTTCTTGTTTTTTCAATTATAGCGACTGTTACTGTGACTGCTGCTGCTACTGCCAGTGTGTCTGCCGTGCTGCCTTTACAGCCAGGGGTGCCGACTGTGAACGGTGTTGCAGCTACGACGGCAACTGCCTGCTTTGCTTTCAAAAGCTATAGCTGTTTGTCTCGTCCTTTGCTGCCTCAGGTCCCCCTTGAAGAAATTGCTGTGGTTGGGCGACTGGTGCATGCGCATTTTGCGTTGTTGATGGATCGCGTGCTGCAGCAACAGCAGCACCAACACTGGCCGTACCAGCAGTCTTCGATCTTCAAGTACGACGGCATCGCTTGTCGAAACTCACCACTGTAAGTCGCTGCGTGCGCTGTTATTGTTACTGCTGCTAGCGGCGCTGCGGCTGCTAGCCGTGGTGCGGATGCCTCTGTTGCAGCAGCAGCAGCAATATAGCGGTAGCGGCAGCAGCCAGTAGCCAAAGGAGCAACAGCCACTCTGTTACCGGTTGGTGGACTGTTTTTGGCTTGTTCATCCTTTAGTCTCTGTAGTGGAGAATTTCGTGAGGTTTGAGATTGACGGCAGCACCAGCTGCAGCAGCAGTACTATGAAGAGAGAGCTGGCAGTGCGTTTTTGCCGCAGGCGTGTTGATGTGAATGTGTCGGAACCGCATCTTGAATATGGGCAGGGGCCCCTAAGGGAGATGCATACTCTGCTTCGAAACAAACTGCGGCTTCTAGTCCAGCGCGTTGCTGCGGCGATGGCTGTGGACTTTTGCTCTTGGGAGAAAGCCGTTGTAAGGAGACAGCAGCGACACGAGCAGCTTGAGCAGCAACAGCAGGACGGGTTGCGGATCGAGAGAGACAAGAGGGAGCTGCAGAGAAATAGCGGGGGCAGCACGACAGCAAGCACTGCAGCTGAGTTGGACGACGATGATACTCCCCGCTCGACAGCAGCAGGAACGGCACAGGCAGCAGCAGCTACACCAACGGCACCTTCGGGAGAAGTGACAAGCCGGTGCATGAGTGCTGCTCGTGGTCCCTCATGGAATGCAGGGTCGGACGGCCCCACATTTTCCACTGTAAAGTTGGAGGGAAGTGCGGCTGAGCCTTCAATACCAGCAGCTGCAACAACTGTTACTTCCACAGAAGCTCAAGAAGTGCAGGCGGAGCCGGCATGGCAACAGGTTACTTGCGGATATCTAATGTCTTTGGGGCCGCACGAAAACAACCAAAAGATTCACTACGACTACCACGAGGAAGCGCACAAGTAAGGGCACATTGCCGACAGGATGCAGCAATATTTGTGCAAGTAGCGCCTGTAGAAACAGCAGCAACGCTAGCACCATATCCTGCAGCACTTGCCGCAGTAAGGTCAGGAAAGGAAGGAGGCTAGCCGCTACAGTGTCTGTTGTTGCTGCTGTGTCGCGATTATTTTCAGACGGAACATCGTGAGCGCGTTCATTCCACTTGTGAATCTGACCAGCAGCAATTCACCCACAACCTTTTTCATCGGGTCCCACCCTGTCTTCTCGAATGCGCAGGCTGGTGAGGACGAGCACTTCCTCACACTTCCTTGTTTTTCGTAACTGTCCCTGCTGTTCCTGGCTCTCCGGTTTTCCTCCTCTTCTGCCTTGCGAAGTGCTCTTGCCGCGCTGTTTCCGGCGTTCGAATTCGATATTGCGTGCGTTCATTCACTTTTTTCTTCTGATTTTATATCTAGTGGAGCTTTCGCGCTGTTTGTGGTGTGTGCCCCCATTGCTGCGTCCTGTGCTTCTCTTTTGGTGCCTTCTTTGCTGATTCTGCTTCTGCCTTTTGTCCAGGGCTTGGATGCTATTTCTCATGTTTAGTTTTCTTTCAGTTATAGATTGAACACATTATTGGCCTGCTTGGTTGTGCCTCAGGGGACCTCGTCATCATGGACAACATTGTGCGGCACAGGGGCAGCAGTCATTCAGCTGCTTCTCTACGCCCCCTCATTTATATGTCACTTGTAGACAGACGGTTCTGCGGAGGAGAGAAAGTAGGCAGCAAAACGCACTTTCTGAACTGGCAGCAGTACCCGCACATTCCACAGCAACAGCAGCAGCAGGCGCTCGAGAAGGAACTAAAAGAAAAAGCTGGGGCAGAGGGAGAGGTGGGTACTCCTACAGATGCTACCTTTTGTGAGGAGGCGCCCTCGACTGCCGGTGAGGAAAACCCATCGCAGCCCCCAAGCGACGGCGAGGCTTCTTCTGGACCCGCGGAGGCAGCAAGAAGCCATTTGAAGCAGCAGCAGCAGGAGGATGAGGAATGTGTTTTGGATCTTACGGAAGCGGAGGCGGCTGCGACAAACCTCGAGGAGCTCTGCGTAATAAACAGCATCGATCCCCTGCAGATGTTGCAGCCGGAGACACAGCAGCAGCAAGAGGTGAAGTGCTGCGAGCGGATCGCAGCTAGAGGCGAGTCGCCAGCTAAGATTCGCGTGTCTCTGCATCGCATGCAGCGTCACCTGCAGCGAATGCTGCTGTACCGGTATATGGTGTACAAGCAGCAACAAACTGCGCTGCAGGATGTGTAGAAGGAAACACAGCGGTGCCCCCTAGAGGCGGCAGAGGGCGTTTGGACGTGGTGGACAAGAGGGCTATTCCTCACTCGCTGCGGAGGGATAAACACGTAGCTGCTCTAGCTAGCCGCTCTTCGAACTAGCGAAATGGCAACAAGGGAGCTAGCTGGCGACTCTAGCGCTACCTGGCAGCGATTCATCAGCTTTCACGGCGCAGCAGTGCTCGACGAAGAGCCCATGAGAAGGCCGTTAATTCTTGTAAAAGGCAGTGACTCTTAAGTCTTCTCACGCGCTTGATTTGGACAGTTGGTTTGCCGTCTATCTGGCTCCCTGCCGAGTTAACTGCTCCCGCAGCCAAAATGTTTGGGTCAGGGTTCCCCGTAAGGAGTTTTACAGTGGTCGCCGAGCGAGTTTGGGAGTTTTAGGTGGTTAGCTGGGTAGTCAGCTCAGGTTAATCAGTTGACTAGCTAGTTTATTTTTGCGGGGCACTCACACTTTTCAGGGTGCCCGAAACCCACACTGTGGAAGGGAAAACTTGACGGATCGCTGCGAGCAGTAGATGCAGGCTGTGGGCCTCCAGCAGATGCTGCTTGTAACCTACCAGACCAGCTCAATAGCCCAAATCGGGTCTGTCGCTAGCGCCCCAGGGGTCTCAATGAGGACTCTATAGAGCGGATGACCGAAACAGGCGTCCTGGTGCTTTTGCTGCAGCTGCAGCTCATCACTCTCCGTCTTCTGCCGCAGGAGGCCCGCCAGGTGTTCCCGAGTTGCTGCGTGCTGCTTCTGTTGCATTTGCCGCTTAGCTTGCTCTGCATTTGCTTTGAATGTTGCCGGTGCTTCAGAAGCAGCAGCTGCAGCAGGAACGGCGTCTTTTGCTATGCCAGTAGCCGCAGGAGCGCAGGGCGCAGCAGCCGCTGCAGTGATGAACGCTTCTTGGGTCTTCCGCAGCTCGTCTTCTCTGGGGTTCAGGGGCAGGGCAGAGACGGAAAACTCCAGCGGCCGCTGCCCCGAACCCCTCTCTCTAAGTACAGCTGAGGCAGGCGGGGTCCGCACACCCCAAACTGCCACATGCGATACTGCAGCACAAGAACAGCGACGGCAACACAACTAGCACAGCAGTGCAAGCCCCAGGGACTGCAAACAAGCATACCACGGGCGATGGGCAGCATGCACATGAAGAGCAGTCATGGCAGCACACTTTATACGCGGGAAATGTCACTTTGGGACATCATATCCAGTAACTCACTGCATGCATTGAACGACTCCCCAGGACTGAGCGCTCCATAGACCCAGGGGCACGTAGGACCTCCCAACGGGAGAGGCTCTGACTCAGGCCAGATGAGAAGTCCCTTTGATGCGCTGCTGCTGCTGCTGCGTGGATCCTGTTGGCGTTGCTCTTGCTGCTGTGCTTGCTGCTGCTCTTGCTGGTGCTGCAGTGTGCGGGCCCTAATCCTGAGATACAGAAAGCGTCCTTTTGTGCATTGGAATGAAATGCCATCGTCGAGATATAGTCTCCCTTCGGCTGCACCTTCTGGGCTCAAATATACATGCAACTGCAGCAAAATGCAGGCAGCAGCAGCGGCAGAAGAGGCACTCAACGCAAAACTGTCGTTTTTAGTAGCCTCCGTATTAACTGCTGCTTATCTTATTCCCTGTAGTAACTTTCCAATGCGTAAGTCCATGCCCCTGTAAACATCCCGAGACCCAGACCTCAAACCCTGAGCCCTGGGAGCTGAGGTACCGTGAGCGGCTGTTGCATGCAGAGCAGGGCCGACTTGCTCGGTGCCTCTCGAGTGGCAACAATAGCACCGCCCCTCACGAAGACAGGAATGCGTCGTAAAGTTAGTGGAAAGCTGCAACTTGGTGCAGACTTTGTTTCTGGTTGGCCTGTAGCTGTTGCCGCGGACTGACTGCAGCAGACCGAGCCCGTATCCGCGTCGTACCTGCAGGAACGCGCAGCTAAAAGGCTTTTACCGTGGCTGCTGCCACTGCTGTTGCTGTTGCCGCCTCCGCCACGACCCTGAGAGCAGCTGCTGTTGTTGCTAGCCAAAGCTGCTTGACTTACCACAACAGTCCTCTAGGAAGATGCAGCTCGGTAAGCTGCTGATGCATATGTATTTCATGCTGCTGCTGTTGCTGCTGTTCATGCAGCTGCCGTGCCTCCTCGTGTGCATGCTGCTTGCTAGTGTCTTTTGTCTGCTGCTGCTGTGTCTCCCTTGGCAGCATGGAATGAAGAATGGGCTGTACGTAGATTTGACTGCCCACAAGAAACGGCTGCGTGCTGCTGCTGCTGCTGATGTTGCTTCCTGCACGTGCTGCTTCTGCCGAAGCGTCTAGCCACCATATGGGTCTTACGATAGGGTCGCCGAAGAAAGAATATTCCGCACACAGAGTGTACCTTGGCATCACAGGGCTCACAGAAAAGCACTTGATGCCGAAGCTTCAGCGAAGGCCACCTCACCAACAGAGCAGTACGCAGCAACAGCACCAGGTAAAATATACTGGAAGTTGTATCCGCCACGCAGCTACTGCCCGAAAGCAGCAGCAGCAGCACCAGCAGCAGCTACTACACACACAGCAGCAATACTGCCACCAACGTGAACGTAACGTAAGCGCCACCATGACCAAGTTAACAATCAAGCGAAGTAGTAACACAAAGCAGCATCGAGCCCTCTTCATCTGGGCAGCAAAACATCAGGTGCATGTGGCGCTTACCAGTAGGGCATGAATCTATATCTTTCAAGCACTGCTTTGCGCACAAAAGGCAAAAGGAGACTGTCTCTAAAGGCCTCTCTCTTCGCTGCTGCCTTTTCGCAATGGACTCGGTAGAAAGGGAGCCATGCACCGAGTTGGTGCCACCGGAGCAGCAACTCGGGGCCTGTACTTCCAATAAATCCGCCCACGTCAGCACCTGAAAAGAATTTGTAGCATTAGTAACAACAGCAATGCTAGCATCAGAAGTTTCAAAGGGAGCAAAAGCTCTACTTGTACCCCATGATATTCCTGTAGGCAAGGAAGTACAGCAGCAGCACTACATCAGCAGCAGCAAAAGACACCGCAGCAGCCACCTTTTAGGTCACAACAGCACTAAAGATGCGCACGTCCCTTCATTTTGCCTGCTACTGTGCCTGTCTCTTGCATACTGTGTGCTTCTCTCTGGCTTCCGCTTTCTAGTTTCTTGCTGTTAATACACCTCACCTACTAGAGACTGCCCGCAAGCAGCAGCAGATAACGTCATCGGCACTACACAGCGCAGGTGAGCCCAAGATGCTTCATTGTCTCCAGTCCACAAAAAGGCCCACCGCCAAGAACCCAAAAAGCCAGCTCTGCAACCGAAGCCGCAGCACAGGATGCGGCAGAGTTTCGTGAGTTGGAGCAGTTAGGAGAACGCGGCCGTTCAATTCTCTGCAGGTCTTTGCACGCACACTGCGCCGGCCAAGTACTTCATGATTGGTTGGCAAGCAGGAAACATGAAATCATCTGCCGCTAGGCCAGATAAGTCTAATTGCTAGCTCGGTCGTTCGCCGCCGGGGCAGCGGGTCACGGAACAGCGAACGCTGGCTAAGAAGCTAGCTAGCCAGCATAACTTACCTGGAGAGAAGGAATGGCCTGCGAGTCCCTTGACTGCGAGCTAAGAGGCCCTCGTAGGACGCAATTTGCTGCAACAGGCCGTAAAGATTGTGAACCCTCCAGTGCTCTACCCGTTCTTCAATGTCACCGCCCTTCTTTGCAGCCAACGCAGTTGAAGCAGCAGCGGCAGGAACTGGGTCGGCTTTGTGGAGGGCTCCCCTTGGCAACGTCAGCTCCTTGCAACCAAATATGGAGGGCTCGTTCATGTCGTTCCATAAGCCCAAGTTCGATATTCCTTTCCAGCTGCGCCGCACCCACGACGACCACCATTCCCGAGTCTGTAGCAGCAGCCTCAACAGCACAAGATGCTGTCAAGCGCAAGAATCGACAAAGTTGTAAACAGAAAGGAAAAACGCTGGAAAGCTAGCGCAAGTGCTCGGAGCTACCACAGATGCAGCGCAAAGTAAATGAGGCGCCGCTGCTACTGCTGCTGCCCCTACCGCTGCGGATTCAACAGATAAGATGCACACTGTTCGTAATACTCAGTAAAGGGACTTTGAGAAAAGAAAATGCAATGTGCCACTAACCTATGGTACAGGATCAACATGGTGAGTTTACCTTTTGACGCAGGTAGTCTGGCCAAACGCAGAAGCCCGCCCAACTGCGACCCACAAAGGGGAAACCGTAACGCTAAGGAAACAACAGCAGCAGCAGCAGTAAACGCAGGAGAATGCATGAGGAAGACGAAGTAGACAAAGTGAAGACAGCGACTGAAACGGGGAGGAATCGTGGGCCTAACGACAAAGGAAGCATTAAAAAAAAGCAGCAGGAGCTGAAAATGACACAAACAGCTCGGGGCACAGGCGAACGTGAGCCCGGTAAGTAACGGAAGGCCAGAACAATACGGAGAGACACAAAAATGTTAATTGACAATACGGCACTTGTGTCCACGGTAAGAGAAAGAACAGGGGAAAGAATGTGTAATGCGGTATGTGCGCTAAGCACCCCAGATGTGGGCATTTTTCAGTGAAACTGCACGACAGAAAAAAAGTGACTGGACTTAAAAGGCATCCGTGAGGTAGATACAAGCAAAAGGCAGAGCTAAGCGAAAAACATACAGGAAGTAAAAACGGGAAATGAGATAAAGGGCAAGTAAGGCAACCGAACAAGAAATGGGGAGAACATGAAGCCAATGAAAGGAAACACGGTGAACGGAAATGTCAAAAGTGGCAGCCAAACGTAAATAAAACAAATGCAGGATCACACGGCAGACAAAAGGAAGACTGAGAAAAATCGAGGTAGAAAAAAATAAACAAGGAACTTAATAGAAAGCGATAAAAATAGAGGAAGTGGCGAACAGGGGAAGAGAATGCACGTACATTATTGATAAGCAGCTTTTGCTGCACCGCTTCCTCAAAGAGAGGATAGCCGACTTCGATTCGTAGGTGAGGATCTGCTATGACTACCTAAGAGAAGGCGACAGAAACATAACCAGCAACACCTCAAGGTGCTGCTTTGGAAGCAGGCAAGGCGCTTCCCACCTCCAGAGGCAGGGGAAAATATGCACGCAGCGCGTATAATCACGCAAGAAAGTACACTTTTGTTGTGCTGCTGCTGCTGCTGCTGCTGCTCTGCAAGGCCTGGCCTCAAAACCCCACTGCTGCTTCTTCCCCTGCAGCAACCGCTGCAGGTGCTGCACTTGGTGTTGCTTTTGCTGGTACTGGTGCATGCGTCTCACAAGCATTCTTTGATTTGCTTCAAGCTCGCCGGCAAGCTGTTTGAGATCAACTCTGCTTGTGTCCTCTAGAAAGTACTTGCAGTGAGGCGTGTGGTCGATATCTAGCCACAAAGCGTCGAACGGAACCCCATAAGAGTCCATCCCGCGCACCGCTTCTTGAGCATCCTTCTGAAACAGCAGCAGCAACAGAAGCATCTATAGCATGAGATGCTTGTGCATTTCTTCTGTTTGCCTGTTCATCCCGCTATGTCTGTTCCCCTTTCGCTTGCTGCTCCTCCTGTCTTCATGTTCGCTGCATTACGCATTGGGCTCTCCTCCTTGCTGTTTTGCAATGTGCCCCTGCCTTGTTTCTGCCTCGTTCGGAGCGCTCTTTCTCATTTAGTTTGCTCCCCCGTGTGCGCCGTTCCGTATTCGTCGCCTGTCTACGCTTCTGCAGGCGCGTATTAGGCCACCTGTTTCTGGCTCTGACTGGGTTTCTCTGTTTGCTTGTCCCGCTTTGTTCTTTCTGGTTGTTTTTCTGTCTGTCTGGCTGTTGGTTTGCGTGTTTCTATTTGTTCTGGCTGCCTTTTCCACCTTTTAGTTTGCCTGTTTCTTCCTGCCCTCTTGCTTCTCACCTCTTCGGCATATCCCCATCTGGACTGGTGCTTTCCTAGCGCGCCGATTGGGGCCAGCATGGGCAGCCCCAGCGCTACATGCACTTGGCGGTGGACGTCCACAGGGGAGGGCCCGCAGCAAAGCAGGCACTCGAACTCTCCGCCCTCGCTGCAAAACCAACAGGGAATGACGCCTTCTTGCTGCTGCTGCCGTTGCTGGTGCTCGTGCCGCTGCTGTTCTTGTTGTTCCGGGGCCTGTTCGTAGTTTACTCTGAAGAAAGTCTCTGCAGAGTTAAGGAAAACGAAAGCAGAGGCCTGACGGCCCCCGTTGGAGCCTCCCGCGTGTGTAGCAAACAGAAGAGGCATGGAAGCGTAAAGAGAAGATGGGCTATCGGGGTCCCAGCCGTAGGCGTCCACGTTGAACAATCTGAGTAACAGAAGCAGTAGCAGCGGCAACACCAGTAGAACCAGCTGCACAAAGGGGGAAACAGTAGCAGCCCCTGTCTAGGTAGAGGGTAATTAGAAGTGGCAACAGAGGTTAACGACGTTAAAAGAGTAGCAGCCGCAGCAAAGGGAACGAGAGCAGCAGAGAGGAGCGGAAAGAAAAACTAGGCAGTCAGGCAGAAGCAGATATGGTCCAAATAATGCAGGAGGTACAAGCAGAAGACGCCGAATCGAATGTATACTCACAAACAAAAACAGGTGAATAGAGCCAAATATAGACCCAGAAAGGGCCAAAAGGAATCAGCAGCAGTCAGGGAAATGGCATAGATAAAGAAAGGCACGCCGGTAGGGATAACGGCAAGGAGACATGCAAACAGGCGGAGTCTCAGAGGTAAAGGTGAACAGAAAGACACACATAGGCATTGGTGGAGCAAGACGCCAGCAGGTGCAGGAAGGCAGAGGCAGCAGTATTAGCGATGGTGTAGAAAACGGCAGAGGCAGATTGTTGCGGTCAAATAAGGCTATGTAGGAACACAAGTCGAATACAAAGATAAGGTACGTGCCTGTAAGGCTCGGTGTAGTTTTCGAGGCGGTAACTTGTTGAGTGCTCGTAGAGTCCATACACCCCAACAGCATCAAGAAATGAAATATCACCGCCGACGCCGCATGCACGCCACAGTCTCTCCTCCTCAGACTGATTCTCCTCTTGCACAGCTTGCTGCAGTAGTTGCTTCTGTGAGGCCTGCAACAACTTCTGCAGCAGCTCCTGCTGCTCCATAGGTACGTCTCGCTGCTCTTCAGCCCGCAGCATAGCAGCAATGGGGTGCGCTGCAGCAGCAGCGAAACGGCAAGAAGCAGCTGGCGGCCTCCACTCCACGTCTATCGCATCTCGCAGCTTGGAAGGCGATAAATCAGCTGCTGTTGCTGCTGCTTCTGCGGCTTCTACTGCTAAATTCGCAGCAGTTGCTGCTTCCAGGGCTGCTGCACCTACTGCTGACGCCGCAGCAGCTGCTGTTGCGCCAGCTGCGTCTGCAGCTGCTTTTTTCCTTTTTTCCGGTGCCGCTTCATCCAAAGTTGGATTTGCTGCTGTTGCTGCTGTTGCTGCTGCTCTTGCAGCTTTTGCCGCTGCATGGGAAGCTGCTGCTTTCAAAGTTGCTGCTTCTGCCGCTGCTTCCTCTGCTGCTGCATTTACTTTATGAGCCATGTGAGACATTTCCGCTGAGCTTCGCGCTACTGCGATGGTTTGCATGCCCTGAGGATCCCTCAGAGCTGCCATACTATCTTCTGAGGTGCCAGCCTTAAACGCCGTAGCTCTCCGTGCGTCGTGGGACTCCAGTTGTACCGGCTGCTGCTGGTGTTCCTTGTGAGGGTTAACAGCAGCAGAGACTGCAGCAGCAGCAGATCTCCATTGCCTGTCAGTGCCGACACTTTCCCAGTTAAGAAGCTGCTGCGCATTCAGGCGCTGGAGCTCTCTGCCGTTGAGCTGCAGAGAAACCGCAAAGGGCTCATGGTGAACGCACACACTTAGCTCAAAGCTGCAGGGGGCGTCGGCAGTGTGTCGGGCTGCTTCTGCTGCATATTGTGCCCCTCCTCCCGACGATGCCTTTGATGTGTTGCTGCAGATCCCGTGTTGAAGCCATTCCGAACTGAGCGCATCCTGAGCGCTGCAATCCAGGTTTGTTGTTGCTCCAGCTGCCTCAGCTCTTTGTCCCTTTGCCGCTGATGCTGCAGCAACGGCAACAGAAGAGTGTGCTTTCGCAGCTGATGCTGCCGCTGATGCAGTTGGGGTTATGCACTCTGCGACGATGAGCGTCTTGTCTACCTCCTGCTGCACACAACATGTCGGCACAAGCTGCTGCAGCAGCTGCTGCCGGTCCAACAACAGCTCTGCAACGAAGTGCCGGGGCTTTTGTTGCTGTTCAATCCGCTGCCGCTCCACATGCTCTGAGAGCCGGAGGCGGATGAAACCAGGCGTATAGACAGCCACTTGCAGCAAAAGTAGGAGACCATCGCTCTGGCGGCGTATTGTCATGGAGAAGGTCCACTCATTGTTCAGTTCCTCCCTTTCCTGAGTCCGTTGCTGCCGTTGCTGCTGCTGTTGTTGTTGCTGCTTGACAAAGAGACGGAGGCTCTCTGGGATGGCCCTATATAGCGCAAGAAATGGTATGGGAACCTGAAGCTGTCGCTTGTTCAGCTGCTGCTGCTGCTGCAGCTGCTGTTGACGGTGCTGTTGCTGCAGCAGCAACAGCAGCTGCGCGTACAGCTGAAACCTGTAACAGAAGGGCGACTCGGTTGCGCGGGTGATGAAGACTGACTCCTTCTCTGTTTCATGCTCCATCTTCGTCTTCCCGGTGAAACACAAATGAAATGCGCCCAATAAATACTTATGAAGCTTTTTATCCACCTCAAAATGTGCGGATCGGAACTGGAATCCCAAAGAGCAACACCAGCGAGCAGCATGAGGGGCCCGTTCTGCTCGCTGGGGGCCCCGTCGGCAGCGCCTTTTAAGCAGCCATGAGCCAGGGCAGCAGCTACAAAAAAGTACATGAGTTCAGGGACTTTAATTGTGCGGCTGGAAAGAAGATCTATCACTCAAGGCATATGGCTTAGGGTCTAGGGACTACAATTTCAGATGTGAGGCCTGGGGTCCAGCATGTGGGAGCTATGACCGTCGACAGTCTAGCGCCAGGCGCTCAACGGCAGCAACAAAACGGCCCGCAGCTGTAACAAAAGCTGGCAGAAGGAACTGTTGCAGCAACAGGGGGGAGGGTAGGAGCGGGAGCAAACGGGATACTTGCAGCACCAACTGGCAGATGGATAGCAGCAGCACTGGCCCAACAAATGCGGTTCCAACAACAACGCGAGCAGCCAAAACAGCAACACCAACAGGTGCAGGTTCACGAGGGGAGTCACGGGTATCACCGGGGCCACTAATAGCAGCAAGCCACAACAGCAAGAGCAGGGGTAGCAGCAAGAACAGCACTCGCTGCAACAACCCCTGTTCAGGCGTATGAGCCAGACACAGTTTCCGCAGCCCCAGCTGCACAATTAGCGGCATCAGCAGCAGCCGCAGCAGCAGCTAAAGCAGCAAGAACCACGGCGCCGCCAGGGTATTCACGACATGGAGGGGGCATCCCAATGCAGCGGCGTCAGCGCTGAGGCTGTTGAGTTTGACCTCAGAGACGGCGGCTTGTTTGCTTCCTTATTGGCCTTCACAGTGCCTTCAACAGGTAATGCCCGCCACCAGCAGCAGCGGCGAGAGCAGCAGCAGGAGCGGCAGTTGTTGCTGCGGCTCCCGCCTCCAGTCTCGGCTTCTTTAGATCCTCTTTTGCTTCTGTCTCTTTGCAGCTCTTGTTTCTGTGTCGATATTTGCCTCTGCTTTGTCTTTACCTTCCACGCTTTGTCTTCGTCGGTTTCCCCTGCCTCTTGCCTCCGGCGCTTTTGTCTTTCTGTCTCTTGTCGTGTTATTCTGCTTTCTTGTGCACTGCACCTTTTCTGCGTCATGTGCCACTGCGGCTGCTGGCGCTGCAGGTGTTGTTGCTGCAGCTGCTGCGTTTCTGCTGCTGTCTTTATACTCAAAGCTATCAGCCTACTATTGCTGTTCACTGTGTGTCTCAAAGCAGTCCCCGGCGGGGAAGGCGCGGGTGGGGTCCGCAGCAGCAGCAGCAGCAGCAGGAGCGAGGAGGTTGCTGACTGGCAATGCCTGAGAGTTACCTTTGGGCGGGAAGGGCTTCTGCTGCGAGGCGTGTCAAAGGGCCGTGAGGTGTATGGGGAGCTGCTGCTTCCTGTTTCATTCTTTGAGGGCTTCGAATATCAGCGACAACAGCAGCAACAACAGCAGAAGCAAGAAGAGGGAGAGTCGGTTCTTGTTCCCCTTAAGTCTTTCGTCAACGCGTTGTTGCTCTTTGGGGAATCGGCAAGCAATTTACTGCTTCATTGCGTCTGCTGCTGCACCTGCGATTTCGCTGCCGCAATAGGAGCACTGTCACGACAGCTGAAGGGCTATTGGCCTTGGATAGTTCCTGCTAGCGCCGTTTCTGCTTCTGCTGCTTGCAGGCTCACATGCGTTTGCGCTACACCTTTGGTGAAGGCGTTCTGCTGCTACTGCTGCAGCAGCCACAGCAGCAACCGCAGCAGCAGCAAGTGTTCTCGGAGATAGAGATAAAGACATACACCGCACAAAATGTGGGCCGAAAAAAGAGCAGCAAGTAACGCGTCACGCCTTTCCGCAGCAAGCTTCACCTTACTGCTGTTGCTGCTGCTGTTGCTGCCGCTTTTGCTGCTGTAGGCATCATCGGGTTGCCTTTCAATTGGCGAGGCTCTAAGGAGAAGCGCTGGAGACACGCGAGATTTTATCTCGATAAACGTATGCCTTTTTTGTTGCCTGCTGCTGTTTCTGCCGTTGCTAATGCTGCCGTTCTTTTTGCTGCTGCTATGGTGGATCCTGTCATTTGTCTTTCGCCCCTTCCGTTTGAAGTAGAACGCTTTTGCTGCCGCTGGTGTTGCTTTTGCTGCTTTTGCTGCTGCTTCAGCCTCAGCTCTTCCGAGAGGTGCTGCAGGAGCTGCTGTTGGGAGACGATGACACAGCCGCGCGAGTTGTTGTAGAATGGACTCCCCCACGTCCTAAGGTAGCAGCAGGCGCAGCAGCAGCAACTGCAGACACAGCAGCGGGCACGCCAGATGAGTCTGCAGCAGTTACTCGCTCTTGTGCAGCAACAGTGGGGAACAGCAAAGCGCAGCAAATGCCTCTAATGACTCTGGTACGGCAATCTCGAGCACTTTCTGGGTCTAACAACAAAGCAGCAGTAGCTGCTACTGATGTAGCTGTATGTGCTGCTGCCGTTACTTGAAATAAACCAGTATCTCACGCACTTTGCAGTGTCTCTGCAGACGGTCCACGGCCAAATCGCACAGCGCGTCTCCTTTCAGCCAACTCTCACAAGCTTTCCCAGCTACAGAGTCGCTAATGCCCACCGGCAAGCTACACAACTGCTGCTGCTGCTGATACTACTGCTGCTGCCACGTTGACGCGCATGCGGCTGCCGATGCCGCCATAGTTGATGGGGCTAGTGGTGGCGCTGCCTGTCTAGATGCCGCTACAGCTGAAAGCTACTACAGAAGCTGCAACAGCAGTGAAGTGCACCAACCGCAGCACCAACGGGAGCAGCAGCAGCTGCTACCGCTGCCACTGCAGGAGCCGGCGTAGATACTCTGAAGGAAGCTATGCGGTGTGTGCCGTATGATGCAGCCACGAATTCTCTCTGGCCTCTTTGCAATCACTTGTAACTCCTTTAAGTAAGATCTGACTCAGTGCCGTATTCTCTACCAGAACCGGCTACAGCAATGCCGCCGCAGCAGGCGTGCAGGAGTCCGCGTAGTGTGTTCAAAAGCCACTATCCCTTAGGATCGTACAAGGGAAAGTGCAGACCTTCCTGCCGCCAATGCTGCTGCCGCAGCGCTCGCTCTTACTATTTCTGCAGAGACGGCTCAAGGCCTTCGTCTGGAGTTCTCGAGCGAGGGGTTCCTTCTGGCTCAGCTACGCTACAAGTGAGGGCTTTTCAGGGGCTAGAGTGTCGCGCCACTTCCTCCTAAAGTCAAGCGAACTGCGCACAGCCAATCGAGGAGCAAGTGGTTGAAATTTGCTTCCGCGTTGCGCACATATATGATGAAAGCTAATCAAACAGGAAGTAAAACTTGAAGTTTAGTGCTGCAAACATCACTTCTGCTCGCTCGCATCGCTCGCATGCAAATGGGCTTGACGAACTCGCCAAGCTCTCCCCTAGAGGTAAAGCTGACAAAGCGAAGCTTTGGAACTACAAAAGAATAGAGGGGCAAGGATGAAACACAGGCCCTGCTGCGCGAAGATGTCTGCGCAGGTCTGACGAATCTCCACTCTTCCTACGCTACGTGCTGCTGCCCTGCGCTGCGCCGGCTTCACAGGAGTTCCTGTGAAGGCTCAATACATGGAGATGGCAGCTGCGCAGCAGAAACACGTGCTGCTGGTATTGTGGCTGTTGCAGCAGCAGGGACTGCTGCTGCTGCTCCTGGCTCTGCAGCCGCCAATGCTGCCCGTGCTGGTGCTCCGGTTGCTTTGCTGGCTGCGCCAGCTGCAGCGGCAAGTAGCACCTGTTCTGCAGTAGCTTACGCAGCAGTAAGCTGCTGCAGCAGTAGGCCTCCTTTAGCTACGATTCTCTTGGCGAACAAAACTCTTTCTCTCCACTACTTTGCGAGCAAAGCGCTTCCGCCCCTGCCCTGACCTGTTCGGGGGTCTCGGGTTCTGTACCTGCTCGTCGCACTGCTGCTTGAGTGTTCGTTGTTGCCTCGAGTGCTGCTGCTCCCGGTGTAGCTTCTGTTGAAGTCGTCTCTCTGTGGTGAACACTCTCCTCAGAGGAAGCTTCTGAGCTTCTCGCTGTCAGCATGCTGCCGCTGCTGACTCTGCTGCTCAAATTGCTGCTCCTGGGAGTTCTGAATACGCTCCCGGTGCTGCTGAAGCTGCCGTTGCTGTCACGTGCTGTGTTCCGAGGAGAGGCAAGAGACAGCGAAACTGAACGGGGCCGGCTAGAGGGGTGCTGCGCTTCCGGAGGCAACTCTTGACCTTGCTGTTGTTGACCTGCAGTTGTTGCTTTTGCTGCTGTTGCTGCTGCTGCTTCGGTTGCCCCAGCTTCTGGTTCGGCGCCCCGATCAAGTGAGGAGCTTGTGGGTCGATCCTGCCACTGAAGAGCTGGTGGCGGCGCACCTTCTTGGAGTGCATCTCCATCAAGGTTTGAATGTCCTGCCACTTCCGAATGCCGCTCCTTTCTGTGGCTCTCTCGCTCCTGCTCCTGCGGGTGGCTCGGAGTCTGCAGCGCATATGCCTCTCCCTGAGGGAGAGATGACAAGGGTTCAACTTTGCAAAGCCCCACAGAAGCCGCTGCGTTGGACCCCACATCCGGCGGATCTGCAGGGTGGCCAGGGTAGAGTTGACCCAACAAGGGTCTTGAGGGGTGTAGCCGCTGCTGCGGCTGATGCTCTTGCTCGAGCTGCTGCTGCATGCGCATGAGGCTGGCCCATGACTTTTCAAAAGCCTCTTCTGCTGACCGGAGAAGAAGTAAAGAAGTTGAACGGTCCCGCAGCGCTACGTCTCCTGCTGCTGCTCTGCTTGCCTTGGCAGCACCCTCCGAGTCCTTGTGACGAGTGCCGTCGCCAAGAAGCCCCTTTTTAGGCAAAGAAACTCGAAGCTGCTCTTCAGGCACCCCAGGAAGAGCCCCTCTGCCGCTGCAGCACGGATCTGAGCTACTGCTGCTGCTGGTGTCTCCCCGTAGCCTGCCCTTGCCGCTGCTGTTGGAAGGTGCTGTTTGGGGTGTGGGGCTACGGGGGCTCTTCGGGTATGCCCCGCGTCCTGAAGACCCTCTGCCCAGTGGCTGTCTGCTGCTGCTGCTGCTGCTGCTGCTGCCGCTCCCTGCATCAACGCACTCCCCCACGTACATGAGAGATGGCCGGGCACTGCGGGGGATAGGGCAGACGGAAAGAAGACGATAGCTCAGGACGGCTGCAGCAAGAAACAAATGCAACAACAACAGCGGCAAATGCGAAAAAGAGGCAGGCGACGTGGAACCCACGAACGAAACTACAAGAAGTAAGGCGGAAATATTGAAGCCGTCTGCAATATGTAAAACACCTAACTGTTTCCTGCAATGGCGTATGAAGACACGGAGATCTAGTACAAGATGTGTTGGTGCACGACGCAAACAGCAACGCCGCCGAGGGGCAACCAGCTGCAGCAGCAAGGGCAGAAGCTACAACTAAAGCGGCACTATTATGGTGTCATGAAGGCACCGTACCCCGATGCTTCATGACGGCCTCTTGATGGGATGACTGTACGTAGGAAACAAAACAGAAACAGAGCACACCAAAAAGCATTCAGCAGCAGCAGCAGCAGCGAAGGGCCAGGAGCAGCAGCACTCGCCGACTAGTTGTGGGCAGCAACAAAGACACTTGCGAGCAAAACAGCAGCAAATGCAGACGCCACAAGGCACAGCCTTCGTTGCAATAGTAGCGCAGACAAGAAAGGGCAAATGGAGGGCTGCCGCAACACAGAAATGACGGCAGCAACAACAGGGATCCAATTGGCACAGAATCAGAGCTGAGACCGCTAAGACACCGTCAGTACCAATAAAACTGCAGTATTGAGCAGCCACATACTCTTCTTCGACGAGAACCGCAGCAGCCGCAGCAGCAGACTTGCAAACAGAGGGCTAACATCCTGTTGCTGCGCCTTCTGGACTGAAGACACTTGGTTGCGAGACTAGCAAGGCGTTTATACAGCTCACATGCTGCTGTCGGAGCCGTAGTTGCCTTAAGGTCGTGGTCACTACGCGTGCAGCCAGACAGCAGCAGCAGTAGGGTCGTGAGTGCACTCCAGCAACATAGCAATCGGCTTTAGCAACAACAGCATCAACAAGCCCTGAGCTCCAACCGAAGCCGGTCCCTCAAGTGTCAGCAGAAGATTCCTTGAATACCCTTTATATTGTTCTAAGAAGCTGTCAAGGAGCACGATGGCCGCTTTAGGCGCTGCTGTGGATGGTGCTTCTGCTGCTGCTGCTGGAGCTGCTCCTACTGCTTCTTCGACAATTTGCTAATTTATTAGTTAGGATCGGAGAAGGGAAAAAAATGGGCGTCCGATGCACTGCGGTAGAACAGCTGCTGTGCCGGAGCCAACCGATTGTGCCGCACTGGCAGCAAGTTTCGCTGCCGATGCTGTTACTGCAGCAGTAACTGCAGCAGCAAAAAAGCAGCTAACACAACCAAACACAAGAGATAACCACTGGAAAAAATGCTGCCGGAAAATCACCATTTCATCTAGACCAGTTCACATGCACTTGTCTGGACAGCTCGATAGCAGCAGCGGAGGTCCAGTGGCCCTCGGCAGCGCCGACCAGTTCTTCTCCAACGACCAACATGAAAAGGTCACTCCTGCAAAATCAGATCTTGTAGGAAAAGCCTTTGTAAATATGTCTGTGACTTCCTATCACCCTTTCTCCTTTCCGCGCGGCCTCAGCCGACTCGCCCAACAGCACCGGCAACAGCAGCAGCAGCTACAACTGCGGCAGTCGCGAGTGACAGATTGAACACGAATCACACAGACTTCCCCACTCGGTTAGTAAAACAAGTGCCATCCCAAGGAGCAGCAGCAGAGGCTGCAGCGACGGCAGCAGCAGCAGCAGGCCGGCAGCAGGGTGTCTCCTCGAATGGTGAGCTGGCCGCTAGAGTATCCCCCTGCAGCAGCTGCAGCGGCAACTGCTGCTGGAGCTGCATTGTTGTTGCTACTCTCCACTAGGCGGTTTCCTTCGTTGCGACAGGAGCAGCAGCAGCAGCAGCAGGACGACCGCAACACCGCGTTGCTGCCACTTCTGTGATCTCACAAGGGCTATTCCCTAGCTGAAGCCCCTAAGCCCTCAACTACCGCTTCCAAGTTCCGAGCCATCAGCTCCGAGCTGCACCCACTGCGCTTTGGCCCTTCTCCTTTCTCTAACACTCCCACACGCACAGCAACGGCAGATACAGCGGCGAGAGCGCGAGCTGCAACAGCAACGACGACGCGAGAAGTGGCAGCAGCAGCAGCAGCAGCAGCAGCAGAAGCAGCAGCTGCAGCAGCAGCAGCGTTAGTGACTGCCGTACAAGAGTGACAGATTCAAGGAACACCACAGCTACAACCCTAGTCCCTTCAAGGAGTAGGAGTCGGCTGCAGCAACAACAAAAGCTGGATTAGCAGCAAAGCAGCAGCTGCGTCAGTAGAAGCAGACATGCATTGCGGAAGGTTTTTGCTTATATCCGCCGCCTGCGCACTTCCTCCAGTCAGTGTTTCCTTACCCGGAACAGCAAAACACACGCGGTGAGAAGCTGCTGCAGCAGAAACGGCAGGGACAGCACCAGCAACAGCACCAACAGGAACGGCAGCAGCAGCCGCAACAATTTTCAACGAGAATGCACCGCAGCAGCATCGCCTCCTCAGTTGAGAGGGCTCGCTCGGTTTCTCCTCTGCCGTCAGTCGGGAGCCGCGTCACCTCATCTCCAGCAGCCCCCACCAGCAGCAGCAGCAGCGCCTGCAGCCACATTTGCAGAAGCATAGATTGGCTGGTGACGGAATGTCTTTGCCCTCCCTTTGATTTGTCCTTTAAGCAGCGGCTGCGGCAGCAGCAGCGCTTCTTGCTGCTATTCTTCGTCCTCAGCGCCGTGGCCGGTGCCTACCCTTTCTTTTTCCTTTCATATGTGGAGGCCCAGTACCCGCACATCAGGCCTGTCCATCCCCCAGACACAGCAGCACCAGCAGCACCAGCAAAAGAGGCTGCAGCTGCAGCGACTACCGCAGCACCATCTACATGGAGCAGTGGCCAGTTCCTCGACAATCACAAGGAGAAAAGCTCTGCGCCGGATCCAGCTCCAACAGACGCTGCAAAAGCGGCCGGAGGTGCTGCAGCGGCAAGCCGAAGACTTCAATCCTCAGAAGGTCCAGCTACCTCAGAGGATAGAGTTGCAGAAAAGCGTCCACAATCGCCAAAAGTGCCCTCAGCAGCAGCAGAAGATGCAAAAGAACCAGCCGCAGAAGAAGCCACAGCAGTAAACGCCTCCTCTATGTCTCTTATTAGTTTTGTTGCTTCCAAGACCGAGCATCTGTATAGCCTGGATCGAGGGCTGCTCTACTGCCTGCTGTTCTGGGGTTTGCTGCTGCTGCTGCCGTTTCAGGCGCTGCTGCTGCTGGTGGCGGTGGCTGTCTCAGCCCCGCCCACGGCGGACCCGTCAAGTGCGCCGGGCGGACCCAGCTTCTCCAGGCACAGCACGGGACCGGATTGCGTCAGTCGTATAGTTGCAGCGAATTCACGGTGGCTCTCTTGGAACTGCTGCTGCTGCTCGCCTGTGTTTGGGACCCTTGCAGCTTTAAATGTCATGTCGTTTTTTGAAGCCGGGCCGCAGCAGAAGCCGCAGCTGGCCATTCTCGCTTGGTCGCAGCTAGTTATCAGTTTGCTGGTCCATCTGCCCGTCGGGGTGCATGCAAGCAACATGCTGCGCCTCTATGAAAGTGCCGTGTCGCTGCAGCTGCTGCAGCACGCTCTAGAGACAGACCGGCATGCAGCAGCGCCCGCGCTCCAGTCTAAGCTCCCTTCGCAGCGGCAGATAGAGCAGCAGCAGAAGCAGCAGCGGGAGGTGCAGGCGGACGAGATTTCTGCAGGCGGGTCCACAGAAAAGCTATACTATAGCAGCAACAGCAGCCGCTTGTTGCGGTCATTCGTGGAAAGAGGCCTCAAGGCCACTGCCGAAGAAACAGAGACAGAGGCAGAAGCAGAGCCGCTGCTTTCTAAGTCCCCTCCTCTTGAAGAAAGAGGCTCCAGTGCCGTCTGATGAAGCGGCTGGTCGGCCAGCTAGCCAATTAGCAACTTTTTTTAGCTGCACGGCTACGTACTTAGCTACTGAATAGCTAGCAAGCTATAGAGCTGGTTAACCGGGCCAGCGAGGCAGACAACGGATCTCTGCAGCCATTAACATTGCTTTAGATTTTCTGCCTGGATTTGAATATAGCAAGCCCGCCGATTGCCCCTGTTGTACTGAGCTGGCTGTTCAGCCGCTTGTTGATCTGGGGGCTCTGTCGCGGCTTTGAGCTGGTGGCTAACACGCCTGCAGCCGCTGTGCCTCAGCTCGCAGCAGGCGCTTGCCGCAACAAATATTTAAAGTTTTTTGATTAGCGCCACTTTACTCTCTACTAGCAGCAGCTACAGGAGTGGTTGGCTTAGTGGTAACAGCAGGAAGGCCACTGGGCAATTGTAGAAGCCAGCAAGACAAGCCGCCAACGTTACCACCCGCAGCAGCAGAAACTGCCATAGGCTTCAGTGCTAATTATTAAAAAAAAACAATCTAAGAAGCGGCCACTAGGGGCTGGTTTTTTGTTGCGGCGAACTCGCTGCTGCTACTGCTCTCACTTCTCGCCGCAGTTGCAGCAGCAATTGCTGCTGCTGCAAATCTCCCTCCCACGCTCTACGGAGGAAATGCTCACTGTCCGCATGCGAAGCTGTATCGTCAGGGCTTTCTTTCGGCTGTGGCTGACTCTGCCACTGTTTCTGTCGTCGCCGCTGCAGCTGCTGCTGCACCAGAGCATGGAAAGACTTACGCTGTGGCAGCAGCTCGTTGGGGGTGACAGAATAGGGAGACGGAGGCAGTACTGCAGTGCGAACAAAGTCATCTCCGCTTTCGTCGCTGCTGCTATCGCTGTTCCTGCGTTTGCTGCTTCTACTGCTTTCCCTGCTGCTGCTGCTGCTAATGATGCCGCGCCGCCTCACTGTTTGGCTGCTGGTGTCACTGAGCGCCCGGCTTCTTTCCCGGAGCTGGCCGCTGGGGCTGCTGCTTTTGTTGTAGCTTTGTCGCCCTGCGCTGGTCGTGCTCAGAGAGCGGCGCTTAGATACCCTCAGCAGCTGCTGCTGTTTGCCGCTGCTACTTGCGGCGTCATCCAGCAAAGACCCGCTGCCAGGGCTGCTTCGCCAGCGGCTGCTATCAGTCCCTCTAACGCTGCTGCTGCTGCTGCTATCAAATATTTCTGGGTGCATCTGTCTGAAAGGAAGATGGCTACTGCGCCGGCGAGGGGGCGAAACTGCATTGCTGCTGCCGGTGCTGCTGCTGCTGCTATTTGAACGTGGGCCGGAGTGGTGCTGCGGTGGCTCCTCATCCAGCGAAGCCGCAACCGCAGCAGCACCCGCGTACATCGCTGCTGCCTCCTGCATGGGCTCTTCCTCTTCCTTCAAGTCCTCAAGATGAAGCGAACCCGTTGGCAGGGCAGGACTCTGAAGCCACATCTGCTGCTGCTGCTGCTGCGATTGCTGCTGTCGCTGCTGGTCACCGCCAGCTGCCTCTGCTTTGATAAGGCGTGGCTGTGTCTGCTGCTCCTGCTGCAGCTGCTGCCGCCACCGCTGCTGCAGTAGCACATCTTGCTCAGAAGTTTGCGAGTGGGAAAGAAAAGCCTGGCGGGAGAAGGAGAGACTCAAAGCCTCATCCTGCAGCTGCTGTTGCTGCGCCTGCTCTTGCTGCCGCGGAACTGCGGTCGACAGCTCTGGCAACGCATCATCAGATGCGTCTGCTGCTGCTGCTGTCGCTGCTGCTGCGGGTCTCCCCTCGTCCCTCCATCTGAGCCGCTGCGAAGGGCCTGGCATGGACAGGGCTTCTTTGCTACCACTGCTGCTGCTGCCGCGGCTGCTGCTGATGCTTCTGCGGCTGCTGCTGTTGCTCCTGCGGCTACTGCTGCTGCTGCTGCTCAGGGAAGCTGCCCGCCTCCTGAGGGCCTGGGAGCGGTGCGGCAGTCCCAGCAGGTGTTGCTGTTGTTGCTGTTGTTGCTGGTGATGGAACGCTCCGATGCGCTGCAGCACAGCCCTGAGGACCAAAGCGCCACAGAGTAGAGTTATGTGTTGCAGCGACTGCAGCAACAGCAGGTCCGCTACCTCAAGGAGAGGCAGGAGCAGGCAATGAACCAACACACGACTTACTGTCTAGCGGAAGCCCTGTGTTTTGCTGCAACCTTCCAATACGTTAGAAACTTCCTCATTTGTTGCTGGTATCGCAGCAGCAGCTGCCGCTGCAGCCGCTGCTGTGCGGCTTGACGCCGCTGCTGACGCTGCAAGGCTAGGCCCTGCCATTCCCGCATCACACGCTCCACTAAGACACCAGCAGCTAGCTGTTGCTTCTGCTGCAGCCGCTGCTGCAGCTCAGCTGCTGCTGTCCGAAGCCTGCGACTTTGCTCAGCGTAGCCTTTCCAAAAGGACACCACACGACCTGCACAAGCATCCAGGCACTGCAGCAAATGAAATGTCTTGCAGGAGCAGCTACAGCAGTGACCAGGCCACTGCAGCAGACAAGAATCGCTGTCTAATTATGACAATGACTGACCAAAGCACAGACGCAGAAAGTGCCGTTGGAGCTGTTGCAGCACTAGTCTCACTTAGTTGTCGGATTTGTTGCAGCATAAAGAAGTGCTGCAGCAGCGCGCTAGCTGCCTTTGCATAACGGGACAAAGAGAACCAGTGACTCCAAAAAGTGCGCAGCAGCAGACGACGGTGTCTTTGTTCCACTGCTGCAGCAGCAACGCCTAACTGCTGGCCCTTTGCCGCAGCTGAGACCATGTGCTGGAAAAACATCCGCAGGGCGCGTTGCTGCTGCCGTTGCTGGACCTGCTGAGCGCAAGCGTGCAATCTTTTCTCCTTTTGCGTGTAAAAACGCCAGTGCTGCAGCACTGCTTTTTGCTACAGCACAGCAGAAGGACTCCCAGCAGCAGCAGGCGAATCAGCACAAGCAGCGGTGGCTTACGCTGCAGTGCGGCACCTCATGCCACGTAGTAATATGACGAAACTCCTAGAGTGCATTCGCATCATCCGGAGCACCCGTGGCAGCAAGGTCAGTAGCAGCAACAAAAGCATCTGCAGTAGCAGCGCATTTCCAGCAACAGCAACAGGTGCGCAGTACCTGACGTTCCTGGAGCAGCCCCAGGAAATTCTCCGCCCTGACAATACACCATGCCTTCCACTCCTCCTCCTGCTGTTTTTCATGCAGCAGCAAGAGTACACGGCGCATTTTCCACTGTCGCTGCAGCAGCAGTGCCTGTTGCTGCAGCTGCTGCTCGTCTCTTACTTCGTCCAGCACCCTGCGCCACTCAGCAAACAAGTGCCGCTGCTGCAACAGCTGCAGCACAGCAGTAGCAGTTCGCCATCGCCGTTGCTGCTGTACTGCCTGGCACCAGCTTCGCAGACATCCCAACAGCAGCAGCTGAGGCCCTGTCTCTTCTCGCAGTTGCTGCAGCAGTGCTGCTGCTTCTGCAGCGCGCCGTCGCGCTCTAGCAAGATGCTGCCATGCATGAAACGACCTTTTAAGACACTCAAGCTGCTGCCTTCCTTCACATGCTGCAGTGAATTGCTGCAGCTGTTCCTGTTGCAGTGCATGTCGATGCATGAGCTGCAGCACCATGCTGCACCGAGACTCGACCGTCCTGCAAGCAACAGCAGCAGCAGCAGCACTACACACGCCACGAGCCTTCAGAGCTACGTAATAGTACATAAGAGATCTGTACAGCAGCAGCAACAGCAGTAACAGCAGCAACAGCAGCAACAGCAGCACCAGCGAACACGTTTGGTCTTGTGTTCTGTGCCTTCGTATTTCACCTTATGCATGCCAACTCTGCCACGTTCTGTTTTAGTCTAATTATGTCTGCCCATTTGTCTATGACTCTTTTTCATTCCTTCAATACTTACTGCTTCACGCGCTGCAAGCTCTTCTGCAGCTGCTGCCCTGCTGCTGCGCGCAGCAGCTGCTGTAGCTTCTTGCTGAGCGCAGCTCTCTGCTGCAGACATTGCAGTGCCTCCCGCTGCTGCTGTTGCTGCAGTCGGCGAACGCATGCAACGATTAACAAGACGCTCCGTGACAGAGCCGCAGCAAAGCGTAGCGCAGCAAAGGCTCGCTGCTGCAGCTGTTGACGATAGAAGCAGCAGGACTTCAGCAGCTGGTGCCATGCACGCAGTAGCAACAACTTCTGCTGCTGCTGTCGACGCAGCTGCAGCAACCGCATTTGCAGCTGCCTTTGCGCGTTCAACCGCAGAGCCTGAGGCAGCGAAAACAGACAGCAAACTTGGCCTTTGGTGAAGCTGATGCTGTCACGGGCCAGCAAAATTCAGTGGCGCAACAGCGGGAGCGTACTTGAATTACTGCAGCAGCAACCTGTTGCTGTCGCTGCAGCAGCGCCCGCCAAGCTAGCTGCTCCAAAAGAGCGTGCCGCTGCTGGAGCCAACGCCATTGTGAAAATGCATGCAACAGCAGCCTGATATTGCAGCTCAGCAGCACAGCGCACCGCACCGGCGACAGCGATGACAGCAAGTGCAGCAGTGACACAGAGTCAGTGGCGATAGCACACACGGGTTGAAACGGAATTTGCAGTCGTTTCAGCAACAAGAGCAAGTGCAGCAGCAGCCAGCGGCAAGTGAAGAAGCTCTAAAGTCAGCAGCAGCAACAATAGCAGACCTGTGAGAGCATTTTTCGTCCACTGCAGCAGCAGCTCGCTGCATCTTTGCTGCGTTCTTCCAAGCCGAGAACAAGAACAGCAAATGGCGGAGCCTGCATGCGTTGAGGCAGCGCACCTCCAACGCCCGGCGAGCAGCTATCTGCAGAAGATAACCAGCAGCGCCCCCAGCACAAGCAGCAGCAACAACAGTGGCAAAGGGACAGAAAGCTGCAAAGATAAGCTCTATAGACGGCAGCAGTAGCTGATGCATGCTTGTTTGCTGTGTACCCTGACTCCTCTGTGAGACCATTGCGCAGCAGCAATGATTTTTGAGAGAAGCAAGACAGACCTCCCTCAGGGCCTGGAAAGTCCTGCGAGCTGCTGCAGCAGCACGCCTTTGAAGCAGGCGCTGCAGCCTGTAAGCCAAGAGCCAGAGTTTGAATACACGACCAGCAAGGGCCTTGCCGTAGGTTCCCTGCAGCAGCTGCCGTTGTTGCAGCAGGAGTAGCTGCTGCTGCCTCTGCTGCTGCCTTGTTGTTGCCAGATCCTTCCAGGCAGAGAAGACACGGTTGAGCCGCAGCAGCACAGCAGCTGCAGCACCGACTGTTCTCAATGCGGCGGCACGGCGCCGCTGCAGCAGCAGCAAGCGCCATCGCTCGAATACCTCGTGCTGTGTGCGGATCTGCAGCAACATGCCAAAATAAGGGCGCAGAGCTGCTTTTGCTGCGTACGCCTCTGCTGCTGCAGAAAGTGCTGCTATAATTACTGCTGCAGCCCCCCACGCTACTGGAGCTAGCCACAAAAAGTACCGCGAGAAAGCCGGCCACCGTGCTGTCTGCTGCTAGCTCTGCTGATAATGTCCTTACGGCTTGTTGAATGGTGGCGCAAGCTTGGCACCACTCGAGACGCCGCCGTCGGTTGACTGCCACCAGCAGCGCAGCAAAGGCCCGCTGCAGCACCTGCTCCTTCAGCCTGCTGGAAAAAGCATTTAGCCGGAGCTGCTGCCAGCCGTGCCGCAGCAGCGGCAAACGCTGCGGCAGAAGTGCAGCAGCCACAACACGACGCGCGCGAGCACAAAAACGCCACTCAAGCAACAGGTGCTGCAGCAGTCGCCGCTGTTGGCGACGCTGCACCTGCAGCACAGTCACTGAATAACCCAAGAAACAAGAATAAAAAAGTACACTCAGAAGTCCCACACATCGACACAAGTTAGAGGCGCACACAGCAGCAGTAGCCGACGGAGCAGCAAAGCAGTAGCAGCCGCAGGCGGAGCAGCAAAGCATCAGCAGCCGCAGACGAGACAGCAAACCAGCAGCGGCACCTCCTTCTCAAGCCGCTGCAGGCGTGTTGCAAAAGTCCACGAGCGCAGCGTTTCAGAATTGACACGAGCTACCGACAGAGCAGCAGTAGCTGCTGCTGCCCGTTTCAAGCGGCGCTGCTTCCTGCAACAGCAGCAACACCAACAGCAGTAGCAAGGCTAAGTTGCCGTCTGCTGCAGCACTAACTAAGCTAAAGCTCGTGCCAAGCTAATGGAGATAGGCGTGGGAGCGTACGTGGTCCATTCCCTCCAAGCAGTCAGAGTCACTGTGCAAAGTGAACGCTGCTGCTGCTTCTGCACAATTGCAACAGCAGCAGCACAACGCTGCACGCGCGGGTGGGCCAAAATATGCCAGCTAGTGAATAACCGCCGCAGCAGCAACAGCGATAGCTGCTGCGCCGCAGCAGCAGCAGCGCCTACGTGCTTCTGCCATAGACTGCGCCAAGCGAGCCACGTGTCCCGCTGCACCAGCTGCTTTTGCTTCTGCACAAGCAGCAGCATCTGTTGTTGTTGCTGCTGCCGCCGTAGCAAGTCCGCTGTTTTATACTGACGCCACAAACAGAAGCAGCGCCGAACCACCCGGACAGAGTGCCAAGCTGCTGCCAGAAGCCCCTGAGGCAGTGAAAGTTTCCACTGAGTGCTGCCGCTACTGTAGACGACACACTGCTGCTGCTCAGAAGCGCTGCTCAAGTCAGGGTCACTTTGCTGCATCAGCACCGAATGACTGAGCAACAGCAGCTGCTGCTGCTGCGGCAGGCAACACCTCTCCTTTTGGAAGGCGTCGATGCATGCGTCTACAGCTTTTGTATTTGCTGTTGCTGTTGCCGTGGCGGAGATCTCCCGCAGCAGCAGCAGCACCGCACAGCTGCTTCGGCGAGAAGCCAACAGGTCTTCTGGATCAGCAACAGTTGAGTCTTGCGAGGCCCACAAACCCTCTGCTGCTGCTTCTTTGTCTTCTGCTGCTGAAAATGCTCGCGCGTTTTTCTTGTCAGATCTACGAGCAGCAGGGAGCTGCAGAGGAGGCGGAGAGCACCGGGCTTGCTCCTGCTGCTGCTGCTGCTGTAGAGAAATCGCAGACTCAGGCGCTGCCGTTGACGGGGTTGGCTGCCGCAGCTTCTGCTGTTCTTGCTCTTCCTGCTGCGGGTCTGGTCCGGACAAAGACAGTTCGCCAGCAAGAGACTGCAGCAGAGCACGGGAAACTAGTGGAAGGGGCAGGTGAGCATGCGTGGCACCTGCGTTCGCTGTTTCTGTTGCAGCTCTCGCCGCAGCAGGGAGCAGCGGCAGCTGCAGCGGCAGCAACAGCAGGGCATGCAACAGCCGCAGCCGCAGCACCTGCTGCCGCCGCGCCCTATCCTTCAAGCAAGAAAAAACTAGCCTAAGAGTCCGCAGCGACGACTGCTGACGGACAGCCTCTGCAGCAACAGCAGTAACACCTGAACAAATCGTGAACTGAGGAGCAGCAAGGATAGCGCTGTTTATCAGTCTGGTTTAGAGCCAAGAAGCGCAACGGCAGCATGAGCGGCAGGCACAGCAGCAGCAACAGCAGCACTATAGGGACAAAGCCGTTCCTCACCAGCAGCTAAACGGCGCCGCCGAGCCGCGGCAGCAGCTTTCTGCCACTGCAGCAGCAGCGTCAAAAGCAGTTTCTTCCTGCCTCTATCCTGGAACGTTGCAGCCGCTTCCTGTTGCTGCACTGGCCGCAGCAGCCGCTGAAGCCAAGCAACTAGCACCTTTTGCTGCAGTCTCAAGCTATGCAAGAGCTGCAGCTCCTGCTCCTTCTGGCGTAGCTCCTGCTTCCTCTGCTGCAGCTGCCGTCTCACTTGGAGCTGCTCTCTCCACGCAGCAAACACCTGGAAAAGCAATGCTTTTTCACGCCGTCTCACCGCAGCATCAGCTTGTAGCTGTATAGGGGCGCATGACACGCAGAAACACGCCCAGCATGCTGCTGTTGGGCCCTCTGAGCCTGTGCCCCCTTTGCTCCTACTGCTGCTACTACTGCTGCTGCTGCTGCTGCGGCGAACACAGTCACAAACTCACTGTTTGCTGCTGGCATTTCTCCCAGTGTAGCGCCAGCTGCTGCCACCCAAACCGCAACCTCGCCATACGCGATGCTCGCGAGAGCAGCAGCAGCAGCAGCAGCAACACCGAGGCATGCTTTGCATGTAACCGAAGTGCAACAACACCAGCACGCTGCTGCAGCCGCTTCTCCACTGCAGCAAGAAAGCGGCCAGCCGCAGAGAAGCGGGCGCACATCCGCCTGGAGCACAACATTGCATCAGCAGCGCAGCAGCAGAGCGTGAATGTCCCATGTAAATTACAGTGTGCCGCAGCCCGTGCCGCAGCAGCAGCCACCGGCAACGGCCATCCACTGCAGCAGCAACACCTACCAGGCTGCAAAACACCTGCGTAGACCTTCCTGCGTTTTTTGCTGATGCAGCTGCAGGACCTTTGCTGCTGCTTGCTGCAACAGCTGCTGGTGTTGTGCAGCAGAGCGCCATAGCAGCCAGTACCGCCGCAGCAGCAGCCTGTCGCTCTTCTCAACTAGCGGCTGAGCACGCTGCTGCAGTGCTGCCTCTGCGGCAGCATGCGCACGCAGCTGCTGCAATGCAAGCCGCGCTCTGTAGCGAGCAGCAAAGGCCGAAAGCCGCAGCAGTTGCTGCTGAAGATGCAAGGCTTGGTGCCATTGGCTCCACGTCTTGCGCAGCAGCTGTTGCTGCTGTCGGCGCTGCAGTGCCTCCACAGCTTGTTGCTCGAGCGGGCTTCGCGCTGCTGCTGCTCGCATGCGGCTAAATGCGCTTTGCAGCCTTTCGCGGTGCTGGCGATCCAGCAGCACCAGGCCGTGCTGTATCCGACCGCTCCTTTGCTGCTGGCGTTGCCAGTGCTGCTTCCAGCCTATGAAAGCTGCAGCAAGTCTTCTCTTTTCTGTGTTCTGCTGCAGTTGCAAGCCGCAGCGAGTTGTTTCTGCACGCAGCCGCCAGGCGAGGAGAATCCGCCGCAGCCACCCGTGTAGTACAGCACCCCTTGCACGCAAGATTCGCTGCAGGCAGAAACAGCAGCAGCAGCATCATCAGCAGGAGTGCCAAAATCAGTAGCAATGCCTGCACAAGCGAAAGGAGAGGCGAGCACTTTAGTACTGAGCAAGCATGCCTAATAAAAATTACAAAGGCCGCAGCTCACCAGCCTAACAGAAATAAGGAGAGATCGCCATGCATGAAAAGACTGCTGTACAATGTGCTGCTGCTGCTGCTGCTGCAGCGCTTGTTCACGTTTCTGTAGTTTCCCGGCCTGCTTCCACGACAGCCACGCACTGCGTAGCAAAAGCCGCCCCAAGCATGCGGCAAGCGTCTGCGCCGCTGCTGATGCTTCCTTGCGCTGCTCCTGTCGCTGCCTCCAGAGGCTGAAGTAGTGCTGCTGCAGCAGCTGCTGACGCCGTTGCTGCAGGGCGGCTTGCTGTTCCCGCAGGTATTTCTGGCGTTTCTCCACTGCTCTCCACAGTGCGAAGAGAGATCTCAGTTGTTGCTGCGCCCGACGCTGCTGCAGCAGTAAACCCATCTGCTGCAGCGCAGTAGCAGAAGCGGCCAATACCCACCACAAGCGCAGCACATGCCGCCGCTGCACTTGCTGGCAGACCAGTCTGGCCTCTCGCAGCTTCTTTGCCTCTCTGCACGCAAGAAGCAGCAGCAGCTGTCGCAGGTGCAGATCAACTGCAGGCAGCGCAGGATAAGAAGATTCAGCAAGCAGTTAAAGGCAGCAGCAGTCGCTGCTGGAGCAGCAGCAAACTCACCCTACATTCTCTCTGAGGGACCAGAAAGAACGGCGCAGCAAATGCTTCTGTTGCAGCAAGGAAGCTGCTTCGTTGCAAGCAGCAGCGTGGCGACGCGCCTGAGGCAGAACTGCAGCAACTACAAGTGTTTCACAACAGCAGCGGCCAGCTAGCTAGCTAGCTCTCTAGTCAGCCAGTAATTGTTGCCGCAGGTAAGGAGCCGAGATGTACCTGGTATGCCCTCTGAAGCTGAGTGAAAAGGCACCTAAGCCGCGTCAGTCGCAGTGCAGAAGCCGCAGCTGCCTGCTGCTGCTTCTCCTCGGCTGCTGCTGCCGTGAAGAGGCGAAGAGCAGAGAATGCCCGGCGCTGCAAAGATGTCGTGCGCTGCAGCGGCAACACCAGCAGCAACGCGACGGAGGCTGCAGCACTCGAAGGCAGGTATGAACAGCAGCAAACGTGAGGCAACAGCACCAGCAGAGCTGGCAGCATCTGCTCACCTGCTGCAGCAAAGCATGGCACCGTTGCCTAAACGAGGCGTAGCGGAGGCAGCGCTGCCTCCATTCCGTCCAAGCACACTGCAGCAGAGTCCTGTTGCTGATGGCTGCCGCAGCAAAATGCAGCTTCTGCAGCATCTGCTGCCTAGCCGTGACTGCAACTAGCGCCTCGAAAGCAACGCGCAACAAGCGCTGCTGCTGCTGCTGCCGAAAAGCAGCAGCGGCAGCAGTCCACTCCTTCCATGTACGAAAACTGTTGCGCAGCAGCTCCTGCAGCACCAGCAGCAGCAGCCCACCAGCGGCATGACCCATGGCAACACAGCGGATTTCAGCTGCAACGAACTCTCGGCGGCTGCTCTAGAGCTGCAGCAGCAGCAGCCACACCAAAAGAAGCATAACAACAGCAGCTCCGACCTACCCTTTTCAAGATCCTCGCCACAGTAGGTGCGTGTTGCAGCAACCTCGTAGGGTGTGTAGGCAGCTCTAAGGGCACAAGAGATAAGACATGTAAGGCAGGTGCAGGGAGATGGGGCAAGCCCCTGCGACTGGTGGCCTCCAGCACAGCCCGAGCTAAGGTCCACTGCTGCTGCTGCGGTTGCTGCTGCTGCTGCTGCAGCGCATGCAGCACAACAAAGCGCACAATGGCCAGCGTTGCTGCTGCGCTGCGATATGGAGCTACAGACGCTGCCTCCTGGCAGTTTGCGGCTGCGGCAGACCGCCACTCCCGCAACACCACATGCATGCGCAGCAGAGAAACTCGATTTGCTGCTGCTGCTGCCGCAGCGCGAAGCCGTTGCTGCATCCAGCAGTGTTGCCGAAGCAGCAGCAGCACCTTGCTTTGGAGGCCGCGTTGCTGCAGGGCAGCTGACAACCGTAGGCGGAGTGTGTTACTGTCACATTGCTGCTGCTGCTTCTGCTTCCACATCTGCCAGACCTTCTGCAGCAGCATTTGCTGCTGTTGCTGACGCAAAGAAGCAGCAATAGAAGCAAGCTGCCGGGCTCGCCGCCGCTGAGGCAGAAAGGCGTAGCGCCAAGCGTGGAGTGCTTCGCTCTTAAGTCTGCTGCTACCGCTGCTGGTGCGCCAGTGCTGCTGCAGCAACAGCTGCTGCCCCAAGTGATGCAGCGCTCCTCTCAGTGCATGTAGTCGTGCAAATCGGCATATGACAGCGAGTGCAGACTGCTGCTGGCGCCGCTGCTGCTGCTGTCGCCGCTGCTCTGCTGCCGCTTTCGCAGCAGCAGCCCAGCACTGATAAACGCTCTGTTGCAGCAGGAAGTTGCTGGTGCGGCAGACCTTTTCCGCTGCAGCAGCATCAGTGGCCGCTGCGATTGCTGTTCTTGAGTGCCATTGCTGCAGCAGCTGCTTCCCGTGACGTTGCAGCAATGCTCCGTGAAGCTTCTCAAGCCGACACACTCCCTGCTGGATACGCTGCTGTTGCTGCTGCTGCCCTGGAGGGTGATATGCAACGATCTCTAGCGTGAGCTGCGGAACACCTGTTGCCCCTTGCTGCTGCAATTCTGGCTGCTGCTGTTGGTGACGGCTCAAGTGCGGCGGCTGCTGCAGCAACTGTTGCTGTTGCAGTTGCTGCTGCGATAAGGGCCAGTGCTCTGACAAAAGATGGTGAAGGTGCGCCCCCCGAGATGATGAAGGGTCTATGCCGTGCTGCTGCAGCAGCGAATCCATTTGAGATGCGGGAAGAGAGAGTGGCAAAGCTGATTGCACCTGTTGCTGGTGCTGCTGCTGTTGCTGCTGCCGCTGGATGTGCAGCACGCGGGCTACTGCAGCAGCGATCAGTTGGGTGTCTGTTGTTGCTGCGGGATCCACATGAGCTGGGGCAGCACTTATCGCAGCCACACGACTCCCTTGCCTTTGCTGCTGCTGCCTGGGCTGCCGCTGACTCGCTGCGTCCGATCGACTGCAGCATCCTCTGGAACTGCTCTCTACAGTTTTATTTACTCGGCCACGCGTCTGTTGAGTCTGCAGCGTCGGCTGTGAATGGACGCAGCAGCTGCTGCTGCTGCATCTGCTGCAGGAGACAGCAGCAGCAGCAAGAAGTGGCTGAGCGCCAGGCAACAGGGCCCCTGCCGCTGTGGGAGTCGGGCGCGGCATGGCTTTGGATGCGGTTCATGGTCCTCACAAGATTCTAGTGCTGCCGCTCTGAGTACTTCTGCTACTGCGGCTCCGTGTCTCGCTGTGTCTGCCGCCTTTGCCGCCGTGTAAGCGCATGCAGAGAACTAGTTGCAGCAGTCAAGAACAGCACGGCTTCGGCTGCAGCGGCAAATGGCTGTCTGAGGCTGTCGCAGCACCTCTCTAGAGGCAGCGGCTGATGCTGCTGCAATTGTTGCTGCTGCCGCTGCGGCTGCGTGAAGTCCAGCTGCAACGATGAAGCCGCTAGTTAATAACAACTAATTTAGTTTCGTCCCATCAGGCACTGCTGCGGGCACCGCCGACCACCAACACCACAGTCCCAACCACCCTGTGCATGCTCGCCAATGGCAGCAGCGCTGCTACTGGAACGGCAGCAGCAGCTGACGCCGCTGCTCCCGCCCGCGCCCGTGCTGCTCATTGTCTGCTGTATAGAGGGTTTCTTACAACCTTCTTTCCTAGATTTTGAGCCAACAAGCACATTTCGCGAGTTTACTGAAGCTGGAGGCGCTGCTGCTGGCGCTCCTCCTTCTGCTGCCGCTGGTGCCGCTGGACTGCCTACCGGGGGGCCACCAGTCCGCTGGTTGGTCGGGCATAGCGGCCTTTTTATTCTCGCTACAGCTGCAGCTGTTGTGCTTCTATTGCAGCAGATGCTCGTCAGCTGCTTCTGCAGCATCACACCTCATGGCTTTTCCCAGGGGCCGCGGCTGCTGAGCGATTGCTTGCTGCTGCTGGGGATCCGGCACTTCATCGCCGTGCGATGCAGCAGCAGCAGCAACAGCAGCAGCAACACCAGCCGCTGCTCCCTTTCATGGCCGCTGCCGGTGACAAAGGTGCGGTTGGTGACCCACGGTGCCCAGCAGCAGGAGCATCAGCAACGGACACAGAAGCAGTAACACCGGCGGAAGAAGGGTTAGATGGGGCGCCTTCCTTCAGTTTCGCTGCTGCTGTACGAGCAGCAGCAGAAGCGGCAGCAGCTGCCGCTGCTTCGCACGAGGAAACACTGCACTCGAAGGCTTTCTTTCTGTGGAACTCGGCAGACAGCGCCAGCGGCAGCAAGTGCTGCGTTCAGTTTTCCAGACTTTCGGGTGTTTATGCAGCAGGAGCAGGGGCAGCAACTGCTGGCAGTGCAGGGGAAGGGGATCCAACAAATGCAACTGCCTCAGCAGCAAATGGCTGCCCCGGTGAGGCCCACACCACAAAAGAAGCAGTAGCGGCTGCTGCTGCAGGGCAAGGCGCCACTGAGATCTACGAGCAGCAGCTGCACGAGTGCCACGCGCTGCTCCAGCAGCTGCTTGTAGGGGACGCAGCGCAGCAGCAGCAAGCAGAGGCTGTTTTTCTTTCTTGCTGCGAGTCCCCGGGGGTGCTCCTGGCTCTGACTGCCTACGCTATTTGCGGCTTCAACTCAGCCTTATTTGCTCATTCTTGCTATCATGCTGCTGCTGCAGCTCAAAAAAGGCTTGAAGCGAGTGGCAGCAGCAGTCGGGGTGGGCCACCGGCGGCGACACAGCAGCAGCAGCAAAAACAGCAACAGCAGAAGCAGAAACAGCACCTAATTTGCTTGTGCAGTGCCCCCGGATGCTGCTGCGTATTTTCGCACCAGGGGCAGCAGATGCTGCACTCTGCAGCTACATTGGGCAGCAGCAGCAGCAGCACAAGCCAAGCCAGCAGCGGCTTCCTGCTGCAGGTGTTGTGTGCTACGCTGCTGCGGCAGCTCGTGGGGCCCCGCTGGAGCAGGTTCGACCCCAGCGAACGACAGGCAGCGTTGCTGCTGCTGCTGCACTCCGCCCCATGCCACCCTCAGGAGCAGCTGCAGCAGCTGCTGCACAAGGTGCTGACACAGCTAGTGGCTTACCAACAGCAGCGCGCAGCGGACCCGTGCTGTTGCTGCGGGCGAAAACTGTTGCAGCAAAAGCTGCAGCAGCTTCGGGCAGCAGCAGACGCGAGAGATACTCTGTGCAGCAGCAGCAGTGCCAGCAGCAGCAATGCCAGGTGCAGACAGCAGCCTCTAGAAGCTGCTCCCACCAGTGTACCGCCGCTGCTGTCGGCAGCAGCAGTAGAGGCCAATGGCACCGCTCCGAACCAGCCGGCAAGCCCTGACGAAACAGCAGCAGCAGCGGCGGGAGCAGCAGCAGCACCAGGAACAGCAGCAGCAAGTAGCACCGAAGCAGCAAGGGAGCCTGCGAGGCCCCAAGTGTCCCGTTCGAACAGTGGCGTGACTGCAGCAGGGGCAGCATCACCGACGACAGGCCCAGCAGCCGCTGCTGCTGCTGGTGAGAGCATTGCTGCTGGCTGTTGTTACTCGGGGCATTTGTGCTGCAGTGCAGCAGAGTGCCTGACGGAACAGGTTTTGATGCGAGTAACGGTAAGCAACAGCAGCAACAGCAGAAGCAGCCCGACAGCTATATGGAAGCAACACTAGCAGCAATGTACATTCTGAACAGATTCGTGAATGCGCTGCTGCTGTGCTTCTGCCTTTGTTCAGGAGTTGGTGCAGCGCGCAGCAGCAACACGGAAGGCGCAGCAGGCAGCAGAAGCAGCAGCAGCAATAGAGAAAGCTCCTTGCTGCGGCAGTCCCCGGTTCGTCATGCATGCAACGCTGAGGTTGTTACAGGTGCTGCTCAGGGACTGCCCGAATTTCCTGTTGCTGCAGCAGCAGCGGCTGCAGCAACTGCTGCAGCTGCTGCTGCATACCGCAGGCGGACGCCAGACGTATAGTGTAGTGCTGGCTCCAGGTATGCTTGCTGCAGCTTCAGCAGACAGCTCCGCCGTTGACGCAGGGCTCACCGCAGCAGCAGTCCTGACACCGCGTGCTGCTATTGAAAAGACTAGAAGAAGATTGCAAATCAAAGTGGGTTCTAATTGTTGTTTTTGCTGGTGTTGTTCCTGAGCATTTTGCTGTCGCCGTTTCTGCATTTGGTGCTCTTGTTAATGCTTTATGTGTTGCTACTGCTCTTTGCTGCTGTCTGCTAGCTACAGGCAGCCATGCCTGCTGCAGATTTTTGCTTCAGCTCGTAGCTGTAGTTGCCCTTGTGCTTCTGCTGTGGTTTGCTGCTGCTGCCAATTTGGTGCTGCTGCTGTGATGATTGCTGACAATGCAGAAACCTCGATTGGACACAGCAACGTCAGTTGCGTGCCTCGTGGTCTATGTGGAACTGCTGGAGACTGCGCAAGCGCACAAGCAACACTGCTGCTGCTGCTGCAGCTGCTGCTGGGTGTCGGCCTTGCTGCAGCACGTTCAGCCTCTGGTGCAGCAACTGCTGCTGCTGTTGCGCATCAGCAGCATGCACCTGACAGATGGAGGTCATCTCACTGTAGCTGTGCAGACGCTCCGCTGCTGCGTCCTCATCACCCGTCTTTCCTGTCCTAGCAGCAACAGCAGCAAATGGCAGTATCACAGAGTGCAGCTGCCCGCGCTGGAGGCCGACCTGACGCCTACTGCTCCGGCTGTCGCCGCTGCTGCTGTTGCAGCTGCTGCTGCTGCAACAGATGAGGCCCCCTGCTTGTGCACACCGTCGGAGGCGACACGCAGTACGTCGGCACCTTCACCAGACTCTCCGCTTTCAGGGGCAGCACCAGCAGCAGCAGCAGCTGCTGCTGCAGCTTCTCCCGAAGACAACAGCGGCTTGGCGCTGCCGGAACCCTTACTCAAGTTCAATAGTCCGTTTGGAGTAGCAGCAACTGCAACGAATCGTGACTGCTGCAAAAGCTGGGAGTGCAGCATGCGGGCTGAGTTTGCCGCTGTAGCTCCGCTGCTGCTGGACGCGTGCATTGCTCTGCTGCAGCGCTATTTCTGCACATACGAGGCCTTGCTGCTTCAGGAGGGCGAGGAAGAGCAGCAGCAACAAGGCAGTGGAGCCGCCAAAACCTCCGCAGCAGCAGCGGCAGCAGCAGCTGCAGCAGAGGCCTCTAACGCCCTCAGCACCTCAGGCCGGTGTCTTGTTGTTCAAAGTGTCTGCCTTCTCACAGAGTGTGCTCGCGTGCGTGAATCCAGGGCTCTGATGCTGGACTGCGAAACTGAAGCTGCTGCTGCTGTGGCAGCAGCCGTTGCAGCAGCATCAGCTGCTCCTGTGGGCGACGCTGCGCACGGTGCTGCAGTTGCTGCGGCTGCTGCGAATGCTTCACAAGAAGCAGACGAGCTTCTCAGTGCGCAGCCTGCTGCAGCACGAACTGGCCAGCAAATGCAAGTCACAGGGGTGCCTGCTGCTGCTGCTGCAGCCTGTGTCGCCACAGAGGAAGAGATAGCTGCGGCGCCTTCCCCGGGCTTAACGCTTTTGCTGTCTTTGCTGCTGCCGTATTGCCAGCTGTCTTTGGCAGAGGAGCAGCAGCTGCAGCAAAACGCCAGCAACTTTATTGATTGGAGCAGCACAGAGCAGCGGCTTTTGCTGCAAGCACTGCTGCTGCAGCATGGGTACAACAGGCAGCAGCTACAGTTTCTGGGCTTTTCTTCTGCAAGCTGTAGTGACGTTTTAACGGAAGCAGCAGCGGTGGCAGCAGGGGAAGCAGCACGGCGACGGTGGCGCCGGCAGCAACAGCAGCAGCAAGAAGAGCAGCAGCAGCGACAACAGAAACGGGAAGCAGATGATGAAGAAGCCCTTGCTGGACAGTCTGTTCGCCGCGTCGTGCTGCAGCTGCTGCATGCTCTTGAAACACCTGTGTCCTATCAGTGCAGTTGCAGAGACGCTACAATATCCTCAAGAGCAAGCCCAGCAGCTGCTGCTGCTACAGCGCATGCTGCTCCCGAGGAGGAGACCGACGGTTTTTCTGCCTTCGGGGGCGTGGCAGCCACTGCGGCTGCAACTGAGAGCTGCATCAGCGAGTGCTGCTTGAATTACTGCACAAGTGCTGACTCCGTAGGGATCTGGGGGGATACAACAGCGCAAGAGAAGGCTCAGCAAGCGGCTAGTGCTGCAGCTGCTGCTGCGCGGCGAATCGTTGCTGCTTCCGTTGCAGAGGCAGCAGAGTCTCTGCTGCTGATCAGCGCAGAGCGCCGCCAGCAGCAACTGCCCTGGTGGTCTCTAACTGAGGTGTGTCGGTGCCTGCTGCCGCTTGTGTTGAGGCTTTCTTGCGTGTGTTGCTTTTGCTGCTGGTTGAAGGTATATCGCTGCGCTGTTGCCAGGGTTGCTGCATGTGTGTCATAGTAATGCTGTTCTTGTGAGTGCCGCTTCTGCGTGTTTTGCTCCTGTTGCTGCTCTCTCCCGTTGCAGAATCACTGTTGGTACCTGCCAGTCCTGCTGCTGGTGCTGTTGCTCCTTTCCTGCAGGCAGCACTCTGGGCAGTTGGGTCCACGCAAGCAGAAGCCGCCGCAGCAGCAGCAGCATTAGAAGCGCATGTACAGTGCATAGCGCATGTGTTGGCAGCAGCAGAAGAAGCTGAAGCAGACGCAGCGTCGCCAGGCCCCATTCCTTCGCTGCTCCTGCGCTGCCGCTGCCTTCTTGTGGCCTGTGTGCTTCGAGTGTACGTACACCGCAAGTACGCGCAGGAGGTGGAGACGCTCGCCAGGCTGGCTCTAGGAGCTTTTTGCGGGGAGAAGAATCCCTTGCTGCTAAGGTACTTTGATGTTTCTGCGGGTGGCCTTGTTGCTGTCGCCGCGCTGCTTCCGCGCGCTGCGCAGCCTACAAAAGCCAATTTGGCGTCAATTTTGAATTGGCAGCTGCTGCATCTGTGAATTGGAAGCTGCTGCTTTTGCTGCAATCCGGAGTCCATGCCTCTGCAGTGCGGGCTGTGTGGAGGGCTCAGACTCGCTGTGCTTCTAGTGCTGCTGCAGGTTATGCGGCTGCGTGGCTTTCGAGGCGTTCGTGTCCTCCAGCAACGACGAGGCATTTGTCGCGAGCAGCTGCTGCTGTTTTCTGCTATCCTTGCCGCGTTTTCTCCGCGGTTTCAGCGGCGACTCGAACTGCCTGCTGCTGCTGCTGCTGCTGCAGCGTGTGGTATTGGTGACGCCTGCTACAGTCCTGCGCCGGCTCTGTCTCGAAGGATGCTTGGAGGAGCTGCTGCAGCTGCTGCTGCGCGTGGCTGTGCGCAGCCCCCCCACGAACCAGTTGGTTCAGGGGCTAGTCCGCCTCCTTGCCCTTACTTGTCAGAGACACAGGTGCGGTCTTGCAAATCCTGTTGCTGCTGCTGCTTCAGTGCTGCCTCACTTGCTCCTGCACTCCCTGGTTTGTATCTCCTTGCCGTGATTCTTGAGCCTCTGTTGCTTTCTGCTGCTGCTGCTTTTGTTGGCCGAGCTTTGAGCTGCCTTGATGACTCAATGCGGCCATAGCGCGCCAGTTGCTGTTGGCCCTGCAGTGCTTCTGTGATTATTCTTGCTGTTGCTTCAACTATTGTTGCTGCTTCTGGGACTGCTGTTTCTGTTGGCTGCAGCGTGCAGATTTTTCGGGCCTTGCTGCCACCGCTTGCCCAGCGCCTGCAACGGTGTGCTGCAGCAGACAGAAAGCGATGTGCAGTTTTGCAGCGGGAGAGCGCAGCAGCAGCCGCAGCAGCAGCAGCAGCGTCAGCAGCAGTTGAGGGGACCTCGACTTCCACCACACCGGGAGAAAGACCTGCTTCTTTGCCACCAGCTCTTGTGGTGTCTCCATATGAAGTGTGTACATGTGTAGAGGCCCTCTCGAGCTGTTTGCTTGCTGCTTTCATGCAGCTGCAGGAGCAGAGCCAGCAGCAGAACCAACAGCAGCAGATAGCAGCAGTTGCTTCCGAATCCGCGGGGAAGTCGCATGCAGCTGAAGCAGCACCTGAAGCAGATGACGACACAGTGTCATACCTCAGCAGCAACGCCACTTTTGCTGCTGTGCTGCGACTGCTCCTTTCTGCGCTGCTGCGCACTGATGATGAAGCGCTGCTGCAGGAGGGCATCTCTTGCGTGGCCCTCGCAGTTGCATGTGCACCTGACTGTGTAGACCTGGAGCAGCAGCAGCAGCACCAGGAACAGCAGCAGCAAATGCCACTTTACAACCTATTGATGTACACGGCAGGCTGCTTGCAGTCCCGCTGCGATGTGTCCGCCGCCGTTTCATCTCGCGCTACTACTCTGTGGGAGCTGCTGGTTGAGGTGTACAGACAGCGGCTGTCTGCCGCACACCTGCAAGAGCTCTTGCAGCTGCTGCTGCTGCGGCATAGGCAAGCTCGAGATCCTCAGCTGCGCACACAGTTGCTGCGGACATCTTGTTGGCTGCTTCTGCAAGACCCTGAAGGCCTCTTTCCCCTTTTGCTGCAGTCGCGCGCATGCACTCAGCCGCAGCAGCAACAACAGCAACAGGAGCAGAAGGAAAGGCCGCAAGCCCAGCAACAGCAGCATCAACAGCAGCAGCAGCCGCAGCAGAGGGGCAATACTGCAGTAGGCTCAGTAGCAGGAACAGCCGCTGCTCCAACTGACGCAGGGGCCAGTGCAGCAGAAGCTCTCAACAACAGTCGCAGGGGTAGCAGCAACGCTTGCAGCCTTGACAGGAAGGTTGCTCCAGCAAAAGGTGCTGCTTCGGCGGGAGACAGCAGGCCGGCCGGGCGAAAGAGCAGCAGCAGCAATCAAAGGAGTCCCAGCAACAACAGCGTTGCGCAGCAGATAGCACGACACCGATTGCGGCGAAGGCAGCAGCAGCAACAGCAGCAACAGCAGCAACAGCAGCAGCTGATGCCTGAGGCAGCAGGAAGCAGCCTGCAGCTACTGCTAATTCTGTTGGTGCAGCATCTGAACGCAGAACAACAACAACGGCTGCAGCGTAACAGGAGAAGCCGCATGCGCAGCAGCAGCAAATTTTCCATTACCATTTTCGTACGGGCCGCCTGCTCCTTTTTCACTGTGGGTGAGGGACAATGGCTTCGCGCTATCGCAGAACAGCAGCAGCAGCAGCAACAGCAGACTGGAGTCTTTCAGACGTGTCTCGCCCAAGCCGTACGTAATATGCACTGTGCTGCTGCCCCTGCTGCTGTTGACATTTGCTGCTGCTGCACTTCAGTATGCTGCTGTTGCTGCTGCGGCAGTGCGACATCTCCCGCTTCGTGGCTAGTCCTGCAGCAGGGCAGCAGGCTCCGCCTTATTGTATCGCTCTTTGTGTTGCTGCTGTTTCTCGCTGTGCTGCAGCTGCTGCAGTGCGTACTGGGGCTGCATCGCCGCAGGTGCATTGTAAAGCAGCAGCGAGTGCTGCAGGAGCGTCTGCGGTGCCCTGCAGCTGCTTCCTGGTCCCCTTCTGCCGCAGCACAGGCTGATGACGGAGCGGCAGCAGCAGCAGAACCGCGCGGCATATGCAGACTTTCTGAAGGGGCCTTCAAAGGCACGGCAGATGACAGTAGTAGCGGTAACGCTAGCAGCAGCAGCAGCATCAGGAGGCTGCAGCGGCATGCGTCGCTGCATCACTGGACGATGGGTACGAGCGGCAGCAACAGCAGCAGTTTCACAGAGTTCCAGCTTCAATCCCGCTACACCATGTGCTGCTTTGGCTGCTGCTGCTGTCGCTGTTTTTTGCCGCTGCTGCTCAGTGTCTTTAACGCATTTTGCTGGCTGTGCATTTTTGTCCTGCAAATGTCTTTCTTGGTGTTGGTGCAGACACAGGGTTACGCCGGCGTTCTGCTGGCTGGTGCAGCAGCAGGTACAGTTCTGACAGCAGCAGCAACAGCAGCAGCGCATGCAGTTGCTGCAGCAGCGAAAGCAGCTACAGCAGCAACACCACAAGCAGCAGCGGTCTGCATGACAGAAAAGGCACGCCTTTCCGTTTGCTGCTAAAACAGCAACGGGTGGGGCTGCTGCATCAGGCGACACTGGAGGCGCTGCTCTCGTCTGCGGTAACTGCTGCTGCAAACCCGTATCTGTGTGGGCATCTGTGGCCTGAGAAGCTGCAGCAACAACTGCAGGAGCTGCAAGAGCTGCAGCAACAGGAGCAGCAGCACTCCAGCCACCGGCACCAAGCGAGGCTCTATGGCATGGCGTGCAGCAGGAGCGTTTCGCCCCAGTGCACAGCTATTTCGCTGGAAGTGCCACCGCTGCAGCAGCAGCAGCAGCAATTATCACTGCGGAGCAGCAGTTCCTTCGACGGGAAGAAGGACTCTGAGTGGGATGCAGGTACACCTGAGGACCCAGTTGCAGCTACAACTGCTGCAGTTACTGGTAGCGGGGCTCAACAGCGGCCTGCGGCAGCGTCGCCTACATCGGCAGATGTTTCTGTGGCAGTGCCAGCAGCTGCTGCTGCCACGGCTCCCGATGGAGCAGCATGTCACGCAGTCAGCAGTGACATGAGGTTTTTTGTGCCGCAACAACAGCAGCAGCATCAGCAACAGTCTCACTCCGTCAATATGCCAGCTGTTCTACTCCAACAGAGGCTGCGGCAGGAGGCGCAGCAGCAGCTACCGCAGCAAACGCAGCTGCTTCAGGGCAGGTTTACTACCCAAGAGCAGCAGAACACAACTGCCTTGCGGCTGCTAGCTGCCAGTGACCGGCAGCGACAGCAGCAGCAGGAGGCCGACAGCTCAGATGATGGAGAAATGAGGTGCGACAGGCCGTCTGTTTGATAGCACTCGCGGCGGCTGCTGCTGCTGCAGCTCCAGATTCGAGCACTCTGGCAGCCCTATTTACGATTTGGGGTACCGTTTACTGCAACAAGAGCTGAAGCGCAGCGAAGGCGCAGCAGGAACGACAGTGCAGCAGCCGCAGCAGCAGCAGCAGAAGAGCAGCTGCCTTGTTTTTGGTAATCTCTCAAGTGCACAGTTCGTTTGCTTGCTTTTTGCACTGCTGGTATATAACCTGAGCGTTGAGGTGCGTGAACAGGTTAGGGGTGGTCCGTTACAGGCGATAGCAGGACTTAGCCCTGAACTTCATTTTTAAATAAATTGTTAAATTCACTTTCTTAACTATAAGCTTCGATCAATCGTCGAGAAGTATGCAAAGAAACAAGAAAGACCCATAGGGCAGACGCAGGCAAAGACCAGCTGCAGCTGCAGCTGCAGCTCCGGTGCAAGCAGAAGCACAGAACAAAGACAGACACACAGACGGAGGCTCATGTAAAGTTAAGAACACGCACAGAACACAAATGAAAAGGCTTTGCAAGCAGGCACGGAGAAGACCAATGGACAAGACAGCGGCTGTAGACTGTTTGCTTGCACTGCCGTGAACGTCTCAGTGTGGCACTTCAATCGGCAGTTGGTCAGCAAGCGCAGATCCAATTGAAAAAGGTCCAGCGTAGAGTTTAAGCAAACTTGCCCTGCCGTGAATGTCTCAGCGTGGCACTTCAATCGGCAGTTGGTCAGCAAGCGCAGATCCAACTGAAAAAGGTCCAGCGTAGAGTTTAAGCAAACTCAGTTTTCCGGACCTCCTCAATCATTGCCAGCCAGTTATATACTTGCAAATTAACGGAACTGCCAAAGTGGGGGCCTAGGAGGTAAGCAAACTCCCCGTTCATTTGGTGTCTCATTCAGCTATTCGCACTTTACTACTTGCTTTGTGGCAAGCTGGGGTTTGCTGAGGCTAGATACGGCTATATAGAGGCCACTGGTGGCGGCTGTTCTGAAGAGCCTTGATGCTTACGTCGTGCAACAATTAAGTGGGCCGGCAGAAGAATTAGGAAGTGAGGGTGCACCAGTCTCAGAGGCGGACCCACAGGCTGCTCAAGTGAAAGAAGAGAGGTAATGCAAGGAAAAACAGAAGGAGTACGAGACACTTATGAAGCGGCACACGCTGAAACACAATTTAGAGGCGCAGGTACAGGGGAAGAAGTACGAACCACGAAAAACGGAGAGACGGAGAACTGTAGGAAGTGTGCAGCACCAGAGACCCGGAGCAACACGAGAAGATAAAAAAAAGCAAAAGCAGAGATGCAAAGAAGCGGAATTAAATATTGACCATCACTATGTAGCTGCTGCTGGCAATGTTGTAGCCAAAAGGTCACCTGCGGAGATCTTCTTGGTCATTCTGTTCGTGGGACTGTGGCTCAGGGTGATTCGTTACAGAATCTCTTTATAAAAACCCATTTGAAGTGGAAAGGTATAATTCTTTCAAAGATTTCAAGTCAACTGCACGCATGCAGGTGGCCCCCAAAGCTACTGCCGGAATATTCGCCCAACACTGGCGTAGTGACCGCTCCACAGGCCGAAGTGCCCCACAGAAGCACCTGTTTCTTCGGTGTTGTTTGTATTTGCGGAAAATTGAAATAATGAATATTCGGTTTTAGGTGTACCAACACGCACAGCCACCCAGCTGCTATAGCCTTACGGGCGCCGTCGCTCTCCCACACACGACAAGTGCCACAGAGGGTATGTGAGAAACAGCAATAGCAGCAACATCAACACCAGCATAAAAATTGCTAGTGGGAGCAGCAATGTGCGGCTGAGGAGATACAGAAGCAGGAGAATTGAGGATACATCGCGTAGCTCCACACAAAGGGATACGGCCCATTGAGTCAACGCGTACACGTCGCCTATCTGTCTCACGTGACAACTGCACGTCACCGGTATCAAGAAATACAAAGTGAGGCTACACTAGACTCAGGAAAAAAGAAGGTTGCAGGTCGAAGACGAGACATAGTGATACAAACAGATAGAACGGGCTTTTCACTGCACGGGGAGAGGCGCACAGCCTGAGAGACGGAAAACGAGCAAAAGGTATAAAAAAAGCAAAGATAATTAGGGGTGAAGAGAATATAATCAAGAAAAAAGAGAAACCCAGGCCCAACACAAGGACTGGCGGAAACAAGGGGGTCAATGAACAGGGGCGCAGCAACACAGGCACGCACAGGCAGCAACTGATAGAGAAACAAATGCAGAGAGACTAGCAAAGCACTGCATGCTTAGAGGAAAACTGCACAAAAAGCGAAGAAGGTAAAGAGACAAGCATGCAGGCCTAAGGAGACCCAAACGGGCAAGTAGTTCGAGAAAAAGAGAAGCCAATCTGGCAGAAGACGACAAACGGATTAATAGCAAGTACGCAGCTACAAGCGAAACGAGCGAAGGAAAACGAAAACAGACAAAGGCAGGCCCAGCCTGAAAGTCAGCTTGCGCATCATGGACACCAAAGACGCTCCTCAGATAATAAACCACTCCCTAGCATCTGTGTCGTACGTGCCCCATGCTGCTTGCTGGGTGCCACACAGCATTTGCTGCTTCGCTGGCGGCGAAGCCGCGAAGCGCACTGGGGATCTTGAGGTCTACAGACTATCCGATGCTCAGCTAAAAAGGCAGCATCACAAAGAAACAAAGTCGGGAATCAAGTGCATGGCTGCTGCACACAGTCCAGCAAGCGGCCGCTGCATCCTTACAGGTAAGCTTAATCAGCAACAGCAGCTCCACCAATGGAAGCTGCACATTCGACGACCGCAGCAGTTCCAGCGGCAGTAGCTGCGCATTCAACGACCGCAGCAGCTGCAGCAGCCGCAAAAGCAGCAGGTCCCTGACTGGCAGGTGCTGCTAGCGTTGTAGTGGGAGCGCGTGTAGTTGCAGTTTGGTGTAGTTATAGTTTCGGCAGAAGTGCAGCAACTGCCAAAGGGCTACAGTAGGGCAGGATGCACGCGCTCAGTCGTGCTGCAGCAGCTGGAGCAGCTACAGCAGCAGTATCAACAGCACCAAATGCTTTGCAGCAGCAGCAACAGCATTCACAACAGAGGTTGCGGGTAAATTGAAGGTAAAAGGACGAGCATACAGTTCTGATTTAGCATTTGTTTGCGTTTATTTTCCTTTTTGCCTGTAAAAGGCCACTTCGATGGGACCCTGAGTGCTTGGGACAGCGAATGCGTGGAAAGGGCCGTGTGGCAGCTGAAGGCTCACGAGACAGTCGCCAACGCAGTGTCTGCACACCCCAAAGAGCCACTGGCGGTGACAGGGGGGAGGGAAGGAACAGTTAAAGTGTGGGACTTGAGGACGAAGCAGAGCGTGAGGAAAAAAAATGAAAAATGGCCCACAAAAAGATCTAGGGGCACACGAAAAGCCAAACATACAGACAGGAACAAAGACTGGCGGACATAAAAATAGACTAAATATGGCGTTCATAATGAAAGGCAGGCAAAGATAGACGAACTGACATGATTAAAGATATGCTGCACAGCAAACGGCAGTAGAAAGGCCATACCTACAAACAAAGAGAACAGAGAGAAAGAGGATACACGACACAGGCCAAAGCGAAAGGCAAAAAGAGTCAAAGAAAGACTCAGACCGAGAAACAGCGAGAAGCAGGCAGAGCTTTCGATACGGAACCACAAGTCAAAAACGTTTGTAATGGAGTGCATCAGTGTTGAGTGCATCTGGCATAAGACACAGCTTCTCTAGCCTGAGTATTGACTGCAGCAGCAGCAAGTGCAGCCACAGGAACTCTGCTGATGCTTTTGTGATGCATTTGGGTTTTCCTGTTCCCGCATGTGTACTAGGTAGTGTCGCTGGAGCCTGCAGAAGGGGAAGAAGCTGCGGAGTGCTGGGCCGTGTGCTGGGGAGATTGCACAGAAGGCATTGGCCGGGGGGGCGTTATTGGCTGCGGCTACGACAACGGCGACGTGAAGCTGTTCGACCTCCGCAGCATGCGTTTGCTGACAGAGCGCAACCTGGATTATGGAGTCTGCGGCATTGCCACTGATAGAGCAGACATATGCCTCAACAAGCTGCTCGTGGCCGCGCTCGAGGGGCGCCTTTTCACAGCTGATCTCAGGACATGCCACCCGGAAGAAGGATACGCCTTTGGAGAGCAGCAGATTTCTGCAGGTAAGCCGCAACCGATTTGCCGAGGGGCTTCAGCCCGTAACTGCAAGCCCTGCAGCTTCAGCAACACGAACTGCACCTGTAGCAGACCCTTGGGATGAAGCTGCGTGCATTTCAAATACCTGGTCCTCCCTCAAGTGACTGGGGGTCCATTGATGAGCCCCCGCCGCTGCTGTTGCATAAAGCTGGGACTACTGCAAGACCCTGTCTGCTGTGGTATCTGCTAAAGAATTGCTGTTGTTTTGGGGTCTTGAGTTCCTCTGTAGGCACCATTTGGGGTGTGTACCCACTCCCTCAAAACAGAGAAATCGCCGCAGCTTCTTGCGGCAGCGGAACGGTGAGGCACCCTTAATTTATGCTGTTTCCTTACTCAACTCCATGCTCTCTCGGGCCTTGTTTGCCGTCGCATAGTGCAGCAGTAGCAGTGGCAACAGCCTCAGCAACAGCTGTTGCCGCTGCTAAAGTGCCTGCTGCTGCTGCTGTTTGTTTTTCATTTGTGCCTGTGGGACCTCTGCTGCTGCCATGGCAGGTGACTGTCCTGCTCTACTCTTACCCCGAGCAGCGCAGCCTGACGGACCCTGAGACTGGCTTAGCCCGTGGGATCGTTGGAACCCAGCAAGTTCTCAACGACGCCGAAGTTAGCAGCCAGCCAGTGGTGGCCTGGGACTGGCACCCTCAGAAGACAGGACTGGCAGTCTGCGCCTCTTTAGACCAACAAATAAGGCTCACAGTTGTTACGAAACTCAACCTCTACTGAACCTAACGAGGCTGGAGTTGCGGGCGCATTTGATCTAGGTGCAGCTGTGGCTGCACTTGCTTGCTCGTGCTCAGTGTTATGCATAAAAGCTGCAGCAGCAATTACAGCAGATTGAGCAGAAAGCTAAGAGCTAAGTGCGCGTAACTCCAACTTGCTGGGCCTGCAGCACCACCAGACTGCTGTCGCTGTTGCCCCGCGAGGACAGCCCTACCCGCAATAGCAGCGCTAAAAAAGGCAAATTCTGAGATAAGATCTGAGGCACCTCTGGGCAGCGGCCGCTGTTGCTGGTGCAACTGCTGCAGTTGCTGCTGCCGCTGGCCCTAGCAATGTGTTGCAAGTCGTTTCAGTTCATGACAATAACCATGCATTTGCGAAACTAGCGCCTTCCAGTTGCGTTAAAAAACCAGTGCAGGCCTCACTTATGCTCCAGACGATGCTGCACGCTGCAGAGGCAACAGGCTGCGCTAGCTGCTGATTTCTGTAGATTTTTGGAGGGTCGTTGCAGCTGCAGCGGCAGAGGACGCAAGGGCCGCCGCTGCTGCGTCACTGGTTGCTGCTGCCTTCCAGGCAGCTGCAAGGGCATCTTTGTGCGCGTCTCTGAGCCTTTGGTGGTGGCGCTGCAGCCAACCAAATGTGTCGGACGGACACAGCCGTTCCAGAAAGTCCCCTAAGTCTTCTCTCAGGCGCCGCACGCGGCGGCTGCGGCAGGTAACAGCAACGCCACCCGCTGCTGCTGCCCCTGCATATTCAAACTGGGGGCCTGCCAGGGACAGACACTGACGCAATTCTGCTGCTGCTGCCGCTACTGCGGGCGCTGCCGCTGCGGCTCTTGCTTCTGGCTGGGGCTGCTGCTTCTGCTCCGCACTGGCGCTGCAGCAGCAGCCGCTGCTGCTGGTATCTGTGCTGGGGCCCCAGTGTTGCGCTGCCCGCAGCTGTTGCTGCTGCTTCTTCTTACACAGTTCCTGCTGACGTTGCTGCTCCTGATCGTCTAATTGCTGCTCTTGCTGCAGCGATAAAGCGGCCTTTACAACGGCGTTGCCCGTGTCAATGAGGACTTGCTGCTGGGCCACATTAAAATCGAAGCACACATCTAGAGGCCCGTCACCATTGTTCACGGCTAACGCCTCTCCTCCGAACTGTTGCAGCAGCAGCAGCAGCCAGTCACTGCTGGCCGTAGTTAAAGAAGTTCCTAGCAGCAAAGCAACAGGGGGCGCACCTGGCACCCACTCCTTTCTGCTGCTTCTACTGCCACTGCTGCTGCTTGGACAGCTGGAAGCAGCCGAGCGGCCAGCCTCTCCGGAATTGTGGTCTGTAGCGGAAGCAGCTGCGGCCTCAGCAACAGCAGTCTCTGCTGCTGCCATGCTTGCACCGCAGCGGGGCAGCAGCCAGTGGCCGGGAGAACAACAGATATTGCATGCACACCTAGCGCCACCCCTGCATGTGAGGTGGAATGCAGCAGCAGCGCAGCACTTGCTGCTTGTGCTAGTGGCGTCGCCGGAGCAGCAATGGCAGGTGCTACAATGTGTCACGAACTGCTGTTTCTTGACGAGTGCAACAGAGTCTTTTAGGGAGGTCCCTGCTGGAGACGGCTGATCGTGTTCACCGCTAGCAGCAGCAGCAACAGCAGCAGCAACCGGCTGCTGCAAGACGCCACGCACTGACGGCCGCTGTAGCTCAGCTAGCCGGGGTGGAGGCGCCTGCTGCTGGTCTGGCTGTAGCAGCAAAAAGCTAGGGTCAAACAATCCTTGAGCTGCAGCTGCTTCAGCTGCTGCAGCAGATGCAGCGCCGCATTTGCCCGTAACAGCAGCAGCGGTAGCAGCAAGCAGCAACGCTCTGTTGAAACCTTCAGCAGCAAATGCCGCGTGGGGAGAAAAAAGGCACTCATCAAAAAGGAGACACAGAGGCAGACAGCAGCTTCCGCATGCAGGACACGCTGGCTGTAGACGCCACCCTTTTGCTGCACCCGATGCAGCTGCTGCTGCTTCCACAGCTGCTGCTCCTTCTACGGCTCCAGTGGCAAACGGAGTAGCTGCTTGAACAACCTTGCCGTCTTTTTCACTTATGGAAACCCACAGGACTTGAGTGTGGTGCAATGCTGCGTCGAACTGAAAAGGGCATGCAGCAGGCTTTTGCTGCTGCTGCTGCTGCAGCATATGGCCAACGCACCTGAAGAAAAACACGTTCCCGTGCAGTTCAACGAGCGGAAGGAACGAGGGCAGATGAAATAAAGAATAATTCAGTGGAAACGCAGCAGCAGCAGCAGCAGCAGTGGTTATGGACCCGGTTGATGCTGCTGCAGCTGCTACTGTTGCTGCTTCAGCGGCGTTTGGGTCAACAAAGGCACCAGGTGCTGCGGCGGCTCGTACCGCGGCAAGAAGCCCATTCTCCATAGTAACGAGACAGCACTGCTGCTGCTGCTGTTGCTGCTGCCTTTCGGGGCCCTTCCGTTCAAAACTTTGTTGCTGCTGGTGGCCCCTGAAGTAATTCTGCTGCGGCAAAAAAAGGCGAAGGGCAGACTCGGGCGCAGCAAAGAGAGACAGCAGCAGCAGCAGCGCATAACGTTCCAAGTTGTCGACGTTCTGTGTCAGCAGCAGCAACCGCTTTGGCTGCTGCAGCAGCAGCAGCGCCAACACAAAGTGCGACAGCGACGGGAAGGACTGCGCGTACAGTCCAGGAGGGTGTGCTGCAAACCAAAAGCGCGTCATCCTGATGCAGCAGCAACAGCAGCAGCAGCAGCAGCAGATCGAGAATGCACTCATGCTCAGCACAGGACAGCACTGCAGCGATTCAAACGGGAAAACGTGAAACACAGGCAACTGCTGTGCCTGCTGTGGCTGCTGCTGCTGCAGAACAGCAGCAGCAGCCGCAGCAGGCACAGCAGCTGCAGCAGCAGACATCACAGCCGTAGGTGCTGCAGCTGACCAGTCAGCGGGAGACTCCAAAGCTTTAACTACTGTAGCCTGCTCCGAGCTAAAAGCTCCCCATACGCCTGAAGATGACACGCGCTGCTGCTGCTGCTGCTGCTGCTGCTGCCCTCGTTTAGAATACGGCCCTGTTTGCTGCGTCCCCTTGGGAAAACGCTGCTTTCGTTGCCGCTGCTGCTGCTGCTTCCGGTACAAGGGGATTCCGCTTTTGCTGCCGAGCCCTGCAGCAAGTTGAAACAAACAGAAGCAGCAGTAGAAGCAGCCACACTAGCTCATGCTGCGTGGGTGGCAGGAGAATCGAGAAATCCAATAACTGCAGCAGCAGCAGCAGCAGGACAAATGGCAAAGACGCCAAAAAACAGCAGAAGCAGCAGCATGTCTTCGTCGACCGCTAGTCTACCAGCTCCTGTAAGAATAATAAGGGGGTGGGGGCAAAAGGGATCAAAAAGCAGTTGCTGCATCGTGCTGTTGCTGCTGGTGCTGCTGCTGCGCGTGCGGCCCTGCAGCGGCTCCTGGTCTTGAAGCTTCATCTTCCTCTTTGACAGACTTTGTCTGATGCTGCTGCTGCCCCTGGCCCTGCTGCTGCTGCTACCTACTGATTCTGCTGCTGAGTATGCTTGTGCAGCTTGTGCCTCCTTCTGGATGCAAAGAAGCCTTGCATGGTAGCAGCAGCAGCAGTAGCTAATCCCGTGCCACGCATAGAAAACAGAAATCCTGTTTACGAAGAGAAGCTGCTGTCAGCCTTGAGGGCGAAGGGCCCCATGCAGCAGCTGGTCACCTGCTGCGCCCAGTCCAGATCAGCAAATCGGCGATTTACGGGGCTATTCTTGCTCCTAATGCCATTTCTGGGCCTGGCTTGTCTCAGGTTAAGAGAGAGAAAGGCTTCAGAGAGTGCTTACAGCAGCAACTGCGAGAGCGCCTGCTCCAGCTGGAGCGGCTACTGGACTCGAGGGGCCCCTGCACCTACAAGCTCGGCATACTTGGGGGGCCCATCTGGAACAGAGGAGTAACGAGTAGCGAATCTGTTTAAAATGTAAAGTTTAAATTGTTCAAATTTATTTTAGTTCATTCCGCCGTCCATAGGACCGTTCCAGACACAGGATCAGCAACAACTGCTGTTGCAGCAGCAGCTGCTGCTCCCGCTGAGCGCAGCGCAACAGAAAAAGTCCGTTGCAGCGTCGCGGCTTCACGGGCCGCTGCTCCAGCAGCAGTTTGTCTTATCCTCTTGTTCGATTGTTTTGGTGCTTACTACCAAATTTATTCTGCTGCAAGGCCGCAGCTGCACGCTGCGTGCTGCAGCGTGACTGCGGCAGCAGTTAAAGCAGCACCAGCAACAGCAGCAACTCCAGTCGGCGGCGCCCCTCCAGTAGGAATCAGGGGAAAGGAGACGCTTTTTTGTGTCCTCTGTTGCTGAGTGCGATTTGCAAGGGATTACTGCTCTCGGAGGAGCCGCTGCAGCGAAAGAAACACCAGATCGGTAGCAGGAAGCAGCAGCATCACCACCTGGCTGCTTCTGCTGCTGCAGCACGGCCACGAGGGCGAACAACTGTAGGACGTGCTGTCTGCTGTCCATTTCTGGCTGTTGTCTCTGTGCTTCGCCCAATCCTGGCGAGAGTTGGCGGCAGCAGCAGGAGGCTGAGCAGGTTCACCAAGAGCAGCAGCAGCGACAGCTTCTGCTGCTCACACAATGGAGGGTTCTCCTTTGGAGTTCACCTGGGCGGGCCGAGCACTCCTTGCTGCTTCCGCTAGCAGGGGCAGTCACAGCAGCAGCAACCCTGCAGTGCATCCAACGTCCCCCGCACTGGCAGCAGCAGGAGGAACAGTTGCAACGGGAGCAGCAGCAACTGGCAAACAGCGCAAGCCGCACATCTTCAGTTTGATTGACGAAGCTTTCCTGCGCGCTGCTGCTTCCCTCTATCAGCAGCAGCAGCGGCGAGTGGCGCAGGAGCATATCTCCCAGGGAGAGGAGCAGCGGGAGGGGCCACAGCTGACGGATCGGCAGCAGGAGCAGCAGCAGCAAGAGCGGAGGGAGCAGCAGCAGCACAGTGAGCACCAGCAGCAGCAGCAGCCGCAGCAGGGGCTCGATGATGCAGCGCGCAGCCTCTTGTCGTTTAGGGAGCTGCTGCCTCGAGAAGCTGCTGATGGAGAGACGCCAGCGGCTTGCCTCTTCCTCGACAACACATGTGCTGCTGCTGCTGCAGCGCAGCAGCACGTTTTGCTGCCTCCTGTCCATGCTGTCCTGCTCCTGGGACCCTCAGGCAGCCCCAAAGCAGCGCTGGCTGCCGCTGCTATTAGCTACTGCTTCCATAAGCTCCAGAAGGCAACAGCAGCGGAGTCCGAGGATCCAGACGCAGCAGCAGCAGCAGCAGCAACAGGAAGGAGAGAAGCAATCAGTTCTATCAGCGACTTTATAAACAGAATTTGCAGGGCCTGGTCATTCCTGGTGCGAGGGCTTACCTCCGTGGCATCCCCGCACTACAGCAGCAGCAGCAGCAGCAGCAAGTGGTTCTCCCAGGCCTGTGTCTCGACACAGTTTGCTCTTCGCGCCAGAAGCGGGTCAGCAGCACCCCGAGCAGCAGCAGCAGCAGAAACAGCAGCGGCAGCAGGTGCTGCAGCAGGTGTGGCGAGCGTCCCTGAGTGCCAGGTGTACGTGCACCCTCTATTCCTCGCCGCTGACAGGGCTGCTGCTGCGCCGGTGTTTGGTGCTGCTGCTGCAGCAGCAGCTGCTGCTGTTGATGACTCCGCATCATTTGTCCTGCTGCAACTTGTGAGGACTGCACTCCTGGAGGCCAGCAGGGAAGCAGCAGCGAAAACAGCGGGCGCAGCTGCTGCTGTTGCTGCTGCAGCTGCGTCAGTGCCCAGCGAAGCACCCAACGCTGAAGGTGCCGCGGCAGCAGAAGCAGATTTTGACCTTTCGAAAACGCGGGCGAGCGAAGCAGCAGCAGCAGCAACAGCAGCTGCTGCTGTTGCGACGCTGCTGCAGCAGCTAGCTGCCCCGGAAAGGGAAGAAGCCTCATGGCCTTTGACCTGGGGAACTGTTAGCAGTATTTTGTCTATTTTAGGTGTTTGTTGCGAAGTGAAGCAGCAGATAGCCAGAGGGCTAATTGTTGCTGCTGCTCTACCCTGTATCTCCTTCACGCCTCCATCAGGCCACAGCAAACTTCAAAACAGAAGTGCTGCTTCAGTAAGCCGTTTGCTGCTGCTGCTGCTGTGTCACGTAGGGTGCGGAGCTCTAATATGCGTGGAGAAGCATTCTCTTATTGCTAGCGCCCTCTGGTTTGCTGCAGTTGCTGATTTTGCTCTTGTGCAGAGTACGAAACCTTACTTGCTTGTTACTGCTGACCGCTGTTGTTGCTGCTGCTGCTGCTCGTGATCTTGCTGCTGCTGCAGGTGGTGAGGGATTTTTTCTTTTTCTGTTGTTTGGAGGCTATGGGGTCAGGGGCCGACGATTTGGAAAACTTGTTTGTTTCTTCGCCATTCTTGTGCTTCGATTCCGACCTGGCCCCTATTGCAGCAGCGCGGCGCGCTGCTGCTGCTGCATCTCAGGTGTACAGACACCTGGTGGGGTGGGTAGCAGAGCTTGGGGGGCGTCAACTGACAGCCCTCGCTGCTGCAGTGCAGCAAACACCTGCAGCGGCTCCACAGGGTGAAGATTTTGTGCTGCCTTGCTGCTGCAGCACCTGTTCAGACTCCAGAGAAGCAGCTGCAGCAGCAGCAGCAGGGGGCACGGCAGCAGAAGCAGCACAAGCTGAGACGCGAAGGCCGCCGGAGTGCCTGTTTAGCTCTCTCTCGAGCCACTTTAGGCCGCGCCCATCCTCGCAGTCAGAGCTTGGAAGAGCAGCAGCTGCAGTAGTGCTGCTGGAAACTGTGGACTTCCTGCCAGATAGTGAGGAGGACGCCACAGCAGCAGCAGCAGCAGCAGCAGCAGCAAGCCATGCGCCGCGCTTCTTCTCAGCGGGCCTGAGTCGCCTCTGTAGCAACTTTTTGAACGAGAAGCTGCTGCAGCACATGCAGCAGCAGCTGCTGCAGCAACTTTTGCAGCAGCATTCCGAGCAGCGAGTACTCTCACCTAGAGAGACCGCTGAACTGCATCAAGGCATGGAAGAATTGCTGCAGCAGCAAACGCTGCAGGAGCAGCAACTGCGTAGACACCAGGGACACCAGCAGCCCAGCTCTGTCTTTAGCTCTGGAGAGGAGGAAGCGGCATTGCCGGCTTTGGCGCTGCTGGAGGGCCGCAGCAGCAGCAGCTCCAAGAAGCAGCGGCAAATTAGCGTGTTTGGGTTGCTCTGTGATGCTGCAAGGTCTCCAATAATCAGAGACGAGCAGAGGGATCAATTCTTCTTCCAGAAGCTGCAGCAGCAGCTGCCTGCAGCAAATTTGGCGCTCTGCCGCAGCGTTAGCAGCAGTAGCAGCAACACAGACAGCTCTTCTCCTCTTTCCCTAACTCTGAGACATGCGTGGGGCAAGAGTACATACACTGTGGATGGTTTTGCTGCTGGGGTTGTTCGCTGCAGCACAGCAGCAAACAGAGCGCTGGTGAACTTGTCTCCTCCGCTGCTGCCGTGGCTGCTGCAGCGCCTTGCCGGAGCTGAAGGCAGCAGCAGAAGCAGCAACAGCAGCTGGCTGCTGGGGGCGACGCCTTCGCTTCCTGCAGCTGCAGCAGCGCTTCTGGATTGTCTTTCACCCCCTAAGTGCAGCTGTTCTTTTGCCGTTTGTTTGCCGGCCACTGTGCTGCAACAGCAGCTGCTGCAAAGGAGACTTTTGCTGCCGCAGCACGCGCTCCTGCAGCGACAGTGGTTCCCGGTGTCTGTACACCTGAAGACTGTGGAAAAAGCCGCAGCGGAGCTGCTGCTGCGAAATGGCCATCCTGCACCGAACAGTCCGGCTGCTGCTGTTGCAGCGGTAGCTGCATTTGTTGCTGCAGCAGCAAGACTGCGCAACAGTGAAGCCTCTTTGCCTGCTGCTCTTACTGAAACAGAGTGCAAAGCCGCCACTTCAGAAGTAGAGACAGCTGCAACAGCAGCGGAAGCTGCAGCAGCAGCAGCAGCAGAGGCGCAGCGAGAACAATCGGCGAGGCCCTGGAAATTGGGCACCTCTGCAGTGTTCCTGTCTAGCAGCGCAGCAATGCAGCTGCTCGAGGTGCAGCAGTGGCTGCAGGATGAGGGAGAGGGGGAGTGGATGGCAGCGGCAGCGGCTGCAGCAGCGGCTGCTGCAGCTGCTGCAGAGAGGCGCCAGCAGGTCCGCGCTGCGATGCGGTCGAGCATCTTGTGTGTTGCTGTTTTGGAGAAGCTGCGCAAACGCAGCAGCAGGAGAAAAGCCCGCGAGGCAGCTGCAGCAGAGGCAGCAGCAGAAGCAGCAGCAGCAGCGGCTGCAGCCGAAGCGAAAGCAGCGACGGAGACTTCAGAACTCAGCGATGCGGCACCGTCAGAGACGCAGCAGCAGGTCGAAGCGCCGCAGCAGCAGCAGCGAATGCCGCAGCTGCTGCTAGTGGGGAGGCGCGTGGACGAGCCACCTCCCAGATCTGCTGCAAGTGCTGCTGCGGCTGCTACGCTGTCCGAGAACAGCCGCATCCGCAAAGTGCTGCGCACTCAGAACCAGGCTCGGGATGACCTGGAGCAGCAGCAGCAGCAGCAGCAGCAGCAGACGGGCATAGAGGGACGGATGCAGCTGCATAAGGCGCCGGAGGAGGGTCAGTTACAGCGGCAGCAGCAGGTTTCGCGCAGAGCAGCAGAAGCACAGTCTGCCCTGCACGCCAGCAGCAGCAACAGCAAAGCTGCAGAGCAAAGCCAGCAGCTTTCTGTGAAAGCATCTGAAGGCGAAGCAGCTGGTGAAGGAAGCTGCGACAAAGCGGCAACAGCAGCAACAGAAGCAGCAGCAGCAGGAGCAGCCGCAGCTGCAGCAGACCCCGGACAGCAAGAGGCAGCTGCGACGGTAGCCCGAAGTAACCAGGCGCGGTCGCAGAGACAAAGGCGGCAACGGAGACGCCGTGCCTCCCGAGCAGCGTCCGCAGCAGCAGCAGCAGCGGCAGCAGCTAGCGCCCCTGCAGCAGTTTCAGTCTCGCACCACCCCAAATTCTACCCAGTCCCCCCGCCCCCTCCACCATATCCGCCCCCTCCTGCATACCCCCCACCTCCTCCCATCCCTCCCCCGCAGCTGCAGCGGGTGCCACTGCATGCGCTGCAGCATCAGCAGCTGCTGCTGCTGCAGCAGCAGCTGCGGCATCTTCCAGCTGCAGCGCAGCCAGCCATGTTTGCACCTCACCGGCAAGAATTGCATCAGTATCCTCAGCAGCAGCTGCAGTGGCTTCCCGGCGGAAGGCAGCAGCAGCGGCAGCAGCACCGCAGTGCTGCTTACAGAGGCAGGCAGCCGCCGCCGCCGCAGCAGCAGCAGGATCAGGCGGTACTACCTCTAGAGCAACAGCAAGTGAAGTTTTCCTTGCGCGCAGCTTACAAAGACTCTCAGATGACTGATTCGTATCCGCAGCAGCAGCAGCAGCAGCTGCACTACCAGAGCTCCGACCCACGTTCTTCCTCGCAACGCTTCTATCCTCACTCTCGCACGCCGCCTCCGCCGCCGCAGCCGCCGCAGCAGCAGCAGCGACAGCAGCAGCAGCAGGCGCAGCGGCCACGAAGCCGCGCTGATATGTGATGGCTGCCTTCTTTGAAGAGATGCTGCAGCAGTGGCGTAAGACTTTTTCTTTGCTCCTCCCCCCTCCTCGCTGGGGCCCCTTGGGGGTCCCCTTGGGGGGCCCCTGGGGCCCTGTGGCTGGGCGTGAGTTGATGTGTCTAGTTTGCGGCGAATTGCCAGCGTTGTTCTGTTGAGTTGTCTTTCTTTCGGACTAGATAGCCTGCTCCTGCATGCTCTGCTCTAAGAAGCAGCAGCAGAAGCAGCAGCAGAAGCAGCAGCAGAAGCAGCAGCAGCAGAAGCAGCAGCAGCAGCACGTTTTTCTCCGTCTGCATCGCCGTGGTGCAGTTACCAGCCAGCGCTTTGTCTCGCCGGCAGCGACGGGTGTTTGTTTCCTGTTCTCTTGTGTTGTTAATTATTTAGTGCAGCAGCAAAATTCTGCGGCGCAGTGACTTGTAAATGGGCACGAGATGCCCTCTTGTCTCCTCGCGAGAGCCCACTGAGGTGTACGTACGCCTCAGCACGCAGCGTCTCACTCCGTCTTGTCGGTTTTGTTGTTGACCCGGTTAAATTTCATTTAGTTTGTCACTGCTGCTGCTGCTGCCGCGCTTCCCGCTGCAAGGGCGTCTCTGCCTGCTGCGCTGCTGATTCTGCTGCTGTGGGGCCCCCCGAGGGGCGCATTTCGTGGCTGCAGCTCCTGCATCCCCGCGCTTGGCTTGGCAGCCACAAGTGCAGCAAAATGGGTTAGCATCGTTTCATAGAGCACAGCGTGGCGGCTCGTTGTGACCAGTGGTCCACTGGACTGCTGCCCCAGCAGCTACGTGGCTGTGAGGTGTGCGTACAGTCGCCCTAATCGCCAACCAGACGCAGCAGCAACAGGAGCAGCAGCAGCAACAGGAGCAGCAGCGGCGGCAGCAAGTACACTGAAAAGCTCCAAAGCCCTGCTGCGTGCCTGGCAACAATTGGGAGTCAACTGGAGCAGCCGCAGGCCGCCTGTGAAGAAACACCTTGTGTTCGGCAACAGCAGCAGAGGCAATACTCGCAGCAGCAACACCAGGAGCAGGAGAGGTCAGCAGCAGGAGGACCCTCGCAGTAAGGCTCGCGCTGCAAGAAGGCGACAATAAACTCTACAGCAGCAGTGGCAGCAGCAGAAGTCAAAAAGCTTTGACAGCTGCTGCAGCCAAAAGCTTGGGCGCCATTTGGCCTTAAATCATTCCCACTGGAGGCACCTCACTGGTGCTGCTGCTGCTGCTGCTCGTGGCCCAGCCTTCTTGTGTTGGTGCTGCTTGATCTGCCACTGTATACAAACCGTCAGGTTACATTTTCCTTCACCCTCTTCTTCAATGAGCTAAAGTAAGCACAGAGCTCCTGTCCTGAGCAGGAGAAGCTGGCTAGCTAGCCAGCCAACTGCGGCTAGCTGGCAGCTAGCTGGCTTGTTTTTGTTTTCTTGAGCTGGCGGCACAGAAGCTCTGTGGCTCAACTTATGATTTTAGGGGGTTGGGTCTCGGCAGCAGCGAGGTCGCGTAGGTGCAACGGCAGCTGCTGCTGCTTCAGAGACGAAACAAAACCTTTTTATATTTGATTTTTTCCCCCTGTGAACTGCTACGAGCTGCGCTGATGTTCCGGAGGGGAGGCTAGGCTGTTGTTGCTGCTGCTGCTGCTGCTGCTGCTGACACTGCTGCGAAGACTGCTCACCCTGGCAGGTTCTGCCTGTCCCACTCCGCAGGGCGTTGAGCCTCAACAGAAGCAAAGCCATCAACAGCAGAATTAATAACTCCACACATTGTCGCTGCAGCAAAAGTCTCAGCGGTAGCAGCAGCAGCAGCAGCAGAAGCCCCAGGAGCAAGGCACAGCCGCAGCCGACAACTGGCAGCGACCAGCCCTACCCAATACTGCTAGCAAATGCTGCTGTCTTTTTAAGTGAAACCCAAGAGGTTTTTTGTTTCTTTGTGATGCTGCAAAAGCTGCAGCAACGGCAGCGCCCGAGCAGCTCTTGGGCGGGCAACGTCACAGCAGCAGCGGCAGCTGCGTCACTCGGAAGCACAAGAAGGTTACAGCATATGCTGCTTGTCTCCTTGTGGCCCTCAACATTCTCTGCAGCTCCGACGGCAGCAGCAGCAATTTACAGGGGCAGCTCTCCAGGCTGCCCATTGCCGTTCGTCCCTGACGACGGCATCGGCGGCAGCTGCTGCAGCAGTAGCAGCTGCAGCACCATTTGCAACTGCAGCAGCAGCAGTCGGAGCAAGAGCTGCAGCAACAGCACTTGGAGCAGAAGCTGCAGCAGCTCCGGCAGCTGCTACTTCCATGTGCGGCGACTCGGCTGTGCAGTCCCAGCAGCGGCGGCAGCACCCCCGTGACAGCACAAGCAGCAGCAGCAGCAGCTCCCTCAGTGGCAGCAAAGAGGTCAGCAACAGCAATAGCAGAAGCAGCAGCGGCTGCTGCATCAAAAGTCACTTCGGTCGCAGGGGCCTCTGCCTCATAACCCAAGAAGTAGAAGCAGCAGGAGCATCAGCTGCCTTGCTTCAAGTGGGTGCAAGTTGTGAACCATGGACAGCCAAATGTCTCATTAAGATTCAAGTATGGCCCAAGCAGCAGCAGCAGCAGCAGCAATGCTGAGTAGACAGAGCGTCGCATCCCATGGAGGTCTGGAGCAGCAGTGGTCTGCTGCTGCTATTCCGGAGTCCTTCCAGAGCAGCAAAAGCAGCACCTTTGTCCAGCAGCAGCTCAGCAGCGAAAGCCGAGCACCAGCAGCAGAGCGATCCGCCGCGCCCCCAACAGCTGCTGCTGCTGCTGCTGCTGCACCAGCAACAGCCGACAACAAGCAGCAGCAGAGCCTCTCCGTTTCATCTCTTGTTGGAGCCCTCGTGCCGCTTCCTGTGCGCCCCCCGCCATCTTCCTCCTGCGGCCATTCAGGCTTTTGTGCTGCTGCTCCTGCTGTTGCTGCTGCTGCTGCTTTGCCGCCGCTGGTGCGAATCGTTGCGGTGTCTGCTCTGCTGACATCCCCTACCTTTTGCTGCAGTCAGGCAATTTCTCAGGCTGAAACAGCAGCAGCAGCAGCAGCAGATGCGGCAGCAGAAACAGCAGCAAGAGCAGAGGCAGTTGCTGCTGCTGCGGGGTCCTTCCAAAAGGGCAGCAGCAACATTGAAACCCCACAAGACAAGCAGCCGCAGCAGCAGGAAGCAGCATTTTTGGGGTCCGCTGGGGCGGAGACGGCAGCAGAAACTGCTGAGGAGTCTGGCGCAGCAGCAACAGCAGCAACAGCAGCAGCCACAGCAGCAACACTGCAGCACACAGTGTCTGCTACCCTAACGGATGACTGGCTCACAAGAGGAGGGGAGAGCGCAGCAGCAGCAGCAGCTGCTGCTGCAGCTGCAGCTGGTGCTGGGGCCGGTGGGCCCTTCGTTTACGCTGCTGCGATCCATGACTGCGTCAGTATGTGCTGCAGCAGCAGCAGCACCAGGCAGCACGCTGCTCTGCGGCGCTGTGTCTTTCTGCTGCAAGTGCCGTGGCAGCTGACTGTACGGTTCGTAGACAGAGTGACAGTAGCGCGATCGTTTGCCGCTGCTGCTGCTGCTGTGGCTCCTGCTGCACCTGCCGCCCGCTGCAGCAGCAGCTGGGACGATGCTCTCCCTGCGTGGTGCAGAGGCAGCAGCAGCCACGACTTCCTTAAAACAATGCTAGGGCCTGGGGCTTCTCGGATGCCATGTGAAGTGCGCTGTGTCCCGCTGCTGCCTGCTGCTGCTGCTGTAGGCAGCAGAGGCGACGGGGCGCTGGAGGGCTGCTGCAGCAGCAGCTCGCATAATTCGTCTCACCGCCTTGGCCTGGGAATCTGCAGCAACAGCAGCAACAACAGCTTGTGTTCGCTGGCTTCGGCCAGGGGCGTTTTGGGGCCTTTCAAGTGTGTTTGTGCTGCCTCCACCACAGCAGCAGCAGCAGCACAGCAGCAGCACCAACAGGGCCTCTGCAGCATCCCCTTATCTTCTCGAGCTCTCCCGCTGGTGCTGCAGGACTGCTGCAGCAGCAGCAGCTGCTGCTGCTCCAAGTCGTTACGTTTGGGCCCTCCAGGGGTACCCTGCCGCCCGCCGGATTTGTGCTGCTGCTGCAGCGCAACGAACAGCAGCAACTGCTGCGGCGGCGTTCGCCTGCTGCAGCAGGCGAAGCTGCTCTGCTGCTGCCAGCACACCGAGTACATTGTTGGGGCTGCTCTTTTGGGGCCTTCTGCTGTGTCCCCGCTCTTGCTGCTAGCTACTGGCTGCAGCAGCAACACGTACCTCTGGTCTTTGCATTCTCCCACGCTGCTGCAGCTATGCGGAAGGATATATATGCCGCCTCTGCAGCTGCAGCAGCAAGGGGATCAGCAGCAGGAGGTGCAGCAATACAAATACGCACTGCTAGAGAGCGATGAGAGGCAGCTGCAGCACTCGCGTGTTGCCTTCGGCTTTGAGTCTTCCTCTCCCTTTGCTGCAGTGCCGAACATGCATGTCCTCTTTGTGTATCTGCCCTGGTCTCATCAGCAGCAGCAGCAGCAGCAGCAGCAGCAGCCGTGCGTGGTAGGAGCCTTCATAGTAGACGGGCTGGCAAGGGGGGCCCGGGGTCTGCCTTCGCTGCAGCAAGTAGCAGCAGCAGATGAAATTCCCCTCTCGTCTTTTCATGTTGATGATATATCGGAGGTCGTTCTTGCGGAGCCCAACCTTTGGAGTGAGTTCGCTGCTGCTGCTCTGGCTGCTGCAGCATCTCGCGCTGCTGCTGCTGCGCCACTCCTGCTGCAGGTCTTTTTGTTGCTGCTGTTGATGCAGCTGCTTCTACTTCTTCTGATAAAGGCTTTTGTTGCAGCTTCTCCCTAACGTGCTGCGTTCTTAAGTCATGCTGCTTTTCCTGCGAACGCAAAAGGTGCTGCTGCTGCTGCTATTCGCACTGCTGCCAACTAGCACTGCCGCCGCCAAGTGTTTCCAGTGATGTTTTGCAGAGTGCTTGCTCTGAAGTGTCGCTGCAGCTGCTGCTGCTGCTGGTGCTGGTGCTGCGGT